GTCAACAAGGGCTGGCTCAACTTTGTTGTATACATCGGAGTGGTCTTTGTGCTGACCCTGATCAACGTGGTCAGCTGTCGCAAAGAGAAAATCCTACCCTGGCTCAACAACTTTGTTGGGGTGTGGTTCTTCGGTCTGTTTATTGTCCTTTCTCTTGTTCTACTCATCTCCGTCGGAACCAAGAAGGAACTGTCATTCCAGCCCGCTTCATTCGCGTTTGGTGTTTGGAAGAATGAGACTGGCTGGGGCGACGGTGTGGTTTGGTTCACCGGGTTGGTACAGGCAGCGTACGGGTTGACCGCATTCGATTCGGTGATTCATATGGTGGAGGAGATTCCTGCGCCTCGGAAAAATGCCCCTCGAGTTATCTGGATGGCTGTTTTGTTCGGTGCCGTGACTGGATTCATCTTTATGGTGGTCTGTCTGTTTTGCATCCAGAATGTGGACCGCGTCGTCAACGCCGACCTCCCCTTCATGGAGCTTATGCTCGAGACTGTTGGACTCAAAGGGGCCGCTGTCCTGATTGCACTGTTCATTTTCAATGGTGTAGGACAGGGCATCAGTATCCTCACCACTGCATCCCGTTTGACCTGGGGCTTTGCCCGTGACGGCGGCATACCGTTTAGCAATTACTTCAGCCACGTCGACCCTGTGTGGCAAGTTCCCGCCCGCGCGCTCTGGGGTCAGGGCATTGTCATCGCCATCGTCGGCATCCTATACCTATTCGCCAACACCGTGCTTGAGGCGATTCTCAGCGTCAGCACGATCGCCTTGACAGTCTCCTACGCCATGCCAATTCTTGCCTTGCTCGTCACCGGCCGTGAGAAATTGCCCCCGGGTCCGTTCAAGCTCGGTCGCATTGGTCCGTGGTTGAACTGGGTCAGCATCTTCTACTGTATCATCACTACCATTTTCTTCCTGTTCCCTGGCAGCCCTAACCCGGCACCCAGCGATATGAACTTCGCCATTGCTGTCTTTGGTGTTATGCTGGTCATCGCTGTTGCATTTTGGTTCATTCAAGGCAGCCGAACATATCTCCAGACCGAAGATGCTATCGCCTCGATGGTCTACGCTCACCACCTGGAGATGAATGAGCCAGGTGTCGAAGACACCGCGCCGGCTGTTCAAGCACCGGTCATTGTTGATTGTAAATAATTCTGTGAGCTTTTGTTTCTCGAAGCCAGTTGTTTGGACCGTAGGACAAACATGTACATAGTAATGCATAACCCGGTTGGAATTTGTACATCTGGAACCAGTTTGACATACATCTTCATACACGGAAACCTTCTGACCTTTCAAGTCACGAGCTGCTATGGCTATGAGCTTTGAATATATTCATTCAAGAAAAATGAAGAAAAATTAGATGTACAATGTTGCGTCGCAGTTGGACACAACTCGACTAAGAGTCACGGGACAGCACGGAATACCCGCGGACCGCTGATCTTCTCACCTCCGAAGAAAGATATTAACATTTCAATAGCACCTGGACACCACACTGAATCAACAACACCCCCATGCTGACACCTGATATGTCTCACACAAGCAAACATTTGAGGTGGTACTCCGTATGGAGCCCCTACGGCTCAGATGACACATCAAATAATGAAGCCCTGAAGATCGAGATCACCAGCCACATCAGTCTCCAATGCCAAAATGACTCTGGCACAGAATAAATTCTGTGTGAATCATTGGCCCCAGCCTCCGGCACACAATGAAAATAAAATTGATATTTGGGTGATAATGCTTTAGCAGATTTCAGTGCCACAGAAGTCTAGTGTCTCCAAGATTGTCTTAGTTTTCGATACGATAGCTCAATTGGCTGTCAGCTACTGCAGTAGTGCATGCATGATCACCATCCCAACCTCCCTGCTAGCTAATGTAGCAGTGCATGATCATCATTTCAACCTTCCTCCTCGAGAGGCTTGGCAGGGGATTAATTATTTTGTTCATTGAACAACTCTTCCAGCTCCTATCAGGTCTGATGACTGATGAACTGTGGGCTGTAAATCAGAGCCAGAAGCAGAGATCTCTTCTTAGGGTCCAGCCATCCAGCCACTTGACAATACAAGCAAGCCCCATCCGACGCCCCTCACATTGTTTCCCTCAGAGTGGGTCATCCCCTGCCGATCATTAACGGACCCCGACGGACGCACTCAAAATCACAACGGAATAGCCGACTTATCTCGACGCGGAGCATGTACAGAGTACACCGTATCGATCCTATCATCAATTTACCCTCGGATTGGGATGGCTGTTGGTCACCATGGACGGAGTAGCGAGATCCCGATGCAATATCACGACCGCCAGTCATTGATTCTGAACAGTTTCACCAAACGGGAATCCACCGAGAGTCCACTGGACAGGAACAGTGGAATCTATTATGCCAAGGAGATGACGCGAACCTTCGATTCAAGCACTCCGTCCTTTTCAACCTTGTATTATCCTGGACTTCTTCAACATTCTTTATCGCCCCATTCATTCCCCCCCACAAATGCAACCATAATAAATACCACTTTACGGTCTTAACCCCTCATTTGGCTTTGATAATTTCCCGCCGGACTATTTATACTTCCTGTATTCGCTGTGTGAAGGCACCGGTATCTGAGAGGGTGTCATATCACTCGTGTTGATTATGATTGTATCCCTTTTTAACCGCGGAGCTTTGTCGCTCGCGGTCTTGTCGCTTCTCGCGTCCTCAGCTGCAGCCAATGTATTTGAGAGTTTGTCCTCTGTTCCTCAGGGTGAGTAACTTGTGTAGTAACTTGTGTTCTAAACTCAACCGATGGAATCGATACGCTGACCCACCCACAGGATGGAGATATTCTCGCACACCGCGGGCTGATCAGCCTATGAAGCTACAAATTGCCCTGGCACAAGGAGATCCTGCCGGATTCGAAGCGGCTGTGATGGACATGTCAACCCCTGATCACCCTAGCTATGGGCACCACTTCACTACCCACGAGGAGATGAAGCGGATGCTGCAGCCCAGCGCGGAGTCCGTAAACTCGATCCGTGACTGGCTCGAAGGTGCGGGTATTACCAAGATCGAACAGGATGCCGACTGGATGACCTTCTACACGACTGTGGAGACGGCAAATAAGCTGCTGGCAGCCAATTTCCAGTTCTACGTCAACGGCGTAAAGCACATTGAGCGTCTTCGCACACTCAAGTACTCCGTTCCAGAGGCTTTGAAGTCACACATCAACATGATCCAGCCAACCACCCGTTTTGGCCAGCTGCGCGCCAATGGGGCCATCTCACACACTCAGGTCAAGGAAACAGATGCAGCTTTCCGCTCGAAGGCTATGTCCGCTTCCCCGGACTGCAACAGCGTCATCACCCCCCAGTGCCTCAAGGAGATGTACAATGTTGGTGACTACCAAGCCAGTGATACCAATGGAAACAAGGTCGCATTTGCCAGCTACCTGGAGGAGTATGCACGCTACGCTGATCTGGAATTATTCGAGAAAAATGTCGCACCCTTTGCCAAGGGCCAGAACTTCTCCGTTGTCCAGTTCAATGGTGGTGGTAATGATCAACAGTCGAAATCTGGAAGCAGCGAGGCAAACCTCGACTTGCAGTACATTGTTGGAGTCAGCTCTCCTGTTCCCGTTACCGAATTTAGTGTTGGTGGTCGTGGTCAACTTGTTCCCGATCTCGACCAGCCTGATCCTAATGATAACAACAACGAGCCGTACCTTGAGTTCCTCCAGAACGTGCTCAAGTTGGACAGCAAGGACCTGCCCCAGGTGATTTCCACCTCTTATGGCGAGGACGAGCAGGTATGATATCCCCTCTCTATTATTTATGGTTTCGTCGGTCTCTAACACCCACTTCCAGAGCATCCCCGAGAAGTACGCCCGCAGTGTCTGCAACCTTTTCTCACAGCTCGGCAGCCGTGGTGTATCTGTCATCTTCGCATCTGGTGACTCCGGCGTTGGCGCCGCTTGCCAGACCAACGACGGCAGGAACGCGACCCACTTCCCACCCCAATTCCCTGCTGCCTGCCCGTGGGTGACATCAGTCGGCGCGACAACCCACACCGCTCCAGAGAAGGCCGTGTACTTCTCATCCGGCGGCTTCTCCGATCTCTGGGACCGCCCGAAATGGCAAGAAAACGCTGTGTCTGAGTACCTCGACAAACTGGGCAACCGTTGGTCCGGCCTTTTCAACGCTAAGGGCCGAGCATTCCCCGACGTCGCAGCACAAGGCCAGAACTACGCCATCTACAACAAGGGCTCGTTGACCAGCGTTGACGGCACATCCTGCTCGGCACCTGCCTTTGCCGGAATCATTGCTCTCCTCAACGATGCCCGCTTCAAGGCGAAGAAGGCACCCATGGGCTTCCTCAACCCCTGGCTGTACTCCGTCGGTCGCGATGGCCTGAAAGACATCGTCGACGGCGGTAGCAAGGGCTGTGATGGCAATGGCCGCTTCGGCGGCGCCCCTAACGGGAGCCCATCCATTCCAGGTGCAAGCTGGAACGCTACTAAGGGCTGGGACCCTGTCTCTGGTCTTGGATCCCCTAACTTTGCTGCCATGCGCAAGCTTGCGAACGCTGAGTAGATTGAGAGTCTTGCATGCTGATGTAGTCCATTGTTTGAGTTTCAGAGAATGACTGATTCGGATCGATTGGAAAATTCCGGTATAGATGCATGCATGCTAGTTATATACATATAGATTGTCCCCTATATTTGCAAATATAATAAGCCTGTGTCTCATTCACATGTACTCTTCTTTCTACTATCTACCTCGAACTATCTTCAAGATATCTAAGCAGACCGCTGAAAAGTCCTTTTGGGAAACTTAAAAGACATCATCAGGCCGCATATCTAGTAAGAATGATAGAGAAATTGAAGTTGGTCTTGAAATTGAAATGAGTGTATAGGTTTGTCTCAAGACTTCAAGAAGGCGGTGATGATTGTGGCAGGGCAATCGTCTAATGAGAGACTTATGTATCCGTGGTCGCCCACCTTTTGAAAATGTTCATACAATGCTCCTTATTCCTGGAATACCGGCTCGGACTTCTCAATGTCCTCCTTGCTCAAACACCACTTATCCTGTAACACAGGATCAAGACTCGATGCATAGACATCCTTGGGCCACCATTCACCCCAGCTGGTCAAGAAAATCTGTTCTGGATCAGCGGGGAGATTCTCGGCTGTGACTGCGCGCAGGATACTTTGGGCACCTATTGATGGTTAGATACCGTCTTCAAACCAAAAATTTAAATCCAAGTTCCTTACCCTCTGGCACAGTCTTGGCATCGGGCATGTCCATGGTCAATTTTAGGCCTGAATGCCGAGCAAGTTTAGTGTTCGGGATGAGACCCGGCGAGACGGCTACGACTGAGCAATCTGGGAGGCTACGGCGCCAGTAGTGTGCACCGAGAAGCTGGGTGAATTTCGATGCGCTGTACACTACTTTTGCGCTCGCGCCTGAGTTTGCTTTAAGGTCGACATCAAGAGTGCCTAATATGAAGTCAGCATTGTGAGCCCCTGTGCTTTTGGTGACACGACTGAAAATATGGAACAAGACTTACTTGGATCGCCTTCTCTCACATTACGAATTGCACCCGAAGATACAACGACGATACGGGATTGCGAGGCAGATAGTACCTCAGCAAATTGGTGAGTCAGATAATGCTGAGCTGTGAGTTGTGATTCACGAATGATTAGCTCCAGCGTCCCTTACTGTTCTCTTCAGTAGCCGATGCATGGAACCTTAACATACCTAGATGATTTACTACGTAAGATTCGCACCATTTTGAGCCATGAGGTCCCGGTCCATCGGCGCTGGTGGCGAGGCCCGCAATGAGGAAAAGATTGTTCAATGGTCTTTGACCCAATTCAGAGAGTGCTTGCTTCGCAAACGACTGCACGCTCTTGAGGTTCAAAAGATCTAGGGGCAAGATAGAGACCTTGTGCTTTGAAGTGTCAAATTTCAGGTCATCGTACGCAACACGCGTCATCTCTGTATCACGAACGCCCAGGATGAAGCTGTATGGCTGTGCCTGCTGGAGTAACTGCTTGATTACTTCAAATCCCTATCAACATGTTAGCTGGAGTGTGGATATTCTAAAGGGGTGCAGCTCACCAATCCCGACGAGGCGCCTGTCGCGATGACAGTCTTTGCAATCGATGACATTTTGGCAGCTTTATCTAGCGATATTGGATATTCAATGGCCTAAGGGAGATGGGAGTGTTGGAGGGACAGGATATTATCCTAAGCTGACTGTGTCCCCGGGGCTTATTCCTGACGTCAGGTGATCCTCTAGACCGAAAAGGGATATTAAAATGGATTATGCATGTCAAATCTTAGTTTACATTGAAGGAATCCACGCCCAGAGGATGCGAGGTAAAGAAAACAAAGTCGCTCATCCGCTAGAAAAAAAAACCAATCATCGAAACGGTCGTTGAATCCTTCCCCCGAAACAATCACCAACCCATCCGTGGACCTCCCGGATTTAAGCAATAACAGCCATTAAAGCAGAGCTGAAAAGGAGTCCAATCAGTCCCAGACCAGACTTGGAGATTTGCTGGTTTGCGATCGCAGCGTTCGTGGAAGTCGAGGTAGTAGACGAGTGTGTGCTAGTGCCCGAGGAAGTGGATTTGGAGCGTGTGGCAGTGGCAGTGGCGGTCGCATTGAGAGCGGCGTTGCAGAAGACATCGTGATAGTTGCCGCTCTTCCTGGAGAGGCAGGACTGGAGCTCGTTGATATCCTGGCCCTGGGCGAGACAGTAGATGCCACAGTTGTTCTCATACTTGGAGACCTCGGCGTCTTTACAACACTCATCCATCACATCGGTCATATTCCCAGTGACAATACCAGCACAGGCTGCATCAGTTGTGGGAATTTCCCAGACTCTGGCGCCGCAGGCAGTGCCTGTTGTGCTCGCGGAGGTGGTGGAAGTAGTAGACATTTTGGATTGTGGGGATTTGTGTTAGGAGAGAATGAGAGATGGGTTGGGATAATTTGAGGATAAAGAAGGAGAATGAGAGGCGAAGAAGTCAAAACGACCTGTCCAAGACACAGTGATGACCTAAAATGTGACAGGTGTTAGGCCTCCAGCCTTGGCCCTCCATTTACTATACCGTACGGAGTACTCCGTACTCCGCCATGAGATGAAACTCATTATTTTGGTTCTTTTGACACGAGTTTTTTTTTTTTCGTTTCTCTTACGATACCTTCGATTAGGTGCATGTGATATGTGTTATGCATCTGGTTTCCATTCAGGTATGGAGTACAGAGTAAGGAGGGAAGAAAACGTGAAGGAATTGTACACCGTATAGAAGCTAATATGTATGTCGACCACTTGCCAATACATACTGACAAAATTTGTCGGCCTCTCGATCTGAAGTTCGTTTGAATTCAAGGTAACTTGCCTCAATTTAATTCTTCAGGGTAGGCACGACATTCTCGTGCCTCGACACCTCGACCTTATTCTCATCCATCACAGCCTCGGGAGATTTCTCACCAGCAGGCTCTGCGCCGACAAGGGCGAGAAGCCCAATTTCTCGTTCAATTCGTTCCTTGCGTCCAGAATCCGCAGCTGCCAGCCCGACCGATCCGAACAATTCGTCCATCTCCTCCAGAGTGCGACCTTTGGTTTCGGGTACAAAGAAAATGACATAGAGCACACCGATGGTCGTGATGCATCCGAAAAAGATGAATGCACCAAAGTTGCTTTTTTGGAGGAAAGGAGATGTAGCAGTACCAACTGCAAAGTTGTTCAACTGCAGAGTACCCAGTTAGAGATTTCCATGTAATTTTGTGCTATCTCGTGACTTACCCAGTTACTGCTACCACCAATACTGACGCCCTTGGCACGCATACTGAGTGGGAACACTTCGGAAGTAACAATCCATGCAACAGGTCCTGGAGGAGAATGACAGTTAGCAAAGTCTAACCTGCGCTAGGAGTGTGTACTTACCCCATGAGTAGGCGAAGTTGATGATGAAAATCCAAACAAAGACAATAGCAACCCAACCAGCAGCTTGGTGCTCTTCGAAGCTACCCTGGTATGCCCCAATGATACCCGCGACAATGAAGTGGCAGGATGCCATTCCAATTGCACCAGCAATTAGGATCTTCTTTCGTCCAACCTTGTCAACCCACAGAACGGCAGGGATGGTGAAAACGAATTCAAAAATTCCAACAACACCAGTGGCAAGTAGCGAGATTGTATTACCACCTAGATGCATCTCCTTGAAGATGAATGGTCTGCGGAAGTGTCAGCGGGTATCTTCTACTCCGGAACTGCATTTCTGGGAACTCACGCATAGTAGTTAATTGCATTAATGCCTAGATAAGAATGTTAGTGGTGGTTTCAATATTCGGCTTTTTGTATATCTTACCATTCCATTGTTGGAACACCATAACCATACACTAGGATATCATCAGCAATATTCATGGGAGGGCGACATGTAACACCAAACGTACCGCTGTTGCCGTACGCTTAAACAGAGACTTGTCGGTGATCAATGACATGTAATCATGTAGTCCGATCTTGAAACGGCTGGAAAATGAGCCATCCTGCCAGTTGGGATACTTCTCGGCAGCCGTCTCTCGTTCGAAGAGGTACAAGCTCTTGATTTCAAGGAACTCAATGCGAACAAGAAGATCATCCTGGGGTGCGCTACGCAAACGAGCCAGTGTTTCCAGGCATTCTTCCTCACGACCGGTGTTCATAAGATGACGGGGGGACTGCGGCATGAACATCATCATACCCACAGCCAAGGCGACAGCGGGCACGATTTGAATACAGACTGGGACCAGCCATGCAGCATCCGACTGTGTTGTCCCGGTACCGCCAATGTAATTTGTTCCATAGCCAATCTGCAAACGTCAGAACTAAAATATTTCACTAGAACGGACATGACCTACCCAGAAGCTGACCATGATTCCAAAGGTGATGGCGAGTTGCTGTACAGCCACAAGTGAACCACGAATCTCCGGTGGTGCCTTCCGTCTTTGTTAGTCATTTTCCCCTCTAGAACTCCCGATGTTGTCGTATTCACTCACCAGTTCTGCATTGTACAGCGGCACAACCATACTCAAACTACCAACACCCAGACCCGTCACGAATCGACCTCCGAAGACATAGTCTGGGCTCGCTGTACAAGCTTGAACAATGACACCAACACAGAACACCACCACAGCAACCAAAACGGTCAGACGACGGCCGAGTGCATCGGCGAGATATCCGTTTGCCAATGTGCCCACCCAAGCACCAAGTTCGAGGATAGACGTGAGCATTCCTTGCTTAATACCAGTTTCTTTCGCATAGTCTTGGGTCTATGGGTAGAAAGCCATTAGCAGTGCAAAATGGTGGGTTTGACGAGTGATACACATACCGCTGCCTGGAATGCCGGCATGGTCAGAACTTGAGCGAACATTCCCTGGTTATCTGGATGATATCAAATTCTATTCACGAGTATATTGACATGTTTTCGTTAACTTACATCCATACACCAACCCTCCGAGTGAGGCAAAAAGTCCGATACATGTTGTCTTCTTGTTGCTGATCAGGCCCTTGAACCCATTTTTGCCTGACAGCTCAGCACGTTTGGCCGACACGGCTGTCTCTCCCGCAAGAGGAGCCACCATGGTGTATCAAAACACGGATCAATAAGGATAGATGATACAAAGGAACCCAACTTCAGATGAAACTGAAAGTAAAAAGAGAATGGCAGATATCGGAAAAAGTTCTAACGCGACCTTTACGTCTTGACGGGGGATCTGCGAGTATTTATTTGCTCGGCTACGGATAATGAGCTCGAACTCAACATTCCCCCGGGAACTTAGCCCCATGGGGATATAGGGGGAAATGATCGGGTTCGAAACCTGGAAACATGAGGTAATCGGCCCAATCAGCCCATTGGTGACCAAGCTTCGGTCTCCTCTCCTCATCAAGCCATGTGGGCAGGTCGGATCGGCTGTGAGACGGGAAAGGCTCGACTAGCGTGGCATTGGACTGCAAGACCGTCAGTGGCTGCAATAACCTTGGGCCGTGCGTGATATTCAAGCAGAATTTAACCGGTTCTTGGCAAGAGATCCGGAAACGGCTGGATAAACTCGGGAAGACCGTACGGAGTATGCAACGTCGAATGGCTAGAAGGGAGATGATGGGAGTTGAGTCGGCATGTGTCGTTCAAAGGACTCGGAGCTCCACCGGATGGAGAAATTCCGGGGACCCCGCGGATTTCAAAATCTGGAGATTCATCAATCTCAACACCCAACTTGCATTTCATTCAATGGCTGTATACGATGTACTAGTCCAGATGAGATTGTCTGAAGCCGCCATCTAAGCTACAATCCAGAAGTAATGACTGTCTCATTTGAGGTGAAGTCAACTGTATTCCCCACATCCGAGCTCCTGAACCGGGTGAATTGCTTTGATTTAGCCGATTTAGCCTCTGTCTTCATAGCTGACCGCACATTTTGACTCATGCACGAATCGGCTTTGGGTGTGCTGCCGGTCATCCACTATGTACTTTGAACGTTGAACCTCAGGATTAACCGGCAATGGTACGGAGTATGTACATCAGGTATCGACATGTGGGTAAAAGGGAAGTCCCTATCATTGTCTCCAAATATGCGTTTCCCCAGACGCCAGACTTGATCTAAAAAAAAAAAAAAAAAAAACATCCATAGGAAATTTCTCGGCTTCCTGCCGGAGATTGATCGGTTGTGAACCAGGAGACCTAGCCTTGGCGCAATCAACACCCGAAAGTTCTGTATCGAAGGTTGTCTGGATGCTTAAACTGATTGACTTTCCACATACTCCACTTCGGCCTCATGGACACACGCTTGGCCTCGGCCCGTCCAATTCAGAAATCCCGATTCCCTTTGCTTCCCCGATGTGTATGTTCGTGCTATGAGAACGAAATAGTATTTACTTCTCAGTGTTGCGTGAAGTATCTCATGCAACAATCCTCCATTTCTTCCACCTCAGTTGGACACTTCACGAATAAACTACTAGCACATACTTGAGTCTCATATATATTGATTCTAAACAAGTGCTGTGGCATTCGGCAGCCCTATACAGACCTCAAAGACCGTAACCCGAGTGCAAGCGCCATGGTTATATTAGAAAACACAACCGGCGAACAGACCAGGAATCGAAGCAACCCTCATGGGAATATTGCACTGGCAGCTCGCGATGGCGTAAATTGTCCCGGTAGAAAGAGAGGTCACACTACGATATTCGCAAGCACATAACATCAAAAAGTAGAGAATTCAAAGCCTATCCTAGGCACTGAAATGTATAGCCAGGAATTTCAGCCATAGAAAAACCCGGGAGTTTCGATGTGGCGGAAGGATATGCCAAGGTATAGACGGCATTAGCCAGTAAAAAGGCGCCTTGAGCAGCGAATATAATGCTCAATACGCCAGGTGTGCGGAATCCCATGTTTTCCAGGCCATTGGATTTTGCTTTGGAGAGAATTTTCTTTAAATCAAATGATCTCTGAGCGTTGCAAGTGGGGGTCTTTTACGTTTCCGTTTCCGGTTTCCTCCGGTTGAACTTCAGTGTTGACACATATCGAGAGCCTAGACTGGATGGTTTGTAGGCTTCTTTTTTTGTTCTTTCGGACGGGGAATATGAATTCAAATTAGCCTATTGTTTGAATATCTCAGTCACATGATCTTTCTCTATAGGTTCTCACAGTCCTCCTCATATACATCACTCATACTTTACATGTACCTCATGCTACATACATCTACTACATACCCAGTAGCATATTCCACACCTACATGTGAAGGAAATGCACCGAAATAATGCAATACAGTCTTCGAGGGGAATCCAGTTATCTTTGTGTCCCTAAGATTGCTCTTTGAAGGCACACGCTGGATCTAGATAGACAGCCTTCGCAGATTTCTAAATTATGCGAGAGGTTACTATACAAGTAGAACATATTATGTACACAACAACTCAGCCCCCTAGTACATACTGTGAAGTTTCGTAGTTTACAGTCTTGGCCCGACCCGTCTCAATGCTGTTTGCTTCCCTGTGAAACCCTTTGATGTCAGTACAAACACGTCCATCCTACCCTGGCAGTCCTCGCACTTTCAAACTCTATTCTCTGGGTACTCCGATCTATCGGAGACAATTCACCATGGCGCATATAGTAACATCCCTATGTCTAGGAGACAGTGACACCACTGCAAGGCCAAAGGACGCCGTTAACCAGAAAGTGACCCGCCAGGCGAACCCGAGTACCAACCAGGGCGCACATAACCCCATCGTGTCTCCAGGGCAATCAACTGATGTAGCAACTGAAGACTTCGAAATTGCCTCTGCACTGAACCTTGTCGCCGTCTCGGTAGCTGAGCAGCGCCACCTCGCCACTAAGTGCCTCATCCTTCATCCGGCCACTTTAACCCTGGTAGCTCTGGGTTTCGCTTACAGTGTCGGTGCCGTGTACTATGACCCTTCAGGCTGGCCCTACATTGCTGTTATCTGTGTCACTGCGGCATCAGCCACTCTGGACATTATCATGCGCTTTGCAGGGAGACATGACGGTGAGGCTGAGAACGTTGGAACGCTGAACTGGCTGTACGGGCACGATCCTAGCAAGAATGTGGATGATACAAGGATTCAGAAAGATCCCACCTTTAACTCGGATGGTGGTGCTACCTTTGTACTTATTCATCGATTCGGGAGCCGCATTGCCGGGGCACTTGTCATAAGCATCACATGTTGGCGCTGCCCTCCTCAAGGTCTTGATTTGCTATCATCATGAGTGGAAAGGGCCCCGATTCGCCAATTCCCATGTTAACTCGCTTCGCGTTTTCCCTTCCCTTTTTCATAGTGACATAGACCAGGAATTTGCTATGTGGAGCTCGTATCTACGCAAACGAATCGAGGCCAATCGCCAATCTCGTTCTGCCTTCGAGGCTCGAATGCTCCATGCGCCTCTGAATCATCTGAGTGCGAATTATGGCCAGAGTCCAAGAGTTGATGCACGGATGCGGTTGAATCGCATCCAGGTAAAGCTAGAGGAGTTGATCGGAAGATATTTCGACATGCGCCTTGACAAGGCATTTGAAGCTCAGGCTCGGTGGAAGGAAAGCTCGTAATTGGTCACATTCTAACATTGACTTGCTGTTTCTGAATAAATTTAATGTCAATGGAATTCAGACTTATTGATGTTGAGGTTCGTTTTCTGCTTTTGCTATCTATCTACGTAAGTAGCGCTCCGCAAAGCCCACAAAGCCCATAGCCCAACCCAACCCAACCCACAAATGGGCTGGGCTTTGGGCCCGAGTCCGGGCCCAATAAGCCCAATTAGCACCACACAATGCAAACATTTTGAAATATTAATTACACTATGTTTGAGCCCCGTAATTAGCACTTGTATTGTAGTAATACATTATTATCTAAATACATAATCTATGAATGTTAAGTGAAATTTATGTATCACGTTAAAATATAAGATAGAATGCGTTGGTTAAGAATAATTCAAATCACTAAGGTTTGTCAAGAAGTGGTGGTACTCCCAGGCTCATCTATAGCCCATAGCCTACTACGGGTTGGGCCATGGGCCCCCATCTATGGGCTTTGCGGAGCGCTACACGTAAGTATTTTTTGAATCGGATGCTCTCACGAGTGCATTCTCCTTTTTTCGAATACATCACCACTGGCAATTCCAGAAGAGAATTGGATGGATATTTGCAAATTTGTTCTCCAATATGAGCCCCGTGGTAATTCGTTGTTCCTGTACAGGTCAATGAAGGGAGGAGTATTTTTCTATGTTCTGTGTTCTAGCCATGGATCTTGAAGCAATTGCTTAGCTGTCTTTCTGTCTTCTGGTTGCCATTGAAGCATTCCTCTCATGAAATCTAGGAACATCTCTTTGTTTCTTCCATTCAGGCGCTCCTCGGAGTTTTTTAAGGACATCCCACCGGGAAGATCGACTTGGTTTCTCCAATGTCCTGTCACACATGCCTCCGCGTCAGAACAATAAGATTCAGGTTAGGTTCAAGCGTGGCATACCATCTTCAGTAAAGAATTCGCAACTTCGCTCTCCGCGCTTGAGGAAGTCCAAAGGAGGAGGACCCAGTACTCCGATTACTTCCGCAAGGTGCATGCGGGTGGAATAACCCTTGCCATCTGGGTCCATTCCAGTAAACATGTGTTTACCTTCGAACAAATCCCATACCTATTATTTTCATCCGCTTAGTGGCGAAGATAAGACAAGGTGTTAGAAGGGGGAACGAACCATAGTTCCAACATTCCAAATATCAATGGAGTAGCTCCACTCAATTTTTAGCATGACTTCTGGTGACCTGTAGATAGTGGGCTGAGCATCATGGCTCCTCTTCTCATCACCCCGTACAGCTGAGCCAAAATCGCTAAGAACTGCCCTGCTGAATTTTGGAGGTAATTCAAATCGCCGAGAGGCATAGACTGGCATGTTATCAACTAATTTCCGCGCCGAGGGATGCTCCATCTCGCTATCGGTAAACCTGTCAAGTATTGACATCTCTTCGAGCTCCTGGAGAATATTATCGCTCTTGATGTCTAGAAATCTTTGTTGGTTGCCTCGCCTGGTTGATGTCAATTGAAAGATATGTATCCTCACCGGTGTGAACAAGCTGGCATTCGTTGTGGAGATAATCAAGCGCAAGGAAGATCTGCTTAAGTCCGCTTTTAAGAAGATCTTCGCTAAGCCGATGCTCCGGGGAGCGATACATTAAATGTCGAAAGCTCCCCCACATGGGCTTTTGGACAACGCAATGATGCTCGTTATCTTGATAACTGCTCCCTTGATGCAGGATCGTGAATCCATCTAATGCACTCCTCACATGGGCATAGCCCGGGTGCCGTCTATCTCCCTGGCTCAACAATTTATAAGTCTGTACCTCCCTTTGGCTAGTACCATCCGCTGTGTACACCTTCAATGTGACATATCGATGATCCCTGCTTGAATCAGCATATTTTGACTCCAAGACTCAATGATTTTCGGCATACTCAAGATCACGAGCGAGCCATACTGTTGAAGTAGTTCCGAAACCCAGCTTGCCAACAACCTGATACTTGGATACTAAGATGTCACCGATATTCACAGGATAGTAGCGTCCTTTCTTAAACTCTTCAAAGCGCTCTTCTTCAAAGGTGTTTGACGGCTTGATTACTTCAAACCCACCTGTTGGAAACCGAAGCACAGGCGAGTGGCCACTTCTTATAGCGGTCCTGGCCCACTTGAGGAGGGAAGTCATGTTCTTAGGTAGTCTGGAGATATAGAGAGAAATCGAGGGTGAGGCGGGCCGTTGCTCCGAGGCTCCCAATTGATATAGTTGTCTCGGATTCGGGTCATTGATAAAGTGCACAATAGATGGAAGGGTGACCGGAACCGTGAATGTCCAGTTGTCATTAGGGAAAAGACTATATCAACAGTGAACAAGCGGTCAGGTGACAAATCCGCAGAACAGACGTTGAAGTTTAAAAGAAGTAGGTCGTCGGGAATATCTTCTTTCTGCGTTCCTTTTCCTAAGTTACTGATGCGACTTGCTCTATATTTCAATCTTTTTCGATTTTTTCTGGAGCAATATACAGCAGGGTTTACCCAGATCATGAATCAAAGTCCCGCCTTCCAATTGATATGTCAGGCTTCTGGTGGTGGGCAAGGTGATATCACTACTACATAATGTATATAGTATGGACTTGATGAAGTGATACAAGAGACATTCTGATCGGGTTCCAAGAACAAGGCAATCTGGGCAACTTTGTATCAACGGTAAAATTGTCTCCATAAAGCTATATAGATGGCTTCATAGCAGTAAATACGCTCTATCTTTGACAATCCATCAAACACTAGCAGAATAGTATATCCTATCTCTATTTTTATTCGGCTCTGCGAGCCTCTCCTAGAAGTATCAATGCACCCCATCTTGTGACCATATGGATTGCTCAATACGAAACACGAGGGTTTCAACAATCCTTGGCCATGGAGGCGTTGAGAGCGATATATATCCAACTCTTTGCCGAAGTAGGACCCTTTCACCGGGACACAATTAATAAAGCCATTCATGCATTTCGTTTATATACATAATTAGCCCATCTATTGTACATGACGCCTGGGCAGCCATCAAGGTTGCAAAATATCTAATAGTCAACTGACTCTCCCTGCCTACTCATTGCCTATTTTCTCCTTGCTTTACATCCCGTGCTTCATCTTCCACCGCATGACGAAGGCAGCAAATGGATAAAAGGCCAATGATACTGCAATCCAAATGAACAGAACAGCAAAGTCTAATCCTATCCGCGAATGGGTATCGAAAAGGATGGTTCGCATAGCTTCGACAACTGGAAAAGGAAGTTAGATCAACAGCAACAGAGCATCTTGACCACAGTGAAGAGAAACTTACTTCGGTGTAATGGCCATGCATACCCCCATCTATAGAAACCCGGGGCGAGATCGATGGCATAAAACCCTGTAGCAACATTCGTGATAACCCAAAAGATCAGGAAAAAGGCACTCCATGGGAACCCTAGAATCATGGCCATGTTCTCGCAGGGGAATCCCAAAGCAGCCATGCCAACCCAGTTCAGCATCCAAAACACGACAAATGAGCCACGACCATAAGCATTGGGATTACTTGCGGAGAGGACATCCGATTCACGGCCATTGTCAAATGTAATCTGAAAGGCCAGAGACACGAGAGAGTAGCACAGGGAAAGGAAGAAGTAAGCCGCGATGCTTGAGAGAACTCGCCAGATGAGCCAATGTGGCACCTTCAGCGGCGGATGGCCATCTGGTTTCATGAACAGGGCATGGACAGGCATAAGGAATGGGAAGTTGAAAAACGCAATGATAATCAGATAGATCAGACCGATTGTCACGGCCGGCGCAGCAACAGCCGGGGCGAAAGGACGTAGATCAACGGTCGTGAATCCAATGGCTGGGTTGATCGCCTGTGGGGGCACGGACGACAGGTTGCTGACGGACGAGGTCAGAGACCGGACCCAACGCGGACCAAACTCTGCTAGCACCATCTGCTGCAACACGGCTAGGTTAGGTAGGATATAATTGTAGTAGGATGCTTGATCGCGCGCGGAGATGATCACGGTCTCGATGGCACCGGTTGGATCGTAGGTTGTATTGCCATTAGAGACTGCATCCCGGAGCAGCGTTGTTGCGTTTGGATTGATTATCACAGCTGCATAGGCATGTTCATCGTATACGCCCTTGCGCACGGCCCAAGGGTCATAGTTGAAGTCGGCGGGGGATTTGATACTGTAGCCGAGGTGGAGACTGTCAGACTGCAGGATCCTGTTGGTGACATCGATGACTGCTGGACCGACTAAGACGTCGTTGGAGCGGTATGGATCAACTTGGCCGTCAAAATCGACGACCCATACCTTCAATGCTGGGTAGTTGGCCTCAGTGCGGTATTGGGAGCCCCAGAAGAGAGATAGCACACCGAATATGAAGACGCACAAAATCAACACTGGTCTCTGTCAGTTTCTATCGTGTTCTCTTACTCCCGATATTTTTGGATGTTTTCTTACAAGTGCGAGCCCACTGGTAGAATACCCGCCGTCGAACCTCCTTGAGGGATGGATCAAAGAATGATACAGCAGCCGGTGGGCTGGTGTCACCCTCCAATGACTCGGCTTTTACTGTCATGACTCAACAGCTTGCAGTAGATATCCATGTAAAGGAATTGCGGATGGGCTATATTAATACTTTGACAACTACACGCGAAAAGGTGCTCATCCGCTTGCGGCATTGTAGTTTTCCCTCGGAGTTTATCCATTCTTGGAAATTCTCTGCCTTAACTCCGAGCGGACGGACGAGATCTGATAATTTCTAGCGAATGAGAGTGACGCATGCACAGATTTGCATAGTTTGGTGTTCCCGGAGGATAAAGCTATAACCGCGCGTTAAATGTGAGAAGACTGAAGAAATTTTGTATATCCGTAAACGCGGTCTAACATTCCACAATATACACGTCAACCATGAACTTCGACATGTCCAAGGTGTTGGTCGTAATATGTTGAATGTATTGACCCCGGCGCGTCGCGCGGAAAATTATCCTTGATGTATCAGTTTACCCATCATTGCGCGTCCCTGTTTCATCCAGCTGATCCTGGTCAACTTGCATGGCCACGCATTCGCCGCTGTGGAGGTAGCGAGATACTGTGCGGATCCCTTGAAAGCTGAAACTCTTCTACTTTCATAATGCCCATGTAGCATGTATCATCGGCAAAGCCCGCTCGATACCAAGGCGCATAAACCAGCGATGGCCGTAGATTGAACTCCTGTCGAAGAGTGAGTACATAGCAGAAAAGAAGGGTGCTGGGTTTCCAAATTTGACGATCGTAAAACTCATTTCATTGAATCTAAGGGTATCATTAAAAATTCTATATAGATCTTTGTCCACCAAGCGATCCCAATCAATCTCCCGACTTTCAACAAATTGTCCATAGGATCTAGGAGCCCGCCGGGGGACCCTTACTGTATGAGACAGTGACTTTCGGAAGGAGGTTTGAAAATGTTCAGGCACAGGTGACTTGGTATGAACCGTAGCGGCGCCTTGGTCCAGCCATGCGGCAAATTTGAGTGGCATTGACTTGGCTGGCGATGTCGGAGAATTCGTTCTGATCGCACATGGTGTTGTCGAACAACTCGATGCGGCAGCCCTCGGCCACAGAATTCAGGGTGTAGGCAGAGGCAACGCTGTGGAGATTGGCGCGACAACCTGTGCTGCCAGATCCGACGTGAGGGTCACCAATAGTTCCATTGCATGAGGTTGACGGAAAAAGTGTGAAAGACCATTGAATGTCGCGGCCGACGAGAGGGAATGCGGAGGAGAAGTTGAAAAATAGAGATACGGCCAGGAGACAGAGGTGAAGAGTAGAGACCATAGTGTCTTGGGAACGTAGAGGGTGTATTCGGTGGAGAAGGACTGGAGAATAGAGGCGCACACAGGAGAGAAGAGGGCTGGTTCTTAAAGGTCTAGAAAGTAGAACTGACAGGGGAAGAGAGTCCACAATTTATTATGGATATGAGACCCGCCTCCAGGGGACCCTGGAAATTTAATGTAATCCCATGCCAAGCATTTACGCGTTATGCCCACGTTCGCACACTTCGGGTTCGGGCAAGCATAGTACGGAGTACGGAGCACAGCATACGGATCAAAATCTCTACTCAGGAATCCTTCCGTCTCCGTACAAAGACAATGTGGAAGCCCCTAACAACGGGTTTTCATTCCAGATGATGTCATCCCGGGTAGATGATCATTTAGTCCCATTTGGGTAAGTGGGAGGGGCTGGGATATCCATCTTACGCAGATGCATACGTACTCTTCCCGAAGAGACATATGCTGTAATCCGTACGGAGTAATTGCTTCGTGGGATTTCTATTTTTATCAAACTCCAACTCGATATGAAAGGTGGCTGAACATCACAGAAATAAAGAGGCATAAGTGGCAAAAGTGGCAATAACGATATCTTTGTGGGAAACAAACTTTTTTTTCTCCGATCGGCAGAGATATCCATGGTTCTACGCTCTAATCTTAACACTCAACCATGGAATCTTCAAAGATTTCTTCCAACTTGGGTTAGGATGAGTCCAGGGCTTATCTACATCATAATTTGAGTGCCTCCAAGTTTCTATTGTCTACGTCCCTACGAAACTACTACGGAGTATGAACAATTCCGATTTGAACTTTCTGAGTTTCCACACCAAAAAAGGATACTGCTATCCACTTATTGAGAGGTTCATCTCATTTCCACATCACTTGGCCAATATTTCTTCCACAATCAGCGCATGCTGCATCAGCACCTCATCCTTTTGTCTACGCCCGATAAGCTGCACATGGCAGGGCGCGTTCTCGACCTCTCTCGGGTGGTCTGAGTTCGGTCAGCATATATCATTAAATATATCCCAGAGATGTCTTACAAGGAGGATAATAATCCACATCGCGAACAAATTCGGCATCAGCGGCCATTTGGGACGAGCCATAAGGAATGACGCATGCGGGATACTAGTTTTCCAGTTAGTGTTCATGTTGGCAAGTGCCGCCAAAGGAAACATACGTCGACCAGGTTGGCAATGACTGTATACACTGGAACCCCGTAGGTGTCATGAGGCACTGCCGTGCTCTGGTATCCCGGTCCGATAATCACGTCCAGATGGTTGTCGAGGAACACCCGGCGCATTTTAGCCATGATCTCTGCTCGGGAGGTGTTCAAGGCAAATAAATCCCGCAAATTCGGCTCCTCTCCCTTTCCATCGAGGTCGTATGTAAATCGGAGAGACGGGATCGCCGGCTCGCCAGACTTACGAATATGCTGCAACGCTGTCTGGTCCGGGTCGATGCGAAAGAATCGGAATGCTAGATCTGCCGCGGCTCCCAAGAAGTCAATCTGGCTAGATAGATCCACGATGCGATGGCCTGCATTTCCTAGCTTCTCGATTGCCCTTCTAAGTGTACGCTGCATGTTGGGGTGCAATGGTGACTGAAGATCTTCAGGCAAGATGCCGATTGTGAGCTGCGTGGGTGGCTTCACCGGCTGGATCCAAGGAAATCCCAGAGCCGTATCGTCCATATTATCGGATGGTGCATTGAAAACCACTCGGAGAAGCATCTCTGCGTCGCGAACTGAGTGACAAAGTGGCCCTGCGCTTGGAGCTATCCCAGTCATCCCTGATCTTCCAGCACTCGTTTGTCCGGCATATGGAACACGGCCGACACTAGGCTTGAACCCCACGGTACCACAACATAGGGCTGGGATGCGAATGGACCCAGCAATGTCAGTGCCAATTCCTAGGATAGATCCACGCATGGCCACCAAAGCTCCCTCGCCTCCACTGCTGCCACCGGCTGTGAGATTATCTCGGTGTGGGTTGAGCACCCGACCAAAGACATTATTGTGCGAGTCTGCTGTCATCATTGTCTGGGGCACATTGGTCTTCACGTATAGCACTGCCCCTGCTTCCAACAGAATGTCCACCAAGACTGAGTTTTGGGTTACGGGCTCGCGGTCCAAGAAAGAGACAAACCCGAGCGAAGTCGGTACTCCCTTGATGTTGAAGGTCTCCTTCAGACTAATTGGGATACCGTGAAGCGGGCCAACGGGGTCTCCAGTAGCCTTGATATGCGCATCCAGCTCTTCAGCTCTAATGAGAGCTTCTGAGAACATAGTTTCGGTTAAGCAGCAAGTCAACTGCTGCGCAATGGCGGCACGCTTGCAGAAAGCAGCGGTCACCTCGACGGCACTAAGCTCTTGCGCAGCGAGCTTGTCTCGTAGAGATGTTGCGTCGATAATCTCCGTAATTGCGAGCTCTTCCTTGCTGAGGATGCCGCACTTCGAGGGCACGTCGATAATTTCCAGCTCGTTTTTATCAACTTGCTGTAGGATCTCTGCTGACAGTCGCCATCTTGTGGGCATTTTGGCGTCTACCTCGGCCCGTTTGGTGGCACACTTATCTTCCCAGGATAGATTGGTCATTTTGCTAGCTCTCAAGAAAGACTTGTTCAGAGTCAAAGGGTAAACAAGCGGATAGAGATAAAATATTGGAGAAGAAGAGATGCCGAAGATGGTTGAGAAGTGGAAGTGAGATGAGAGATAGAAGACCTCGGAAAAGATAAATGCGGGGAGAGATCAGATGCGGAGAGAGATGAGGTGTGGGAGAATCTATTCTGAGTTTGGTGGGGCAAACAGGCAAATACGCAAGCTGGGAAGTCGGGATTCAAATACTCAACTTGATACTGGCCTATATCCTCATCTTTATACATCGTGCTCTAGTGGGGAGGGCAGAGGGGTAGGCCAATCAAGTACATTTGCGCCGACAAAGTACAAACGTAGGATTCACCCGGCACACACACACGGCAGTTGCATCTGCCCTTGTACCATGTTGGATTTCTATTGAAATCATATAAAAGGGCACTAGACACCAGGCACAGATCATCCAGGTCCAGCCAGAAGCGATCATACCTACATGATGTCTAATTGACTATCGATTTATACATCAATGGTTTGGCAGAGCGTTGATACATGTCAAATCTTAAACTTTTACAACAGGGCTATCACTCGCAATATTTAAAAGTCTGGTGTTCATCGGGAAAGATCATTGCTGGCAAAGCCATGATGTTAACGGGGCGGGATATCCCTTTGAATAGGGACTTTTACATGACAATGTATGCAATGATTTTGACGAAGCGAAAGATAAATCCAGCATTCTCCCATATTCTATATTTCCACACACACTATTAATCTTTGCCTATATATTCTTCATGGCCAAACATCTGCCTTCATAAAACCGAACACACCCAATCAGCGGTAATTGCGCCCTATCGAGTGTGGAGCTTGACTCGGATTTGCTATTCCAATCTCCATATCCGCCACCTCAGATGTCAATAATATTGAGAGATCTAGGAGAGAAACATATCAACCCAACGCTATTTCCACCTCTCTGGTCATTCTCATCCTACGCGCACGGGCACCACTATGACTTACAGAGGACCCAAAAAAAGAAGAGACTTCTCTAGGGAATATTACCAGCAACGTCTCCCTGAAGAGTCTCAATGGGTACCCAGGCAAGTAAGTTCTATCGTTCTTCCAGTGCCTAGGCTCTGCTAATTCCTCCCTTTTTGCACAAACAAACACGAGCAAGTATCTGTTTGTAGTATAGGGCTGCTACATACTTGTTCTGGCAGTTGATCTTATCTTCCTTCCAAGGCGCAGCATATGTTGTGTATATGAGCAACAGTGTTATTCTTATAGCCAAAATTTGCCAGTCATTTATAGAACTTGGGAAGAGACACAATTTGAACCATGGATCGTCGTAGCACAGTTCATGAATGTTTATCCAATGAGAAGCGGGGAGCTGGCCCCACCTTCACGTGTCCCAGACATATTATTATCTGATGCTCTCAGTCTCTTTTCCCTTCCAATGACAATCCCCATTAGAAATGAACAATCGAGTCGCAGAGAATGTTCTTGGTACTCTGGGTGCAGTAAGTTTTGTTTTTGGATTAGTAGACCAAACTAATTGTTCTTTCTAGGTTTGCTGGTCCATTCAAGTATGCGGTTGTGTATGCCAAATAGCTTTGAGTCCACGCTAATACCTTTGTACAGCTCGTTCCTCAAATAATCATCAATTACAGAAGAAATGACACTGAAGGGCTGCAAGGGTCAATGATGCTCTTATGGGCCGTCGCGGGGGTTCCTCTCGGGGTGTACAACATTGTGGAAGAATTCAATATTGCCTTAAGGATTCAGCCACAGATTCTAACTACACTCAGCCTCCTTACCTGGGCACAATGTCTATACTATGGAAAGGTAATCATCTCTCTTATTACCCAAGGTGATCCTCGTAATGCTCACTCAGATTCAGAAATACCAAATCATGAAATGCTGTGTCGCGGTCACTTCACTTCTGCTGCTGCTGGGTGGTATTGAAGCTGGACTCATATTTGCCTTGCAAACTGCAAAAAAGCGTGGGCTGGAATGGCCTCTTATCCTGATGGCCGTTCTTAGTGCATGTTTACTTGCAGCGGGAGTACTGAGACATTACTGGGATATTTATGTCCATCGGACTGTTCGAGGAATCAGCTTCATATTTGTTGGAATTGATGCTGCTGGGGACTTGTTTTCACTCGTCTCTGTTCGTAAGTCAGCTTCATATTCAAAGATAGAGATTGCCAATGGCTAATATGCAAGCAGTGTTTGGATCGACTATTAATGTCCTTGGTATAATAATTTATGGAACTGAATTGACACTTTGGGTGGGCATATTTATTTGCGGCGGTGTGTTCAACCTCCGGCCCTGGATAAAAAAGCGCTTTGAGCGGCGAAATGGCAATCATCAGGACCCGGTGTCTCTGCATCCAATGCCCTCGTCGACTTCTGTATTCAGAACCGCGTCTGGTTCTCAAGTGACAGAAAGGAGGCCATGGCAGAGTTCCTAAAGAATCAATGATACATTACTCGAATAATTCGACATCAAACAGCCTTTATTCTTCTCTGCCGTGATAACCACCTTCGTCTGATGTGGAGTAGTTCCACATTTATCAAATGCCCCAAATGGTATAATTTTGCAGAACTCGAAGTATAAGATTAGGCTGAGTCACACAAGTGGAGTTTGATAGAGGTGGATGGAGCTGAAAATTATGGAGACTGGGACACGCGGCTGTCAGATTCAGCTTTAACTTTATCTAACGAATGCGGCTTAAAAGAGCTCCGCCGCATCCCGGACCCGCTCGCTTTCTCGGGATACATCTATGGATGTTCCATCTCTGATGAGATTCCACAACAGCTTGTTTGCAGAATATAGACTTATATGTACTTTAAGATTTTGTGACGTTGAATTCTCTTCGTTTCTCATGTAGCTGTGCTATGCTATGAATACTCGAAGTCAAATCTCAGTCTTTCCTACTTCTCTTTGTCCCCTTAATCTATGTCTGTCCCTCCCGGATGGCTGGACAAGATAGCTGGATAGCAGTGTGTCTAGCTACAGCTTCGCCTTGCTAGCTTTTGGACGTCTGCCGGTATCAACGTCAGACCACCAAGGAAAGCTGGGCGGTGCATCATCCTCAAGGGTTGCATTGAACTTCGGCTTGCGTTTCTCGAAGAATGCTTTGATGCCTTCGTTTGAGTCTCTATAGCTAGGTCAGCATCTCTTCTTGACATATAGAGTTATACAAGAAGGCTTGAAGAAACAAGGTGGAGACAGCATACTTTCCACTAAACATATGGTACAGAACCGCCGAATCAACCAGATGAGTCTCTTCAGCACTCCCTGGATTCCGCCACATGAGTTCTCGCGAAAGATATGACGCCATGGGGCTAACACTCTCTGCAACTTCCGTAGCAAGCTCCAATGCGCGCGTGACTACCTGAGTTGAATCAGGGTATGTCTCCTGGAACAACGTCCCGAAGTGTGGCGATGTAGCTGAGAAGGTGCCTCCAGTTGTGAGCAAGTAAAGAGCATTCGAGTAACCAATCAAACGCGGAAGGAAGAATGAAGAGCTTGATTCCATCGTCAGACCCCGTCGCGGGAAGACAAATCCGTACTTGGATTTCTGGCAACCAATGCGGATGGCGGCTGGTAGACACATTGTCATACCCAGCCCGACGGCGGAGCCCTGCATGGCCGCTATAGTAGGCTTACGGCAGCGGTGGATGGCCAAGGCGAGACGGCCGCCGCTAGCAATGGTATCAGCGAAAAGGGTATTTAGGCTACGTACAGAAGCGTCTTTATCTTACCTGTCGCGGTGGTCCTTGTTTCTCTCCTTCTCCATTCCACTAAATCCTCGCTCAAGATCTGCACCTGCACAGAACATCTTACCAGCACCGGTAAGTACCACGACTTTTACTCGTTCGTCAACATCAAACATAGGGTATATCTTCTCAAACACATGCATCATATCTAGAGTAAATGCATTATGCTTTTCGGGTCGGTTCAGCGTCACCACAACAACGGGGGTAGCTTCAGGAGCCCCAGCCGGGTGGTGGGAGACTTTGACATCGGTCAACGGAAGAGTCTCGTAAGACTTGGGAATCTCGATACTGTCTGGGTCGAAAATCATGGTGGTCACTAGGAATCAAATAAACTCCAGTTGAGCTCACCATTTGCGGGGATATGTTGGTAACTTATATTCAAATCCACGCCTCGGCTGTCAAGTAGACTTGATCACTCATCATGAATTCTAGAAGGGTTGGGCCGCGGTTGACATATTTGTTGCATGGGGGTGGGATTACATTATCTCGGGACATTTTGAAAGCTAGGAGTAACATGCGTCCTCGGGGGTTGAAGCGTGGATCACTGGCCCCATTCTCGATGTACATATAGGCTGAAGTAGTATCACCACAATCCGCGTTCGCACCTTCTTTCCAGATGATGCTTATTTTCAACACGAGAGTGTGGAAATCCGGATGTGGATTCACAAGCGAAGAAAATGATACGATGCCTCTCAGAATGAACTCCAGCTAAATAGACATATCGTATTCAATTCACCGTGTCATATTTCTAGCAAATGCCACAGCCATATACTCTGTTGCATGATCCGGTGGGAAGATAGCTGATAAATAGGGAGTCCAGCCGGGGATATCATTGCAAAAGGTATACGCTCTAACAGTTTCACACCATTCAGGATGCCAGCCTACAAGCTCCCAATCCAATACTGCAGTGACGTGGCCATGGTCATCAACCAGGATGTTTCTCGGTGCCAGATCACCGTGCGTGAAGACCATGTGCTCCTCCGGCCGTCTAGTGGCCGTATAATCCACCAAGAGATCCGGGACTGAGGTCGTCAGTCTCGAAAATAGGTACTCGTCCAGGTCGATTGGGCATCGTGTATATATACTTTTATGACTGAAACACTCCAGCTGTGCATGCTTCAGGCCTCGCAGTTGCTGTATATAACCATGCAGTTCCTGCGCAACAGACATCTTTTGTGTTGGATTCATGCTGGACCAGGCATCTTGCAGCGTCCGGCCTTCGATATAGTCCATTAAGATAGACTTAACGCCACCATCATGATCTTGAGTTCCGTGAACATGGGGAATCGGGATGGTCGTGTTTTCGGCGATATAGCGCATATTCTCGGTTTCAAGGTCTATATTTTGGGAGGATCCATATTTAAGCAATCTGTCTTTGTGGACTCGTAGGATTTTCCGGATATTGGGTTCTTGTGGCTCTGAATACCTCCACTCGTTAACGTGATGGAATTATCCGGTACCACTTTTAGGCATACTGACCCTGGCCAGAGACATCCATTGCGTCCCCAAAGAACGCCGCTTTGAGACCCCTCGATGGGAACATGAGCCTAGAAACAGATTATCAGAAAGTGAGGCATCCGTTCTTCGATCCGTGACCAATCACGTGGCTGGGAGTGTTCAAACATGCAGTTGGCTGAATGCAGTAGTAATCTTGGAAGTTGGACCTGGTCTCTGGTCTCACAGCCAATAGTTCTGTGCGCTGGGGAGTGCGGATTTGGAGGACTATATGGAGCAGGACAAAAGTCACGAAAAATGAACACTACAACGCGTTTGGATAAGAGCACCATGTATTTTTCTACTCTATGTGGCGTGAATAGTCATGATCAGGAAAGCCCAGGTACATAGGCTACCCCTCATCTACCTAGTAGACAAGAATATTTGAAAGATATTTAAACGAAGACCTTGGCCTCACCGGCCTTCAGCTTGCCAGCGTCAACAAGGCGCTTAGCCTCGCCAGACCAAGTAGTCTTCACAGCAGCGCCATCGGTACCGGCGATGGTGAGTTTCTCAGCCAGAGCGGCGAGCTCATCAACGTCGATCTTGCCCATGATGAGATCGACGTCGCTGAGGACACCGTCAACCTCAGCGGCAGTAGGCTCCCCAGCGGCGAAGTAGTTGACATCCTTAACGGATCCCTTGAGAATACGCTTGTTCTTCTTCGAAGCGTTCTTAGCGGCCTCCTTGGCCTTCTTGTTCTTCTCACGGTCAGCCTTGGCGGCCTCCTCGGCGGCCTTCTTGCGCTGCTCCTCAGCAGCCTTTGCGTTCTCCTTCTCCTCCTTGAGACGGCGCATCTCCTCCTCCTTGGCGAGGCGCTTAGCGTCCTTGCCAGCACGAGCCTGCTGGCGGAACTTCTTAATACGCTCGTCGGAGGCGAGACACTCGTCGACAAGCTCACGCAGACGGACGGTGTCCTCAGTCTTGCGCTTGCGGCGGGCGTTGGCGTTCTTCTTCTCGACATGACGCTTCTGGTCACGGCTCTCTCCATCATCAGGCACATCCTCGTCGAGGTACTCGAAAGTCCTCCAGCTGTCAACGTTGTACCAGAAGTTGTAGAAAGTCTCGACGTGCTCCTGGGTGCTGTTCTCGTCTCCAAGTGTGGGCACAGGCTGCTTGTTGGAGAAGCGACCCTCGGCGACAAAGACGGGGCCCCAAGCCTTGTAGAACTTGCTACCGGTGAGCTTCTTGGTGGGAGGCTCAACGTCAGCGTTCTCATCGACGGAATCGAACTGGCGACGACGAGTGGGGTCCAGAAGCAGATCGGTGGCCTTCTGGATACACTTGAAGAAGCTGTCATTCTCGTCGCTCTTACCCTGAGCGGCCTTCTTGTCAGGGTGGTGACGCAGGACCTTCTTACGGTGAGCCCGCTTGATCTGCTCGGGGGTTGCGCGCCAGCGGTACTTCTTCAAGCCCAAAACGGCGTAGTGATCCTGGCCCTGCTATGAGTTAGAACCTGGCCAACCAGGATAAATCTTTGAATTACTGACCTTCCAGTCCTTGGCCTCACGGGCAAGCATCATAGGGTCCTCATCCTCAGAGATATCGTCATCCTCCTCGGTCTCAGTCTTCTTGACGTTGTTCTGGGCCTGGAGGCGCTCATCCTCGGAGAAAGTGCGGTTGTGACGAGACTAAAAGTTTGTTAATTTCGAGAGAGCGAAACAAAATTGAGTTCGTTTGTAGGACTTACTCGGCGAGCGTGAGCCAGGAAGTGCGGGCCAACGGGCTCCACGTTGCGCTTGGTGGCACCGGACAGAGCGCCGACAATCTTGAAATCCTTCTCGCCAGCCCAGCCCTGAGGCAAGGTAGGGAGGGAAATGTTAACAACTTGAGCAGCAGCCATTGTATAATGGTATTGGTGATGATACCAAGTTGTGTGTGGAGAGTGTTGGGTCCCGCGATGGAATTTTTTGCATACCGTTTTTTCTGCCCCAATTATCCGCCCCTCCGGCCAATCATGGGTCATCCGTTTTGGAGTTTCAAGGCTGGCGATGGCACCAGGCCTTGCTCCTTCTGTTGACTTGGATATTCAAATTTTCTGGTTTGGTCGATCTACAATCTTGGTGATCACTTCTATTACGGATTGACAGTCACCAATAACTTCATCCCCAGCTCCTTATCCGTGCCAATCATCCGCAGCAACAATTTGCAACCTGTGCTTCTCGACTTATTCCTATATTTAATCACCTCTATACTTCTCTGTGAAATTCCTGCTTTTCATCATGGCCACCTCCACTGCCGCTGCCGCTAAGAGCGCCTATCGCCAACTTCTCCGGTCCACCCGGATTGTTTTTCACAGTTCGTTTGACAAACATAACCGCCACCGAGGCCTTGTTTCCCTCATACTGACACCGGTTACAGACGATCTCCCGGTCCTCACCGCTGCGCGCCAGGAAGCGCGCCAGAACTTTGAGAAAAACCGTCGCCCAGCCGTCGATACTGGAATGCAGATCAATCATGCGATCGAGGTTGCGAACATCCTGCGCCACAACATCGTCCAGGGCTCGAGGGAGCAAGGAGATGAAAATGCCAAGTGGGGTATGTGCAATTCTAATTCGTAGACTTGTACTACTAGTACCCGTACAAACTGTTCACTAACGAGCCATTGTATTTACAGAACTCAATATCCACGATCAGATCGAACGCGGTGATAATGACTCTATCAAAGTCGGCGAAAAGGACGTCAAGATTCACAAGGCTTGCTCGTCATGATGGTTTCTTTCCCCTGCCCTGATGCTCAGTTGAATCTGAGCCCACTCTCCGAGTCCATTCAACGTCAACAAACGATACTGGAAAGTCGAAACCAGTCTGCAAGCCTTTGCCAAAGCAACGGCATATGGCACGGTAAATAAGCTACGACAGTGACCGGACATGTATTATAAGATACCCGACTCTTTTATTCATTGGCGTCTTCGGGGTATTTTCGATTGAAGTACATAGATCTGCATAGAATAACCCAATCCTTGATAACGCCCGCTCCGAATTCTAACTTACATGCAACCTCGATTTGATTTAATGGTATCTCTGCGCAAGCTCTGTTCAATCGCCATTCATGCTGGCGTACTGGACCTCACCCGATCCGGGCGGCGGTGCGACAACATGAGGCTGAGCTTTCTCCTGGCCAGCACCCTCGCCTGCAGAGGTAATGGCTTGTCGGTCCGCTTGCTTGCCTTTGCCAACCGATCCCACAGTCTGGCGACCCTCACGAGCATTTTGCATTCTCTCTTCACGGTCCAGATTATCTAGTGGCTTCGGTTTCCCCCAACGGACACGCAGAGGGCAACCCTGAATGATAGCCTTGCCCTGACAGTGGTTTGCAGCGGTTTCAGCGTCTGCACGGTTGATGTAGTTGATGAAAGCACAGTGGGAGCGGTGGGAGCAAATAAGCGACCGGAGCTGGCCGAATTCGCTGAAAAATGTGCGGAGCGTATGCTCGGGAAGATCGTCTTCCACGCCTGTAATAAACAAGGAAGTGACGTTGGGATCCGCTGGGGGAAGAATATCTGCAGCTGAGGGCGGCAGCTGGGTGGTACTGGGGAACGGACGGCCACCACGGCCACCACCTCGTCCACCACGGCCTGGAAGACGGTTTCCGACGCGGCTTTCACTAGTACGGACCGGCCCGGGGCCATTTCCATAGCGGCTGTTTGTTCGCGGTTGATCTGACGCCGTACTTTCCTCTCCTTTGTCGTCCTCGGCAGGTGCTTCGATTCTTCTGGGCTTGCGGTAATATGGTTCACTGTTTGCAAGGCGTCGCAAAAGCTCGCGAGCCTTGTCGTCTGTCTTTTCGTATGCTTCAATGGCACCACGTCCCTCTTCGATTTCCTTCTCGTTGTTCTGCGCGTAGTACTCGCGATTGATAGAGCTTTCCGGTCCTGGGGCAACCATTTTGAGGGCAGCATCACGGACGGCGAGAGGGAGACCGAACGACAAATCTAGCATGCAACATTGACAGCAGTTCTTCAGGCGCGCGCATGTGAGGCAGATGATGGATCGCTTTTGGCGGGAAGTACGATCGGCCTTCCAACGGAAGATAGTGAATGGGCGCGTGCACTAAGTAGTTAGTATGTGGGTATGGACAAGCTTGGAGGGAGCAAGGAACACTTACAATCTTGCATTCTGCACCATGATCTTCCTTGATCATTTGGACATAAGGATTTTCGGGAAGACAATTCTCACAGACGGAGGGAAAGTCTGTTGACTCCCAGCCGGATCGGTTCAAATCATGTTTAATTTGGGGAGGCATGTCGGAGAGTAGGTCAATCCGAGAGATGAGAGAGCTTCCCAAGGTTGGATTATCAAGATCGATAGAAGTGGCGTGTGGCGTAGTGTGGCTGCCAGATCACGTGGATGCCTCAGGTCACCTTTTTGTCCCACCGGGTGGTGGAGTGTCCGACTCAGCCACAGTCCGGAACTTTGGAGTCCCGTGAGGACAGCAGAGTGTGGCCACTCCCCCAAACGATAATATTGGCCCCCTCCAGGCACACTAAAGGTCTAGTCGCTCGGAGATTCCCCCCTGATTGGCTCTCCACTTCAGATTGTCAAAAAGTTGCTTGGGATTCGACTCTCTTATTTATTTCCCCTTTCTCCTATGTTGTACTTCTCCAATTCATTCCCTTTGCCCTCTTGATTCGCTTCTCTGGTATTTACAGTGGTTTACCTTGTTTTCTCTTAGAAAATCTTGGAAATTGACACTTTTTTTGCCTCCCTTTGCCATCTACCCCTTTTAATCTTTGCGACTTTCTTCACCATGGCTCCCTCTGCATTGGAACGTGAGGACAAGGCGCGTGATGCCGCCTTTAACAAGGCTTTGCACGGCCAGTCTGCCAAGGCGCAAGGTGGTCTCTCTGCCATGCGCGGGAAGGACGCCGCCGCTCAGAAGGCCGCCATCGACGAGTACTTCAAGCACTGGGACAACAAAAGTGCCGCTAATGAGACATCGGAAATCCGTGAGGTATGGCAATGTGTATCGAAGAGATTTGGTTCGTGTCGCTAATAATTTGCGCGTGACAGGCCCGCAAGGCTGAATATGCTACCTTGACCCGACAGTACGTGCAGAAATAACCCCATTGATCGACGCTTTTCATACTGATGATTCTCTTGCAGCTACTACAACTTGGCCACCGACTTCTACGAGTATGGATGGGGCTCCTCGTTCCATTTCTGCCGCTTCGCCTACGGTGAGCCTTTCCACCAGGCCATTGCCCGCCACGAGCACTACCTTGCCCTCCAGGCTGGTATCACTGAGGACATGAAGGTTCTGGATGTTGGTTGTGGTGTCGGTGGTCCTGCTCGCGAGATGGTCAAGTTCACCGGTGCTCATGTCACCGGTCTAAACAACAACGACTACCAGATCGACCGCGCCACTCACTACGCGCACAAGCAGGGTCTCTCGGACAAGATGGCCTTTGTCAAGGGCGACTTCATGCAGATGAACTTCCCCGACAACAGCTTCGATGCCGTGTATGCCATTGAAGCCACCGTCCACGCCCCTGAGCTTGTCGGTGTTTACAGCGAGATCTTCCGTGTCCTGAAGCCTGGCGGTACCTTCGCTGTGTACGAGTGGCTCATGACTGACGATTACAACAACGACGATGCTGAGCACCGTCGTATTCGCCTCGGTATCGAGCAGGGTGACGGTATCTCTAACATGGTCCGTATCTCTGAAGGTCTCGAAGCCATGAAGAACGCTGGCTTTGTACTGAAGCATCACGAGGATCTCGCTGCTCGTCCCGACCCCATTCCGTGGTACTACCCGCTGGCGGGCTCCTTCAAGCACATGGGCTCGGCCTGGGATTTCTTCACCATCGCTCGTATGACCTGGTGGGGCCGTGGCATTGCCCACCGCTTTGTCGGTGCCGGCGAGTCCATCGGTCTTTTCCCCAAGGGTTCTCAGAAGACCGCCGACAGCTTGGCCTTGGCTGCTGACTGCCTGGTTGAAGGTGCCCAGAAGAACCTCTTCACCCCCATGTACCTCATGGTTGGCAAGAAGCCTGAGTAACTCCAGAGCAACAACGGTGTTAGTGGTTTTTCTGTGTAAAAAAAATATTACCCCCGGCGTGCACGTCCTTTCCTGGTGTCCGTCTTGTTTCATTTGATCTTCTTTCTTCACGTTACCCTCCACATGTCACCACGGGATGTTTCTTGACTCAAACCTGACCCAATGTCGGTCGAGAAAGCGAGCCGCGAGCCGCTGTTCTTAATCGATGGTGTCGTTAATTTTTTTTTCTCTTCTCTTGTTCCTTTTACCTGTCAAGATAGCAATGTAATAGTCATTGAGTCAAGAATAACGAGCAAACAAATGGTATTGTTTTATGTGAATTTTGTCTTTATACTGCCAGAACTAAATATTGTACATGTCTTTAAATGCCCAGGTGATCCCTTTGGATTACTAGTCGATTCCGCAAAAGCAAACTGTTTGAACAATCTATCCTCTTCATGTTACAAATATCCCGAAACCGGAGGAACAATCTTCGGCGTGCGTCCATCGGTGTAAACATCCGTGTCATATAATTCCCTGGCACCATACGCACATAGCAACTCAACCATAGCTGCACGACTTGGAGAAGGACACCAAGAAGCCCACCACAACATCGAATTCGATGAATAGCGTGAAGTCCCCCCAATCTTGATATTCGGGTTTGCTCCACGACGAAGCAGTAACTCTGCCACATCCATGTTACTTTGCCAGACAGCCAGGTGAAGAGGCGTCTCCCCCATCACAGACTCATTCACATCTAGGCCCGTGGCAATCATCTTCCCAATGAACGAACAATTCATAGATCTTGTTGCATGGACCAGTGAAGTCTCCTTCCTCCAATATGACACAAGAGGATCTGCACCATGGTCAAGCAAAAGCTCAGCCACCCGATAATTCTTGAGCCTCATGGCCTTCGCCAGAGGCGATAGCGGTTTCCTCGAGCGGTGGGTTTTCGAGCCGTCAAAATTGCGCCCATAGTCGTTAGGATTGGCACCGCAGTCAAGAAGCATTTTTATCGTATCGTATTGGCAGTGTGATATAGCCCAGAACAAGATTGACTGGTTTCGCGATGCTAGTTTCGGATTTGCCCCGTTCTCAAGAAGCAACCGCACAACATCATGCCTACTAAATGGCGTACTCCGTAGCCGAACAGCAAGCCAGAGAGGAGTTATCCCAAACTCCGGATCGACGTAATTGGGATTGGCACCATTCTTCAGCAATAATGACACAATCTCGTTACTAGGAGACGGCGTGGCCCGTCTTGAATAGCTTGCATTTGACACGGGAATCCCAAATCCGGTGACAGCGAGACATAGCGGTGTTTGGATAACTCTGGATCGAGTCCCACGTGCTTCAGTATCGGCACCTTCTTCCAGGAGCACCTTCATAATTCCCTTGAGCCGAAGTAGACTTGCAATATAAAGCGGCGTCTGATTCTGCGAGTTCTCCACATTGATGTCAGCGCCTAGCTCTAACAACCTTTTTATTTCCTCGGGTGCTCGTGCTTCTATTACGGCAAGACAGAGCGGCGTGTTGCCCCCGTGAAATCTTGTGTCAATATGGACACCCAGTCGAACCATCTCTTCAAATAAGGGTAAACAACCTGTAGCAGTCCCTAGGTAAAGAAGCATAGGACCGTACTTCTTCATGGTCTTTGGATCTTGCAGTGTCATAGTCAGCTTAGGAATATCGGAGACTAGAGACCTAGCGGGCTTGACTCCACAGTTACAGAAACCAGTTCTCTCAACGATACCACTGCGGCTGAGCAAAAACAGGGCACATTCTATATGACCATTTGCCACTGTCGCAGGCACAATCAGCGCTACTCTGTGTATGTATTGTTTGCAAGTGAGGTTATCATACTCCTCCATAGCAAGAGTGTAATCAACACACGGTATATGACCACCCTCGGCAGCCAGCCGGAGAGTGGCTTTGCGCCCTGGTTCGCCGTCATTCAGCATGTTTGCGAAATTGGTTTCCCACAAGATTTGTGGACGGAGACCTCTTCCTACAAGGTCTTTCATCATATCCAAATGGCCATTCGTTGCGGCCTGGCCGAGAAGGTGCACATTACAGCAATCGTGGATACAGCCCCGATGGAGATCAGCGCCATATTGAAGAAGTGTGTTGGTCATAGAGACGTGGCCCCCCTGAACTGCCCAGCAAAGTGGAGAATGAAAGACTTGACAGTTGTGTGTTGGAAACCTCAAATCATTCGTTATCTTCGACGAGTCTACTGCCAGAGACTTGTGAACCACAGTATCATAGCCGTGGAAGGCGCCGAACGCCAATGATGTTTGGCCGCAATGTTGTGCATTGAACTTGTACAGCCGTGTTTCAAACTTGTCATAGAACCATTTGTTCGTCTGTGAAAGCGCATTCAAATCTTTTTGTGTTGCAATGGAAGCGTCAGTGTTCTCGGGCTCCGTTCTGGTGACTTGGGAGAAGAGGCAGTCGATTATCAGCAGCACAATCTCGACAGGTAGATCTAGAAGTGAGATCATATTGTCAAATGAATAGGGGTGTATTGGCTCGTAGGAGAATTTTGCGTTGAGCACACGAGAGCTCCAAGTTGTTGACTGACTGATCACTTTCGAGCTGAACTGGGGCTGGAGCTTAGGCACCCACAGCCCTACATAGGTAGTGAGTATGCAGATCCTTACCCAATGTGATATATCACTTTCGTGGAAGGCATAGAGTATCAAGTATCTGGGTATGAATTTGGGGCTACTTCAACCCTTGTGAAATGGAAGTGCTACAATAGCAGATGCGAAAGAGGGGTAATGTATGTGGCATGTTGAGAGAGCGGCTGCATGATTACTGGGGTCGGTGCGTGAACTCATACAATAACAAGAGTAGGCGGCTGCTTATACGGCCATATGATGTCTTACAGGTTTTTCCAGAGGTCTTTTCAGCAGGAATTTTAGATATCTTCTAAGGTCGCCTTTCCATTCTTAGAGGTAGACTTCGGAAAAAGGCGGAAAAAGCATTCCTTGTGCAAGCGACTTTTCTATGGTGAAGAATATCAGCTCCATGTGAGGCAGTTTCTACTCCGTAAGGAATACTTTATTCAGAATTAAAGGTTCGCCGGAATATCTAACCTAATAGAGCTATGAGAGAGGAGAAGGACTGGAAGATTCCTCACTAATAAGGTTGACTAACTAGCTAGCTAGTTGACTACTTGGTTAGTTGACTATGTGAGGCCTTGCAGCCTGACAAACCAGACACAACCCAGGTGACCGCTACAACAGACCAAACCTCTGCAAAGCCTACAAATAGGCCGGGATCCTGGGCCCAAAGCCCAATCAACGGTGGACTGTGGGCCCAGCTCCGGAGTCGGCTGCACGGGTTGAACGCAAAAACTACAACATAGTGCAATGTAAATGTACCTTTTCTACGCGATACGCATACAAAATGTACTTTAAAATATTTGTATATATCTCGATCATTTTGTTTAATTATAGGAAAGATAATTTGATATTAAGAACCTACTTACTTACTTAAGTTCAAAAATATAGAATTGATCTCTGGATACCTTTGTTGTTATATAAAAGTAGAAAAATGAAGAACCGCTATCGGAAGTGTGATATATAGTTCTAGAGGCTATTCGAAACCACAATTTTATTTTCATTTAATTTCTATAATACTACAACAACTAGGCTTTGTTATTTGTATTCTATGTCTATTCGACAAAAAAATAACGATGTGGGCGCGAAGTGTATATATCTTTCGAAGTACCTTTTGTATGTGTGTCCCAAAGAAAAGTACTTTTTGCATTCAAACCTCCTGCCGTACGTATCTTTTCAGACGGGACAGCCCTTGATTGGGTTGCTTCGCTTTGTTTCCTCCAATATAACGATGGAAACCCTTCACAAGGGAGAAAATAGGAAGAGCTGTTTCTAAAGAACTGGTGTTGTCTTAGCTAGTGTATGAACGTACATATATGTGTAGCCATTTTACTAGATTACTATGGGCTTGGTTCTTCTAGATAAGAACACAGGGGTTTTGAATAAAGAGCCCTGGAGGCCAACTCGGATTACGAAAGGGGAGAAGAAAGAAGAAGTGGGGGGATTATCCCTGGAGGAATTATAAAGCAACCCCAAACAGTCCAAGCCCATCTTGGGAGTTGCAAACAAAGCAAAACGATTAAATGTAATATGTCATATAACCGGAGATATGAGGCTTCTCAAAATGAGCCAAGAAAAGGTAAGCATAAGCTACCAAAAGCTTTTATGAGATATGAGATAACATATGGTGGATGTGGGTAAAAACAATGGAAGTGTATGGGGTCAGCTGCTTGGTCCAGTGACTCGGGGCACGGACAATAACAGGTACACCCGGTCCACTATCCAACATCCAATGAAGCCGCCTGTATTTCTACTCTAATTCAAGGCTCATTCCAAGCCTTGACCCTTTAGGACAAGCTTGGAAATGCAGCCAGTCAGTTAGCCCTGCATCGATCACAACGTGGTATCGACTAATGCCGCGTAACATGGGATCCTTCCAGCCGATGAGGGGAATGTCATGCCTCCAAGGCTCGGAGTATTAAGATCGCCTGTCTTCCGGCCGATCTTCTCTGCTTTTCTTATCGCTACCTACTGTGATCCCAGACATGTTCGCACAAACTCTGCTTGCCTTTGTCGGGGCCCTGGCCCTGGCTGCGGCCAAGACTACCACTGAAAAGAACCCAACTCAGGCTGAGATCGATGCAGCACGTGCTACAGTATTGCCTTACTCTCCTGTATCAAATGTAAAAGGGTTGGCTTTTGATCGCTTCGTGAACATCTGGTTCGAGAACACAGTGGGTTTTACCATTGGAGAAAGAAAGATAACCGCATGCTCACCCTTGGCAGGACTTCGATACCACTGCTTCAGACAAGAATATGGCCAAGCTGGCTAAGGAAGGTATACTCCTCACCAACTATTTTGCAGTCACTCACCCCTCGGAACCCAACTACTGCGCTTCTGCCGGGGGTGACACCTTCGGTATGGACAATGATGACTTCATACGGATCCCAGCAAATGTCTCCACTATTGCTGATTTGTTTGACACCAAGCACATCGCTTGGGGTGAGTACCAAGAGGATATGCCCTATGCCGGCTACCAGGGTATGCGGTATCCCCTCAGCGGTCCGAACCAGTACGTGCGTAAGCACAACCCGCTGGTTTTGTATGACTCGGTTACCAACGACGCCGTGCGCCCGCGTCAAATCAAGAATTTTACCACTTTTTACGAGGACCTGGCACACCACAGCCTTCCCCAACACATGTTCATCACGCCGAACATGACCAACGACGCCCACGATACCAATATCACTGTGGCTGGCGACTGGGTCGCTCGTTTCCTGCCTCCCCTGCTGAAGAACGAGCACTTTACCAAGGACAGCCTGGTGCTGCTCACCTTTGACGAGGCGGGCAACTACTCCTACCCAAACCGAGTCTTCAGCTTCCTGGTTGGTGGTGCTATCCCGAAGCACCTGAAGGGCACCACCGACGACACTTTCTACACGCATTATTCAATTATTGCCTCCCTGTCTGCTAACTGGGGTCTACCATCGCTTGGCCGCTGGGATTGTGGTGCCAACTTGCTGAAGTTGGTCGCTGAGAAGACTGGCTATGTCAATTGGGAAGTTGACACCAGCAATGCCTATATTAATCAGACCTACCCTGGTCCTCTGGCTGTCGAGAACTTTTTCTCTCAGTGGCCTGTTCCTGCCACTAAGGGCAAGTGCTCTGCTGGCCATGGTATTGCTGCGGTGGTGAAGAAGACCTATCACGGTCTTCACCCTACCTACGACTATAACAGCCCTGTGCCGTATGACGCGGCCAGTGGGAATAACGTCGGCATCAAGTATCACCGTACTCTGGTATGAACTCATTGCTCTTCTCTCCTGTGGTGATCTAATGCTAATCATTCATAGAAGCATGGTAAGGAGGAGTCAGGAATTACTGGGTAGACCAATGCTGTATATATGTGGTGCACTGCAATTGCCTTGTCAGATGTGAACGTACATATTTGTCCTTGTCTGCAAAAACTTGATTGAATGCTGTGTTCTACGACGTTGCCAGAGTTTTCTGATTTTGCTGCAAACCATTGCGGATGCGCCGGATGATCCAGACTTGATCCACACAGACTGCATATGGTGATGAGTATCCCCAGTTTTCTGCTACCCCGCGAAACATATATATCTCCACAATCAAACTACATATTGCTCCACCGACGCTGCACAGATTTTTCGCAAGATGGAATGTGCCGATGAATCAGAATTTATACATACAATAGTCTCGTGCACAAAGTATGCTTTTCTCGCCTTTTCCTGTCGCCTACCGCAGTGATCTTGAAGATATCTAAAATAAAATGAGAAGCCGGTTGAGAAGACTGCTGATAAAACCACTTCAGAGCCCTGTAAGAAAGGAATCATCAGCCTGTATAAACAGCCGTCTCGTCTTGTGAATCGTCAATGAAGTTAGTGCGTTCGTTTCGCGTAGAAGTAATTTAGCTGCTTTATGAGCTCTGATTTTTCCTTTTGCCTCTCCGATATCTTTCTGTTTGGGGCTGGGGTATGCAGGTCCAGCGCAGCCGACATGAAACAGAACATTTTACGCTATGAAATGGTCTCGCTTTTTTATTGTCTTTAGCGTTAAGATAATATGCAGACTGAGACACACATAGAGAGGGCGGGACGTTTTGTTTAGATGCCAAAACGGTTCCTTCTCTAGGTGTTACCGATCCAAGAATTGGCACGTTAAAATACTTCCCTATTATCCAAGATTGATTTCAGCACTTTCCCTACAACCCATAGTTACAAATATTGCTGCTATACCCCGAGCTACAGCATACTCTGATTGACCGGTCTAAGTTCACATCCGCTAGAGCTGAGCGGAGATCGATATTCTACCAGCAAATCAGCGGTAATGGGACTCAATTTCAAATGATCATCCTAGATCATAAGGAAGCCTTGCGGAGAGTTCAGCCTTGCATGGAATCTTGCTTCGGGGCTTTTTAAGGTGATCAAAGAACTCGAGGGGATAGGGACGCCAAGACCATGGAAGCGCCACGCGGTTTGAGGCTTTCTCATGACGTGAAAGGCTCGCTTTGACTCTGAACGGCCTTGCCGTGATCTGCACGCCATGTTCCGTAAAGTATCGACTGCCCAATCTAGGGCCTCAGCTACCGCATAAGCGACATGTACTGATATCGGATATGGCATCATCGCGGACAGCGCGCATGTCCTTATTCGGGAAGGTACCGAGGATTGCGATGCTCATACCGCCGGAGAATTATATTATTGGTCTATTACGACTAATCTGTACAAAGATGTATATACGGAGTACGTCTAATTTATTTTCCCTTTTCATTTCCGAAAGCAGAAATTTCATTCAACCGGAGGTGAATTGTCCGACAACGCCTGCTCTCCAAATGGCTTTTTTTGAGTCCTAGGATCTCGTGTGGGCCCGTGTTGAATTTTTTTTTTCCCTTTTATTTTCCCCAGTTTATACTTACAGATGGCCAAGATATGTCAAATGCTTCGTCTCCATAAACTTTCTTGGAATCGTCTTGATTGACAGAAAAAATTGGAACCTTGGAATGCTTGGTGTGAGCCAAGTCATGGTAAGCAAGTACATAACTTGGAAGAGGACTGAAAATCTTTGAAATCGAACGCTGAGAGACCCATCATTTCCTAATGCGGAATTTGCGCAGGACCCACCTATACTTCCCGAAGTTTTTCGACTCAAAAACCAAAAACACTCTCTGAGAGTCTTCCGAATAATTCCCGGGGAGTTGTTCCCGATATTCTTCCCGAAGCTTCGGGCAGAAAGATCAAATCCGATACTATCCAACTTGCTGGAAGAGATCGAGTATCCAAGTTGTCTCGCACCCAATGTGTGAGCCCGATGATCATTGCTCAAGATAGCCACATAGTACCCCGGGGAAATCCAAATGTACTCCCCAGATATATACCACCGTAACCGGGACGGGCATGGCGAGATTCGGAAGGAAAAAGGCAACTGAAACGAGATCTTTTTGAATACGTAATATTCCACGGCACGAGAGACGAAAAAAAAAGAAAAAAATCAGAAAAAAAAATCAGAAAAAGCAAGTGACCACAGTAGCATTCGAAATCCTTGACCCCTGACCCACCTCAATTTCTCTTCCCCGTGGGTTGCCGGGTCGGATAAGATGCCTTTTGCGGTCTTGTTCACCCGCAAAACTCACCCCCAGACGCCCCAGGAATGATATCCCCCACAAAGATGAGAAGCAACACCTACGTAGACTAGGCTACACAACTGTGCGATTCTCACGCAGGATCTCTCAATAGCAACAGACTGATGGACTTCGTCTGGACGGAGTAAACGATCCAAAGTTATTGTATCCCCGCAACCCCCACTAATGGCCCTTGGCCCCTACTTGTCTCTACTTGGCTTCACTTGGCCCCCACGGCGGGTCGCAAGACCTGCCTATCCAATGTGGTAGCGCCGCCGATGTCACCCACACACTTTTTCTCTTTTCTTGGCATGGGGACTGAATGCATATAAGACTAAGGATCCCCTTGTCTGAGCTTTTTCTTTCTCCATTGATCTTATATCCAAAGAGAGGCCGTTCATCATGTGGACCACCACCTCCGGCTTGCGGGGCAAGAAGCTCCATCTTGCCATCACATTTACATCCGTCGTTGGATTCTCACTGTTTGGTTATGATCAGGGTTTGATGTCCGGTATCATTTCTGGTACCGAATTCACTCGGGAGTTCCCCGCCCTCTATGGTGAATCGGAGCATGTCGCCGTCCTTCGGGGTGCGGTCACTGCCTGTTACGAACTAGGCTGTTTCTTCGGTGCTATCTTCACTATGGCCTACGGTCAACGTATTGGTCGTACTCCTCTCTTGGTTGCCGGTGGTCTTCTCATGATCCTTGGTACTGTTATCTCTACGGCTGCCTTCGGCCCCCATTGGGGACTGGGCCAGTTCGTTATCGGACGTGTCATTTCCGGTCTTGGAAACGGCATGGACACCGCTACTATCCCCGTCTGGCAGTCGGAGTGTTCGCGCGCTCACAACCGTGGTTTCCTCGTCTGCTTCGAGGGTGCTATCATCGCCGTCGGTACCTTCATCGCCTACTGGCTCGACTTCGGTCTCTCTTATGTCAACAGCTCCGTCCAATGGCGGTTCCCTGTCGCCTTCCAGATTCTGTTCGCCATTCTCGTCACTGGAGGTGCTCTCATGCTCCCCGAGTCGCCTCGTTGGTTCGTCATGCAGGGTCATGACCAAGAGGCCATTGAGGTTCTCGCCCGGCTCAACGATAGTGCCCCCGATGCGGAGGATGTGCTTGCCGATTTCAATCTCATGAAGGCCGATCTCGCCGCCATGCAGAATGTAGAGTCCAGCAGCTGGGGTATCCTGTTCACTGGAGGCAAGACTCAGCACTTCCAGCGTATGATGATCGGTTGCTCGGGACAGTTCTTCCAGCAATTCACTGGTTGCAACGCCGCTATCTACTACTCGACCCTCCTGTTCCAACAGAACTTGCACATGGATGGCAAGCTCCCCCTGGTTCTCGGAGGTGTTTTCGCTACCGTTTACGCTCTCGCTACCATCCCATCCTTCTTCATGATCGAGAAGGTCGGTCGCCGTAACCTGTTCTTGATTGGTTTCCTCGGTCAGGGTCTCAGTTTCATTATTACCATGGGATGCCTCATCGACTCGAATACGCAAAACGCCAAGGGTGCCATCGTCGGTATCTTCTTGTTCATCTGCTTCTTCGCCTTTACTACGCTGCCTCTGCCCTGGATCTACCCTCCCGAGATCAACCCCCTCCGCACCCGTACCAAGGCCGCTTCCGCTTCCACCTGCATGAACTGGATCACCAACTTCGCCGTCGTCATGTTCACTCCTGTGTTCTCCAACCAGTCTGACTGGGGTATCTACCTCTTCTTCGCCCTGGTCAACTTCATCGCCATTCCCTTCGCCTGGTTCTTCTACTGTGAGACCGCCGGTCGTGATCTCGAGGAGGTTGACATCATCTTCGCCAAGGCCCACGTGGAGGGCAAGTGGCCGTACAGGGTCGCACAGGAGATGCCCAAGCTCACCATTGCCCAAATCACCCAGATGCAGGCCGAGCTGGGTCTCGATACCTCCGACCTACGTATCAACACCGAAGCCGAGAAGGCTGAGACTGCCATGAGCAGCAGTAGCGAGACCAAGCACGACGAGGCCAAGCACGAGTAAATGCTCCCTCGGTTGCCCTTGATGTCGACTGAATGACATGCGCGATGCGAATCGGATTAATTTTGTCTCGGATCTCATTATCATGTGACCATAGATTCCCTATACCCCCCTGGTTTTACGGGAAAGCGGGCAGACTAGTATGTAGATAGTCTGCTTTGCGATCTCTTTTGATTTCTCTATATTTCCTTTGATCTAAATACATACTTTTTTTACTATCACAATTTCTTCTCGACACATCCTTGTAATGGGCCTAAATGCATGATCTTCACTGACCGCTACTTCGATTATGCAGTCTTCCGATCCAGTATCTTCTCTCAGTGGGGATGGAAGTAATCAAGGCTTGGCAAGATCATATCATCTGTACGCTGCAAAATCAGACAAATTAACAAATGCATCCGATCCAGAGACAATCGGTGTATGTTGTAATCCGTATATTGTACACCGAACACCATACGATGGACCTCTTTGTGTAGGTTTGAACTGATTAACGAGGAACCTAGGAAGCCCCTGCAGATCATCGATACGAGACAAAGAAAAATAAGCATGGTTGTACTTCCGTACTCCGTACAATACTTCGGCATAATTGACATGTCAGAATTCATAAACCAAAACACATGTCTGACTCAGGGGTTAAGTCGATAATTGTACTTCGTACTCCGTACGAAGTCTCGTAACATAGGATGAATCGGGGAAGCCGAGGTAATCCTGACGATGGACACATGCCAAAAAAAGAAACTGCTCGCCATAGTTTCTTAGTTTCATAAACCAGACAATGAATAATACCTTAGCATTTCAATACAGCCCTGGAGTAATTGGTGAGGTAGCCAGCCACAAATGAACTCTTTTTAAACTTCTCCCAAGGCTTCCACAAAAGTACTGGCGCCGACAAGGACAATGACCAGCAATGTCAAAACGCTATTCTCCCACCCATAATTCACCATACTCATACGGCGCAAAAAGTGGAAACCAGAACCCAGCTATCAAGTGAAGGACTGCACCAGCAGTAGGCGCGCTAGCCGCAAACCGCGTATAGACATCAACCATATAAGGCTGATACACTGAAAGACAAGAATAGTACCGGCACCATACAGTACAGTGCCGATGCTCGGCGCGATCCAATGGTGGTATTCGGCCGTCCAACCGGAAACGAACAAGCCAGCGGGGACAAAGAAGGCGCCGAGGAAGAGTGCGGAACTTCGGTTTTCCGAAGTCGCCGTTGCAGGCCTTGAGATAGCAATATATGCCGCCGTTGAGTGGGGCGCAGATCTGCCAGCCGAGGTAGAAGCCTAGTCCGAGTGATGTGTATATACCTAGCCCAGGCCTCAGACGCCGGTTAATTATATTACTTTGGGCTAGTCTAGAGGGTGGGGTATGCTGAGAGGACGATGTAAGTTACTGATTATTAGATGTACGCTATGAATAGGGTGGAGACTTGGACGATTGGCTCGGTGAGCAGAGCACATGCACTCTGAATTTGCTCGGGGATTTGTTGGCGACATTGCTGATATGTATGGAGTACAAAGCGAAGATTTTTCTCCGGATATCTGATCTCTTTCGGTGGTTCGATTTGTGTTGCAGTGTTTGCATATTAGTCCAGAGCACTGGTTTATAGTGTATAGTGCCTGGCCGATGCCCAATTCTTCCTTGTTCTGGCATTGATTTCCTTTTTGGAGATATTCAGTTTCCTTCCCAGCCCCCACAGTGTTGATATGAGGCTATCTCTTCCTATTGCTAGGGTGAGTATATCGTCGAAGCTTATGCACTATAGAAATCACCAAAGCGGAGGAAATACTAGTGCCATAGCGCTAGTGATACACTAGTCAAGAGAAGGCCGCTTAAGCTTAGTGTTGATAATTAGCGACGCCAGGTCATTACAGAACCGTGATCTACTGCATCCAAGTTATACCGATATGTGGCATACGGAAGGTCAGGTCCTGGACTTTCTATATGAATGCAATACCCCAACAATGTTGCCGCCGCTAAACTGACAGTGAGACATACAATGAGGTTTGGTAGAATATCAAAGAGATAGACCCAAAGAACGTCAAGCCAATTTCCTATCCTCCGTACGGCGTCCTCTATATAGAATTCTCTATTGACTGGTGACTGGAGTGCCAAGATTACCCCACACTTTCTTATCAGCGTTGCCCAGAGATACGATCGGCGCTGAGATCCCTGGCTTCTTCTCCTATCAAATATGCCGCCAGATCGACGCGTGCAGCGAATCGTCCGAGTAAGAACTGGTTGTTTGACCTGCAGGCGTCGTAAGAAGAAATGTGACGAGACACGTCCAATCTGTGCTGGCTGTCAACGCAATGACCTGGGCTGCCAGTGGCCCCAAATCGTACCTGGCAGGAGAGATTCCAGCCACGACGAAGCCCAAGTATCTGCGGCAGAACGCCGACCAAATGTTTTCGATGCCATCGAGCAGCTCGATGAGATGCCGATGCCTAGGAGCCCCTTGTCGCAACGAGCACCATCTGTTTCATCGAGTGCAGGTCACTCTGTGACTATTGGAGACCGGTCTGAAGACACAACACTGCATGATGAGACCCATAATCAACGCCGACTGTCAACAGCCATCAGGTCTCCCACTACTAGTGAGGCACTCGTCACATCTGCCTCAACAGGAAATGTGCCGCCTCACAGCCTCTCTCTGATGCCTGGTTACGATGCCGAATCTTATCAACTTCTCAGTCATTACCTGGCCACAACAGCTGATTGTATGGCAAATGGCTCCACTCCTATTAACCCGTTCCTGGTACAGATTGTACCTCTGGCATTTTCTAGTAACTTGCTGTTGCAGCTGGTAATCACTCAAAGCGCTGCTCACCGCGCATTTCGATCACGGGATGAATCAGACACAATTGCCCATAGTCACTACACAAAAGCCCTCCAGCATTTCCGCCGGGGAGTAACGGACTTTATCGATGGGAAAGAATCGAATCCACTCATGCTTCTAGTGGGGGCACTTCTGATGTGTTTCACCGAGGTAGGAAAACCATGATTCACAGATAATGTGTTCAACGATCTAACATGATTAGACCGCAAAAGGTGATATGAACGGGACAATATTCGATCATCTATCCGCGGCAAATTCACTGTTAGTCAAATTGCTAGCCCAGAGCGACTCGGCAGTTCCACGAGACTTGAAAGATTTCGTGCTTGAATACTACACCTATACTGCGACCGTTAGCATGATCTCAATCGATGCTCGTTTTAGCGGGCAGCTTTTCTTAAACTTGGATCTCGAACAACGGTCACGCGAATTACTTCAAACCCAGTACGTGGGCAACTTGTGCGGTTGCTGGCTAGAACTCTTGCTGTTGGTTCCGTGCATCTTCGATCTCGGCCGACAGTGGATCATGGATGACACCCAGGTGGTTATTCCAACCGCTGATGATATTGCCATGTTTGCATCCATCCAAGCCCAGATTTTGCGCTGGTCGCCTTATCCCAATGTCGGGACGGAGGTCCATCTGGCTGGGAAGATCTTTCAAGAATCTATCCTCATCTATCTATACACCTCCCTGGGTGGCTTCCAATATACCGGAGATGGAATTTATAAAGCTATGGTGGAAAATGCAGTGACAAAAGCCATGTCATACCTGAACGAGCTGTCACCCAGTGCGCGCATCAACTCCGGCCTCTGTTGGCCGATTGCTGTGGTGGGCTCATGCCTTCTCAGCCCCGGCCAACAAGACTGCCTTCGAGGACGTTTGACTGCCATGACTGAAACATTTGGTCTTGGAAATATGCATCGAACACTTCTACTCCTCGAAGCAATGTGGCAATCACCTGCGTCTGAGGCTGGGCCATGGAATATCTGTCGAGCAATGCAGAAAAATCAAATATGGATCTCATTTGCGTAATGTTGATCATCATTCAGTCATATTATGTACAAACTAGCAAACTCGTCATGTATTTAACCAGCCAAGTTTTTCGGTGCTTCCGTCGCCGGACCTTCAGGCGTAACATATGCTTTTGTCAAGCCACCATCGACGACGAAGTCAGTAGCATTCACGAAACTGCTCTCGTCGCTGGCAAGGAAGATCACGGCATGGGCCTGTTCAATTGCCTCGCCAAACCGACCGGTAGGGAAATGAACCTCACGACGGAAGCGCTTTTCCTTATCATCACCAAGCCAATCCTGTAACAGGGGCGTGCTGTCCGAATGTCAGTTCTATCGAAATTTCAACAGAGTAAAGGGCAATATTGACATACTTGAGAGGCGCAGGACAGAGCGAGTTGAATCGGAACCCCTCACGCGCGTGAACAATACCCAGCTCCCGGGTCATTGCCAACACAGCACCCTTGCTAGCGGTATACGCCAACTGGGGCGTCGCAGCCCCAACCAGCGCAACCATACTAGCAGTGTTGATCACACTAGCGCGCTTCTTTCCGTGCCTCCGGAATGCGCGCACAGCATGCTTTGAGCCGTACCACACGCCTTTCACATTGATATTCATTGTGCGATCCCAGATATCCTCGGGACACTCTTCCGAATCGCCGTCCTTGGGATGCATGATTCCGGCATTGTTGAAGATGATATCTAGTCCACCCCAGGCATCGAGATGAGCGACTGCTGCTTCGACTTGAGACTCGTTCGACACGTCGACAACTTTGGTTTCGACCTTTCCGGCTCGGGTTGAGGCGGGCACGACACTGTTTACCGTGGACAGGGCTTTGTTCAAACCTGCGTCGCTGATGTCGGCCATTAGGACTGAGGCGCCTTCGCGAAGCATGAGGATTGTAGTCTCCAGACCGATACCTCTGCTTTTTGTTAGTTGTGTCTTTTATTGTTTGGTTTATCCTAGGCGAATAGAGGTACATACCCAGCTGCACCGGTGACGATTGCATTCTTGCCTTCAAGGCGCCCAACCATTTTGATTTTGTGTAGATGTGATATGATGGAGGGAGCTAGGGAGAATGGGACAATGTACTGAACGAGGTTGAGCAGTATAGTGAATAAACAGGACTGTAGCTGGTAAGCGCTTGGTGGAGGCCTGAATTTATACCATTTTCCAATCCCCAGAGTCCACGTTGGACAAATCTCCATATAGGAACACCCACCGATGACTAGCCCACATGGTAGATTAGACCCGACCACATGAGCCAGCGCGGTACCTCCATTTCCTTTTTCAGATCATCTCGATCCACAAAGCTATCTGAGTGCAAAGCTCTATCGCGCTCCTACTACCCCACCACAAGGCAAAAACAAACTAAACGCGTGAGCGATGAGGGGTAGCTGTTAGGTAGATCTTCAACCATACAGGCATATGAAGCATTTGCCGATATCGTTGACTATTGAGTATCTTTGGTGGGGTCTCAGGGCTAAGGCAGCGCGGTCCCGGACCGCGCTGTGGGGCTCTTGGGATGAGCTTCAATATATTGGAGAGTAATGCAAAGATCCTCACATGTTCATCTGTGATGCTTTCTGTTATGAACATCTACGAGCTGGCTATAGTTTTTGTCATGGCTCAGGATGAAAATTGTGGGAGGCATGCTAAGATAGTGGTGTAATTGAATCACAGTAACGATATTGAAATTTCTTGAATTCTTCTAGATTATCATACTAGTTAATCATTTTCAAATATACTCATGTCCTCATGCTCCGCCATGCTTGATGTGGTAGCTCTTCAGCTTCACGAACCCATCGTATCCTCGTGGGCCAAGAGTGCATCCCAAACCTGATGTCTTCCAGCCTGTCCAGGCAAGGTCCTAATGTCGAATATTAGTATTAATGAACCGATAGCATGTCGGTTTAGAAATTGTCAGAGTGTCTTACCGGGCTTGGATAGTCACAACGATTAATGAACACTGTACCGGCCTCAATTCGATCGATCAACTCCTCTCCGCGGGTGATATCCTTTGTCCAAACGCTCGCCGTCAGGCCATAGTCACTGTCATTCATCAATGCCACAGCTTCATCATCACTGGAGACCTTCATAATTGGCATCACAGGACCGAAAGTCTCCTCCTTCATCGTAGCCATGGTGTGGTTAACATTGGTCAAAACCACCGGAGCGACAAAGTTCCCCTTTTCGATCTGAGGGTTGCTTGTCACCTCAAAACTTGGGTTTCGAGGAGTGGAGTCAACAGCTCCTTTAGCAATCGCATCCTTGATATGAGCGGTGATCTTTTCGACGGCCTGCGTTGAGATGACGGGCCCTGTTGTCGTGCTCTGATCCTGTGGATCACCAAGTTTGTACCTGATTTGAAAGTTAGGGATATCCTCTTTTCAATAGAATCAGCCTTACGATTTTAGCTCCTCCTGCACAGCGTAAACAAACTCCTCGTAAATTTTCTCGTGTACGTATACCCGCTCTATGGAACAGCAACTCTGTCCGGAATTGAAAACAGCTCCGTCCACGAGTTGCTCTGCGACATGCTTTACGTCGGCGTCTGGCCGAACATATGCGGGATCATTTCCACCAAGCTCAAGGTTGACGGGCTTGATGTGTTGGGCGGTTGCCTCCCTCAGTCTAATCCCACCTGCAGTTGATCCGGTAAATGAGACACACTGGATCTCGGGAATCTGTGCTACCTGATCCAAAATATCCAGGTTTCCAATATGAACGACCTGAAGGACCTGAGGTGGAAGCCCTGCCTCTGTAAAGACTTCGAGCAGTCTATTGCCGAATAGTGGGGTCTGGGGCGAGGGACGCAGGATAACGCTGTTACCAGCAAGAAGTGCCGGGACCAGAGCATTGACAGTAGTCAGGTAGGGATACTATCATATTGATGAGCATGTCTCTGAATACTTCAATCCCAGTGTTCACTCACATTCCAAGCACCCGCGATAAGAACCGGTCCCACGGGAACACGCTTGACCGTTCGCCGGAAGCCGGCTTCTGGCCGACCAGGGAGGTCAGACAGGCTCTCTTCAGCAATATCCATCAAGTACTCAGCGCGCAGACGCATAGTGTTGATCTCTGATGCACAGTACCGGATGGGTCGCCCCATCTGTGCGGTTAGTTCTTTGGCCAGGTCATCGCGGCGCTGCTCAATAATGTCCAGTGCTCGTTTCACGATGCTTTTTCGGTTCTCCAGAGAGCTTGTTCTGTAGGACTCAAAGGCTTGCTTTGAAGCAACAGCAACTTTGATTGCTTCCTTGAGTGAAGTACCGGGCTGGTCAAAAATGACCTCGTGCGTCGAGGGAGAGATGGTACGAATTTGGTTTGACATAGCGTAGGTTGTGTATTCGATCTCGGAGAAAGAGTGAAAGCCCGAAAGTGGGAGAGGTGGGCTTTATAGCGCGCGAGTCTGTGGCGCGGTTGCAGATCTAACAGCCCGTGCTTCTCCAAATTCCATTCTGATTGCTTATCTCAGTCTTATGACAACAATTGATTTCGTATCTGCTTGAACTACTTGCTCTTTCCATCCAGTATGAATCTTGCAATTACCTTTGCTATCAACCACCCATCATGGCAATCACCAACGCGCGATAGCCCATTCTTGTACAATTCATCATCAAATATTCCATTGTCGTGCCTGGCTTCGAGCAGACATGACATGATACCTTCGTTATATTCCGGGTGCCCTTGTACCGACAGCACCTGCTTGGGCAAGTAGAGACCCTGAACTTCACATTTTGGACTTGTAGCAAGATTTGTGCAACCGACTGGAGCCTCAAAGACAATATCCCGATGCATTTGTTGCATACTCTATATTCAATCAGAACCTCCCTCGATTGGGCTTGTTTGAGTGTTTCTTCACTTGCCAGTGTATCCTTTCCAAAGAGTTTCTTCCCAGCCTCAGTAAGTGCGATCTCCTCCACAGAGACCTCCCATCCAGCTTTGTTTCTTCCAACTTGGGCTCCCAGTGCCCGGGCGAGAATTTGATGTCCAAAGCAGATCCCAATCACGGGCTTCTTGTGTGTTAAAACGGTCTCACGGATGTTGCTTGTGAGATCACAAATCCACTGATCATCGGCCCAGGCATCGTGTTCTACCATATGCTTTCAGTTTCCCAATTCAGATTATGAAATGGATGGTAACGTACTGCTTCCAGTCAAAAGAATGGCATCGATGTTCTCTAAATCAAGAAACCGGCTACTGCCCACCATCTGATGTTCACTGAATTCCACTTTAACGTCTTCTAACTCCTCAGATCTCTCCAAGTCTTTGAAGCCTTGCCCCAGAAGGGTTTGAAACATTGCGAAGTAGTCGCCATATTGTCTGACAATGGGCTGGATAGGCGTGTCACACACGAGGATGGCGATATGAATGCGAACAGGTGTCATTTTGGAGATGTGTACTTCTGCTGTAGATTCACACTAAACAATCAACCCATCAGGCTAATATTTGATCTCGACTTGTATCATTTCACAAAGAATAAGCGCGCTGTCTATACTGTGGAGGAACCCCACAGCGCGGAGCGCGGAGCATCTCCGTGAGAGCATCCGACAGCTTCACCGGTAACATCCATTGGCTTCTATCGAAAAAAATGCGCGTTATGGTCTAAACCGCGCGGGATTATTTTTGACCTGAGCTGCGACGCGGCATTAATGTTGACCACATCTTGGACCCACAGCCTCACAGCCCATTTCGCAATTGTATAAAGCTACAGGGGCCGGCAAAATGTCTCTGCCAATCCAACCCCCACTGTTGGACGCAATCAGTTCTGCTGCTATTGTTGTATTGTTTCCAGAATGATTATGCCCACCATGATCACCGTCGAATCACTCCCTAAACTCCTCGCCGATGACATCAAGGTCAAAGTCGCCGGTATCGACAGCGATGGCGTACTTCGTGGCAAGGTTATGGCCAAGGAGAAGTTCCTTGGAATTGCAGCAAAGGGATTTGGCTTCAGCTCAGCTCTGTTCGGTTGGGATATGCACGATATGCTATGGACAACCGATGCACGTGTCGCACCCCCGGAATCAGGGTACGCAGACTTCCTGGCTGTTCCAGATTTGAATTCGTTCCGCCGTCTTCCTTGGGAAGACAACATTCCTTTCTTTCTAGTACGCTTTCTTGACGATACACGCCCGGTTTCGGCCGATGGTAGGAGCATGTTAAGAAGTCTGTGCGATAAGCTTGCGGGCGAGGGGCTTCGTGCTTTGGCTGGGGGTAAGTTAGGAAGAGATCTGACGAATGGATTCCAAAGACTGATGGCAGATAGTCGAGCTTGAATTCATGAACTTCCAGACTCCTTCCGAAGACGGATACGGCAGTGCAGGCTCCCACCATCCCAACCTCGCTACTTTCCTGGAGAAAAATGCCCCCAGTGCCCTGCGACCAATCACCGCTGGCATGTTTTGCTATAGCTCAACGCGGCCGGTTGCCAACAAAAAGTACTTCTACGATATATTCAATACCAGCGCACAAATAAACTGTGGCATTGAAGGATGGCACACTGAGGGCGGACCTGGTGTGTATGAAGCAGTATGGCATCCATCCAGGTCATTTGAACTACTCTAATATTTTGTACAGGCCTTGATGGTTTCTGAAATTAGCGAAATGGCAGACAAAGTGGCATTATTCAAGTGAGTGCCGCAAGTACGGCAAATATTTTGCCACTTCCAGAGCTAACAAGTTGACAGACTTTTAACCAAATCCCTGGGGGTTGACCACGGTATTACACCATGCTTTATGGCTAAGCCTATGCAGGGGATGCCAGGCAGCTCTGGACACATTCACATCTCACTTGCTGACAAGGATGGGAAAAACCTGTTTGCAAGAGAGACGCCCGAGGTAGACCCTCAATGGTCGGATATCGCACATCTCTCCGACACAGGACGTCATTTCCTGGCTGGGCTTTTAGAAGCTCTGCCAGATATCATGCCACTGTTTGCGCCAACTGTGAACTCATACAAGCGCCTCATTGAGAACTACTGGGCGCCAGTGCACATTAGCTGGGGACTTGAGGACCGGATTGCCTCAATCCGTCTGATTACGCCACCAGTATGCAAGCCAGGTGCCACTCGAATGGAGATTCGCATCCCTGGAGCTGATTTACATCCTCATTATGCGCTAAGTGTCATCCTTGCAGCGGGCTGGAGGGGTGTACAGAAGAAGCTTGAAATCAAGGTCCCACCGATGTCGGCACGCACGGCAGGGGACCGTCCAGAACTTCTGCCCAATACCTTGGACAAGGCCCTGGATCGTTTCTCAGCGCCAGGAAGCATTGCAAGAGAGATTCTGGGCTCGGAGTTCGTGGATTTCTTCACGGCCACAAGACAGCATGAATTGGGTCTGTGGAGAGAAGCTGTGACTGATTGGTTAGTCGAAAATATTGTGCCTATGGATGCAATGCTAACTCTGCTATAGGGAATTCAAGCGATATATTGAAATAGTGTAATTTGTTGGTGATTGCCGTTGCGAAGCAAATTGACATTGGGCATTCATCGACATATGGAGCGATATCACGTAGTATAGAGAATCCTCTCACGATCTGAGGAATATTACGTTCTGCACTTGTGTCAAATCAGATCTACCCTAGAGTCAACTAATAATACTACTCATCTAATTGTCCAAAATATCCACACCAAGCTAGCATCATACATACGTATATATCTCTTGCTCCGTACAGCAGTGATAGATACGGGCAGGAATGCGCTAAGGCTTTTAGGTTTCAGGGGGCCAAAGCTTTAGGCCGCCCACGTGATGATCGGCAGAAAGACCGGGGCTCGCCCGGGGGTTGATAGCCCACAGCTCCAACCCATTCATGTCTACATAACAACCATTAATTCATAAAGGCATTCTGTTCGCAAAGCCAGCGCGATGGCTTCGAACCTTCCTCTTCCTCTCCCGCCGCGTACCCCCACTCCTCCAGCGGATGATGAATATGTCTCCCAGATCAATTCAGGGATCCCAATTGATCGCAATGCCTTATCGCCGCTTAAGGCTTCCTTTCCAAAGGGTATCATGGATGCCGAAAGTAGAGATACTCTAAGCCCAACGAAGTCATCTTTCAATCTGGCAGCCTCGCCTGAAGATGCAGAAACACCGATCGAGAATGGCCGTGGGGACACGTCCCCTGCGGGGCCATTCAATTTCAGTACAACTGTTATGGCAAAGAGCCCAGTAATCAAATCGGTGGGCTGAATTGTGCCGTTGACCTGTGAAGGGGGTGAGCTGACTTATTTCCTCGTATCTTAGAACATGGGGCAACGTCGTGGCCACAAGTACAAGCACAGTAGCATCTCGCATCAGATCTTCCTCGAGCCTCCTCCTCGCGCACCGCTGGCCCTTCCGAATTCTCTGCCCATTCCCACACTGAAGGAATGCCGATCTAGTATGTCGAAGGATCAAAAGACTCGCTTCTGGTGGAGCCTGTGTCACATGTTCATTGCGGCATACACACTCTGGACCGCACATGGGTCCCTTGCCATGACAGCATTGTCGCATCTGATTCTATTTGATTCAATTGGGGCCCTCTTGTGTGTTGCGGTTGATGTGCTGGGCAATTTTGAAGTTTGGAAGCGATCGACTATCCGCCACCCGTTTGGCGTTGAACGTGCAGAAGTTCTAGCCGGATTTGCGATGGCTGTGCTTCTTTTGTTTATGGGGATGGATCTTATCTCTCATAACTTGCAACATTTCCTCGAGAAGTCTGGTCATGAGCCTCATCGCCCGCACGAGCATGATCGGGTCTCTCTGGGTAGCGTGGATGTGACTGCAGTTCTAGCTATCTCGTCGACACTTGTGTCGGCGATTGGTCTCAAGAACCACGCTCGAATTGGGAAGGCTATGCGCTTTGGGTACATTCAATCTCTTCCGTCGGTCTTGAGCAACCCGTCTCACTTCCTTACTCTCTCTTGTTCAGCTCTGCTGCTGCTTTTGCCTCTGGTCTCAATCAGGATCTATGATTGGCTTGATAAGCTCCTGTCTGGCACCATTGCCTTCTCAATGTGCTTCCTAGGAACTCGCTTGGTGAAGACTTTAGGTTCCATGCTTCTCATGTCCTACTCCGGCCCAGGAGTTTCTGATGTCATCAAAGATATTGAAGCTGATCCTGCTGTGTTCGGGATTGATGACGCCCGATTCTGGCAGGTCCACTATGGGTTATGTATGGCAAAGCTCAAGCTCCGAGTCACTGGTTCTGAGGATAACCTTGCCCGGCTACGAGAGAAGATTTCCAGCTTGATTCGCAACAGACTAGGTGGTGGTTATGGCACTGGAGGTCAGAAATGGGAGGTATCTTTACAATTCACGATTGAGCGTGCATGATACTTTATCTGTCAGTTATGCATATGTCTCAATCAGTCTACGGGATACCTCTGTATATCATGAACTTTTACCACATATCGAACATACATGCTTCCAAGTTCAACAAACAAGTGTTCGGGAACATCTACTTTGAAGGAATATACAGTAGCACGTAAGAACCAATACGCAAATCTCGTGATAGGATTCATGAGTCTAGTATGCACATTTCCACATCATTTTCATCACAAACTACCGAGTCAAATTTTAAGCCCGCCTCTCTCGGCGTCTGTTCCGGGAGACGAAGAATGCACAAAACATAGATAGGAACTGGCTGGTCTGGATATTTCATCTACCGAGACAAAGATCTCAGGTTTGTGGACTTAAGGCCAAAGTATTCTGTAATATTTTTAGCTTAATGGACTATGTACTGCCCTGCTTCCTCTTCTATTTTCTACTGTCTATATGTATCTCTATATATCTAAGATAACTTTAGAGAGACAATCTTGTCTCTTTCACCAATGATCATACTGCACCTCTCCCATCAACAAGAGACTGGCCACGGAAATGCCTCCCAACTCCTTCTTCCCATCCACCATTTTGAAGAATCCAGGCTCAAAATCAATGATCCTCTTCCACTCCCGCATTAACCGACGCCAGTAGCACACGAACACCCCTTTGTTTGATTCCTGGCTTGAAGCGGGAGATATCGACATATCTATGGATACATATGTAGGTAGGTAACTTCAGATTGCCCTGAAAGAGTGATTCTTGTTACGCGAGGGCTAGAAAATAGCCATACAGTTAGGCGGACTAGAAACTCCCCGGGAGCAGTTCAACGGACTACTAGAGATAAAGAAACTCCAACGAGCTAAACGCTTGCATGTTGCAGCCAACTCATCCAGATCAAACATCTCCCCAATAGGGATACCCCACCCAGCCAGAAGGTGATGATGCAAATCAAACTCAGGGTTCAGAGCTGGGTAAACCTCGAAGCTCACAGCATCGGACGCAACAGCGGCAAAATGGTTATCCCATATGAAGCGCAGCACCCGCTCACTCTGTTCGATTCCAGCATGTTGCGGCATCCCCTGCTGACTATAAGCCACCCGCTCCTCGGCTGACATCCGCTCCCACGTCTCAGGCAAGCCAACCCGCAAGAAAAGGATATCACCCTTCTGGAATGTGATGTTGCATTCGCGCGCAATCTCCTGTACCTCATCAAGCGAGATCATCTGCCGACTCAGCGCGTTTACGCTGATGCCTTTCTTCTCCGCGTAGGAGACGTAATCGATCAGCACGCCACGCCCGGCAATGCCCTTCTTCGCCCAAAAGCCAATGCCAATCCGTGACGAGGATTCATCCAAAATCTCCCCTGCAGTCGTACCACCATAAAAAAGACGTCGGTCTGGATCTTCTGGTATTGGGGCTGGCGCATTGTGATGTCGGAGGCCATCCCACTGGGATGATTGCTGTGGGTTGAAGTGATATTCGTCGTCGAAAGCAACACCCTCGGCGACCCATTTAACTCGGTGCTCAAAGGGCTTGCGGCCAAATCCTGGTTTCTCGAGTCGTGAGTCTTACTGTGTGTTTTAAACTTATTCGACGGTCAAGTTCCCTTGTTTTACCTGGTGGGCTCAAATTCTCCATATCCCAGTTTAAGCATACCCTCTCGCCGGTCTGGATCTGTGTTCGCGCGGCTTGGGCAACTAGTTCAGGCGTCAAAAGGCGGAGCATTCCCAGACCTTCCTCTTCTGACCCTGCGGTTCCAGGCCAGAAGCGACGCTTGTCAGGGAGATCATCGAATGTCTCTGGGAGATTGGGAATGCCAAACATTTTTGGGATTGGAGAAGCAGATTGAAGGACATTTCAGTGATCAAGACGGGTGTGTGATTCATATAGTAAGTACGAGCCTGGAACGGTTAAACCCCTCATCTCGGAGGTCCGGTCTGTTTGACGTACCGCTATGTAAGCCGAAAGGTCCCTGGGCAATCTACTTCGAATCACCGCGATCATTCTGAGCAGAATGATACTTCGGTTGTGCCTTCCCATCGTCTCATGATTTTCTTTCCTCTTTCTTTCGGGAAGGTACGTTGTCTCCACCGGTGCGTATAAACCCCCCCTCGTCCTCGTTCTACCTCGAACTCTCCTCTCAGCCCGTTCTCAACTTCCCATCTCTCCTCAAGAACTTGGGGCATACTCTATCCCCAAATTGACCAGGTAGTATTCGTATGGAAGTCAGCTGTCAAGTTGTTGCCAATGAGATTGTAGTCAAAAGTCAATGTTGTACCAGTATGCATATAGAAACTACAGAAAGTAAAGTACAGGGTACAGGAGCCAAAAAGAGCGCAACAAACACATTTACATATCATCCAGGTCGTCATTGGCGTTCGACCCACCCTTCTGCATATTCGACATTTCATACTCTTCCTTTCGGTCTGAGCCAGCTCGCTCCCCAGCCGACATAGCAATCGCCTGGCGTCCAGTGTCGGAGGATTCGAGAAACTCGCGCAGGCGGCGCTTGCCTTCTACCAGAGCTTGCTGGGAGGCGGCCTCGGTCATCTTCAGCATGGGACCCCACAGATTAAGGTGATAAGTAATATATGCGCCAATGGCAAACACAAATAGCAGGATAAAGTACGCGGGGTTGCGCAGGACTGCAGAATATGTGTCAGTAGGCGCAAAAATGGAGGATTCCATCAATGGAAACTTACCAGCCCAGATTTCGTTCCAGCCTAGGGCCAGCAACAAACCGTAGAAATACAAGGGGACTTGTGTCATACCGCCAATGGCACTCCGCTTGGCCTCGACGTAGACACCGTCGGCGGTCTTCTTAAATCGTACAGTGAGCTCTTGGCGCTTGGTATCGCTAAGAATTGTCATCTCTTCTTCCAAACTCTTGCCCTCGTCTTCGTCCACACCCCCGATGGGGGCCAGATCCTCCTCATCCGCAGGTGTTGCTGTGCTTGGGGTGTGTCCAATCCATCGATCAAGTGGTGGTGGACCACCAGTCCTTTCCAGGCGGAAACGAGACAGAAGAGGAATCAGCGTCAAGGTAGATTCGCGAGCACGGGTGTAAATGCCCTCGATGTCATCGGTTGGGCGCCAGATGCGTGGTACACCAGCTTCGTCATAGCGGAACTTATCCTCAAAGTTCTCCCGAAGCTTAAGGAGCAAATTTCCCTCAATCATCTCCTCTTCGATTTTGGCACGGAGAACACCCCAAGATTTACGGCGCAGTCGCCAAAGACCAACATCGACTTCATCAATGCTAGCATCGAAGCTGCTCGCACGGTCCGTGAATCTCCGCTCAGCGTCAAGAACAGTATCTTCAAACAAGTTCCAGATCCGATCCCAGAAGTCCTTTTCCGTAGGCTTTTCCCCATTCTCAGGGGCACCACCGCCAGCTCTTCCAGACCCGAGGGCATTAAACTCTAGCCCCACAGATTCACCCAGACGAGATTGAACCCACCGCTCGACGCGGGTAGCCAGTCGTCTCATTTCATCACGGCGTAGTCGGGCACTGACCTCAGCCAAGTCTTTCTTATACAAAGATAGCTCTTGCTTGTAGTTGCTCCAGGAAGCTCCATCCACCAATGTGGAGCGGGCGACCTCCTCGAACTTCTCCAATGAAGACTGGGCCTCCTTGGTGACGATTTCGGCGAAGTCATAACTACCGCCCTTCTTCTGGCCATCCTTCACAGCAGCAGTGACCGAATCACTGAAATCCTGGATTCCAGACTTGTGAGCTGCGGATAGCTGGCCGTGGAAGAGTGCCTTAAGGCGTGTATCAACCTTGCCTTGAAGCTCGGCGCTTTTCCGTTGGTAAACACCCTTGTGGTATCGGCTGGCTTCTGTCTCAAAGCTCTTGAGGGTCTTGACCCGCGCAGCACGCATGGCAGCACCAAGTCCCCCTAGGACCTCAGGTGCACCTAGACGCACTGATTCGGCCTGTTTGTCTTCAAATCCGACGATCGCCTCATCGAAGCCTGTCATTACCTCGCGTAATATTTCGTCACAACGGAATTGCGCGAGCAACTCCTGCTGTGTGGGCAAATCTAAGTCTTTGTTGTTGACAATTTGATCCCAAATTCCCTCCGCATAATGTGCGAATCCGTCTGCTGGGATACGACGATGGTACTCAGGTAAGAAAACCCCTCCTTCGGAAAACTCGCCTTTGAGTGCATCCCTCTTTGGGTCTCGGTGACCTTCCCGGAAACGCAGGCCAAGCTTCTTTGCTTCTGTCACAAACTGGTCAGGCTGGTAACCCTTATGCGGCAGTCCATAGAATTGGAAATCAAAGTAGTCATGAATGGTCGACTTTTCCAAGCCTGCAGGTTTTGATATAGTATCCCAGAGACGGGAGAGGTCTTCCAATAAGGTCTTCTGCAGGTTCTTGAGTGGTGTGTTACCGATGAAATCACGAATGACGAAGAATAGGAGGGAACGATGGGTAGTACTGTAGAGAAATTAGCACCCAATGCGCATAGAAGAGGGGGCGATCAGAATGATACATACTGTTTATCCTTTAGGAACAGCTGCAAGTTAACTTCGAACACGGTCTTCAACAATCCCATGTTGGCTCCTTGATACAGCCCCACCTGGTGTTCCCAGATGTTGACAATCAGGACTTCACTTGTCGCAAGCGCAAAGAGCGCACTCTTGCGCTCAAAGTCCTGATCTTCACCTCTCTCGCGACCATCAGTTCCCTCCACGTCCATGACCAAGATGTTATCAGCCATGCGCTCCGCCGCGCCAGGTTCGCCTTGCTTCTTGTTGTTCGACATCCAGATACCCTTTGTTGTTTGTCTTCTTTCCAGCTCCGACATCACGGAGAACTCGGTCCCGAACAACTGATTGAGCAGCGTGGACTTTCCGGTGGATTGCGAACCAAACACGGAGATGAGATGGTAGTTGAAACCAGCCGACGTAACATTCTCGAGGGACAGATATTTGGACAGGTTAGGACTATAGCGATGCGATCAGCTTCGAAGCCATATGATTGGGCAAACCATAGTGAAGGGAGGTTGCCGTACTTGAACTCCTTATTCTCATCAATCACCTGCACGCCGTGTTCATACAAGGCAGCATCGCCTTCGGCACCGATCGAAGCAAAGTGGCCATTGGAGAGGATCGGCGGCGCAGTTGGGCTCCTTTCCAACCCCGATGGGCGTCGTTCAGTCATGTTTATCTTCCTCTGCTGTGTGTATGTTGGGGGGAGGGGGGAGGTGTTGTGGCAACAGCGAGTTGAAAGAGCAAAGATATACTAGGATCTAGAGGACCATGCAACTAGAAAGAGCAACAGGGTAATCAAATGAGAAAATGAGAAGAATTCAGGGATCACACGGTTGTTTCACGGGTTCATTGAGATGATCAAGTCCCGAGGTCGATGCTGGGGAAAACAGTCTTACATAAACCCCTTTTACCCCGGTAACGTCACTTTTCAGACCACTCTGGACTGGGTTACTTGTTTTTATTTTAATATATTCTGCATTTTATCAACGGAATATTGAGATGTCATTAATAATATCGACATTGCAGGAAATCGATACTATCTGACCATTTGGATCGGACTGGTGTTTAACACCAGATCTAGTGCCTCGATCATGCAATCAAATGATAGAAATCGCATTTCCTTCGACGGGATGTGTATATCGTCAACTCTTCTAATTTACAACATGTACAGGCTGAAGACATTAAAATTAATCCACAAGGGGATCTGTATTTACAATGATGGCACACCATCTGACCAGTTTAGATTCCAACCCTCATCAAGCCCAAGGTCAACGCTGCGGTTTGGCCACATATACTGCCCAAAATCATCGAACAGTCCACTGAACGCGTTGAACTCCAAGCCAGGATGTGGGTTTGTCATTGTTTCATTCCTTGAAAGCCATGGCTCGTCTGGGTATCCAGGCGTCATCGTGGGTGTGATGGAAGTACCATTCAAGGTGTCAGTGTTGGTACTTGGCGCACCTTCAGGGTCAGATATCGGCGTAGTATACAGCTGACTAGGACACTGTACCGAAGAAGAGACCTCCGTTTGCCCCGTGTCTGATGGTATTGACGTCTGTTCCTTGCTTTGGGAGCGACCCTTGAAGAACTTGCTTCCTGCACTGACCGTAATAGTACCAAAATAGGGCACTGTAATTTTGCAGCTCGATATGGAGCACCAATCAGGCTTAAGATCTCTGCTATCGTAGATGGCGCCGAGGATCTTCGCAGACTCGGCAGCCACTGAGCCTCCTAGCTCTGTTGCCGCCAGTTGGAGGGTCTCGACGACCTTCTTTACCATATCCCAGTCTTCTTCATCTTGCTCTTTACTATGATCTGGACTCTCGTCGGAATAACCTTGCAGGTGTATTATCAAAAGGAGACATAGCGTAAATGCCATGAAGTCAATCATTTTGCACAAAGAGGGTTTAGTTGTGGATCGGAGGACCTTGTATAGAATGAGCCCTTCTCTTGCGGATTGAATTGCGATCGTGTGGCAGGGAAGGAATTGAGGCTCATGTGGGGATTGCAGCATCAATGGGAGATGGAGGAAAGCACGCAGTAGCTTAAGCATGAATTGTAACGGGACTCTCTCATTGTAATGTTCTCGTTTCTCGTTTTGGCAGGGCTCTGCGGCTTGGAAGTGACTCGGCATAGATTTCCAAGAATCCTGGAGCTCTTGGTCCAGTCGTAAAGTTGCTGCGAGGGTCATCTTGGAAGGGTCTTGGTTTCTGTCAACCATATGTCCCGTGATAATGCCAATGCGCAACATGTATTCCTCAGGAGCTGATAAGTTGGCATTGAGACGTTGCTCTACCTGTGGCAAAAAGAATTGATCTGTAATACCATAAGGCAAGCCAAGGATCAAACTTAGGAATCGATCCGATGTTGCCAGAAAGCACCAAATTTTCAAGCGCCGTTCATATAAAGAATCGCCTGGCCTCTGAACTTGAGTGGACAGATGCATTCCAGCTAGATGGGCAAACTCGATTGCCCGACGAATAACCAGCCAAGCTTTCCGGAGCCGGCCATCAGTCATGTGAACCCTTTGGAGCAACATCTGACATTCAATACCGGGCAAAGTAGCCGCAAAGTCATCGTCACGGACAATCAAACGGTCCACGATCTCAGTGCATTTCTCATAGAACTTTTGAGGCTCAAATGGCACGATTAAAGCGCTAAAGTCAAATTCAGATGGGGCGTGAATCGCACTGATGCACAGACACATGAGTGCCCTAGCGACGTCGGCGGGAGCCACTAGAGTATCGCGACAATGGTCATTAAAAACCAGTCGGTCGGCATGTCGATCGAACATATCCGGGAAATGATCATGCCACACAAACAAATGGAAGGACGCATTTATTATCTTATTCATATCCTCTATGGGAGGAAGGAGAGACATGAGTTCTGCGCGCACTGCTTCGGCCTTCGGCGACATGTCCTGAACACCAGCGAATTTATCATTATTCGACGAGTCCTTTTTGCGGCTCATAATATAGTTATCAAACAGTTGGAGTACCGGCGCATTGCAGATTTGATCACTAGACGGGCCTAGTTCATCTGTCTCGGTAGCTAATGGCCTTGAATGGGATTGTGCACCGTCCGCTACATAATGTCAGTCACGCGACATCGATCCGCATGCGTCCGGGATATACCAACTTTGATTTGTCCCATGGTGCTCACAAGGTGGTATGCGTGAATCCTGCTGGTCCAGTCGTTTGGTCAACCCCTCGACAAGGTTCTCCAGGTGTGCTACTCGCTCGCGGAGACTGTATGGCTGTTCACCTAGTTTGGAGTTCCGCTGGAAGCCGGACAATGGAGGGGTAATAACTGTATGTTCTTGATCAACACATTTCATGCCTCTGGACCGACATTCATTACAAATTGTCGGGTGGTTGGGGTGAAATGTGCATCGAATCTTGCGTCGCCGACCTATAGTTGAACGCTTTTAGAGCAGACATATCAAATTACTCTCTTGACACATACATTCTGTGCAACTTCTGGTCCCCTTTCTCATTCTCTTTCGCGCCGGCTCATGGTCTGTGCAGGGTTCCATCTTGATCTGTACAGCGAAAGGGCAAGGATAAGAAGATAATATGTTCACTGATTGTGTTGTGAGGGGAGTTGATCAGATCAGGAGGTTGTGCAGCATCCTCTTGTCACTTGTGGTGAGGAATACTCTTGGGAGTAAGACAAGATGACAGATCAAGTGATGTAAAGGTTCCGAAGAGTCAAGCTAGGCCTGAATCTCAGGTCAATCCTACCTAGTCTCGAACGAAAGAACAAAAAAGGAGCCCACAGTCGTTGGATAGTCGGCTCTCATAGATATGTTCGTCCGTCAAGTTCGGCCGAGGTGGTGCGACATTTAGTCCGGGCCAATCAGATGCAATATCTTTCCTCCGTTAAGTCCGTCTCACGGGGTTAATATCATCTATAACATCGGGTTCAGGATTTCTCTTGCTATTTATTCTATCTGCTTTTTGAATATCTTCATGTACTTCACGCCTATCCATCCTGATCCGTCTCAATCGATCTACCAAGCACCGAGAGGCTGCAAGTATTGTCTCATATCCGCTGCCTGTAGTTTATGATAGTTCTGCCCAGGGTGGTAATGATTCCACCAAATGCAAGAGGTGCCATTTTCATTGAAACAAGTGGCATTTGGAAACCCGTATGTCTGAGGGTCGTCCAGGATCTTCGGCATGAAGGACCAGGTGTCGTAGAGAACGATAGTAGTCTACAATCAAGTTAGTTTTGTGAAAACAATGTAAGAGATCAAAACATACGTCGGTGTGGCTTAATTTGAAGTCATTGATCAATGTTTGAAGGCCATTATTGTAAGCCTTCACCCACATAGCATATGTTTTGACGGCTTCCGGTCCCTCTTTGATGATCATAGGACTCCGATCTGTAGGTGGGACATTGAGGAAAAGGAACTTTCGTCCGCCAGATGCATATATCTTTTCAACGAGATATCTGTACTGTGCCATCAGTTTCGGCACAAGTACGCTAGGCTGGGTGTTTTGATGACCCCAGCCGATACTAAAAAATGAAAACATTAGAACATAGCCGGCAAGGGGGGATTAAGACGCAATACTCATTGATTCCAATCCAGAACCCAAAAACCGCATTTTCTGACGTCCACGGTGCAGATGCAGGCTTCTTGCCATATGCTAACTCGAAGTCTTGGACTTGCGAAGTCACATCCTTGACCTTGGTATCCACAATTGAGTTGTCGATCGTCGCCCCTCCAACGGCGAAGTTGTAACTGAGTACCGGCGAGGCATTGTATAGAGTGGTCAGGTATCCGACCCAATTGGTACCACCGCTCGTTGTACCAGTCCCTATTTGACTTGATGAGTGGCTCGATTCAATCCTACTTGCCCGGGTAAGTAACTCTCACCTAGCGCCGGGTTTCCCATCGGGTTTGTGGCAGATGGCTGTGTGCCATTGACAGTGAACTCAGTCTGGGTGTAGGAATCTCCGCTGGCAAGGTCAATAACCTCTCTCCGATCGGCTACGGCAAATTTGGAATCTTACAATGTAAACAGATAAGTCATTGCATCTTGAGCTTGCGGGGGCGTTGTATCAGCTGTGCTACTGCCAGCTACAGAACCAAGATCATGATGATTCATGTTGATATAGAATATTACCACAATCTTCGAAGAAAATAACAATAATTCCAGGAAATCCCGCGACACATGTGCCCATGGCTGTTCTCTATATATGTATTAGGATTTGTTTCCTTTGATCCGGTATTGCTTGTGGAGCTCCTAATCTATTTCATAAAATCATCCTTTGGTTGCATTTCTCCATTTCTCCGGATTGGTTTACGGGGTGATGTTACTAGCAATAACAACACAAATGGAACCGTGTAAGCGAAGGTCTGATAGCGTATCAGTGGATTGATATGAACTATGACCTAGAAGGCACAGGTGGAACTAGCTGATCCAATGAGAGATGGATCCAAACACCCCCCCGTATAAGCACTATAAGACGCGCCCTGGAAAATTACTATGCTGTACGGAGTAGAAAGTTCCAATCCATGGATGCAAATCTTAGTAAAGCCGCAGTTTGGCCATATGGATATAGCAACGTTGTAAGTATAAGCCTTGACTTATGTAGAGACAATGCTTGATGTGCGGAGTATACATACTTCATTTTTACCCCGTGTCGGAGGAGAGAAGTCCGTTGGTACTAAACTAATATTAGTGTGGCGTTATTTTTCAAAGCATCCGGATGTAAATATATAAAAAAAACAAAAAAAAAAAACAGTATTCTCTGATGATAACTTTGCGTCTCATCCATCCATTCAAGTACTACCTACTAGTACAGTAGTTTTGAACCAATAGTGCGCCATAACGGATGTTGGCTGTATGTTGGAGTATTCTTTGCAATATGAGCTTTCTATACCTCGTACATCTGAATACACTACGGAGTAATGTCACGCTGATTCTCTATCCTACATTATACATAGAAAAGTCGTCTACGTAGCGATGCTCCTTTTTCCTACCATCTATCATCTACCTAGAAAACCGAGAAGGGAAGTATCTACCCAAACGACTACTAAAATGACCACATAAGGCCGCATAAGCGGCCAGCTATTGTTATCTCCATGAAAGTTCAAAATCCAAGTCTGATTTTTGGTAGTCAAGTTCATGATGATCGAATTCTCTATGGCCTATTTGTCGAGGCTTACTGCCTGAAATTCTCCACCTTGGATTCAACTCTCGATAATTATACATTCTGATTCTCGGTATTGTAGCTCTGCATTCAATCCGTATATCAACCTCGTAGTTAGTATCGAGTAGTTAACCATGGGAAAATTTGTTATGGCGCACTAGTAGTGAAATATTGTCGTGGTTGTGAGGTGCTGCAGGCCAAGGTGCCACAGCGAACATCAGCAATAGAATGTTCATACTCCACCTCTGGCTCCCTTGCCAAGGTCTATCTCTGCATAGTATTGAACCCGGCGAGCGAGTCGAGTTGGATTTCTTTTTTTGGAGAAGTGAGTTGAGAATAGCGGAAGACCTCCTGCCCACGCTACAATCTACTCTTGGGATATACAATATTTGGTAGTTTCTATTTCAAAACCGGGCAAACATCGCGATATCCCTGCTTCAATATATAGCCTTGCATATTGAACCAGCAAGTCTCGAGGCTGTCAGACGACACCGGGAAATGGTTGTTTAATACGAAGGACGGAGTAGTTCCAACGAACATAGTTGGCCACTTTTCGGTGTGTATATATATGACAGGTCTCAGCCTATTTCCACCAAAATATGGGAAACAATATATTACAACTTCACAGGGATGCCAAGAGGGCTCGATAACACAGTAGGGATTGAAAAAGGGCAAACCGTCCAGGCCCATTGAAGAAGTGATTGATTGATGTCTATGCATGATTGGACAGGGTATATTTCAGAATCCGTAGCTACATGGATGTATTCTTAGATGACGAGATCAGCCATTGGGGGAAACACTAATCAGTCAAAATGACCGTCTTCGCCATCATCAGGGCGGATGAGTTGCGAATACCGTGGAAGCAGAGAACGAGGTGTGAACCAGGCGTCCATGTAACTCGATTGAGTATCTACAGGCTAACTTCTAGATTCGTTCTCATGCAATAGACGAGATGAGGGTCGAGCAGTAGAAAGACGCACGTTGACTTGAGCATAGACTAAAATTATATATGAGCCTAGGAAGAATTTGGTCTGAATACATTTTCACGGGAGTGGAGAGATGAAAGAAAATCCGACTACATCTCCAAAACAGTAGAGGTACATGAACGATATCAAGCGAAAACTCCGGTTTACCCCCGGATCCCTCGTGCTGATCGATGATTCCCGCGCTGTGGAATAAAAGGTGCCAAAACAAACAAGCTGTTAAAGAAAAGGGGTTCATAATACAAGGGTCAGACACTTCGCCTGCCTGACCATGGGTGCGAGCGGACCATTTACTCGACGACGCGGGTAATCAGACCAGTGGCAACAGTACGGCCACCCTCACGGATGTTGAAGCGCTGACCAGGCTCGGCAGCAACAGGGTGGTGGGTCTTGAGAATCATCTCAACGTTGTCACCGGGTTGGACACGTCTGGCCATGTCGCCATCGGGGAAGCTGAGATCACCAGCCTCATCTAGAGCATAATTAGTTATCAATTGTATCAATTTGATTAAATCAGATTTGGCCGAAATTGAACTTACCAGCAGTGCGGATGTAGACCTGGGGGCGGTAGTTGGCGCCGAAACCAGTACGGCGACCACCCTCAGCCTCGGTCAAAACGTACATCGACACAAGGAACTTGTTGTTGGCCTTGGTGCTGTTAGGGGCAGCAACGACCATGCCACGGCGGATATCCTCACGGCGGATACCGCGGAGAAGGAGACCGGAGTTGTCACCAGCACGGGACTCGTCACAGGACTTCTTGAAGGTCTCAATGTCGGTAACCTTGGTCTTAATAGGGTTGCCGGAGTCGGTAGCACCGACAATTTCAACCTCAGTATCCTTCTTCAGGAGACCACGCTCGACACGACCAGAGACGACAGTGCCACGGCCAGGAATAGAGAAGACTTCCTCAACGGACATAAGGAAAGGTTTATCCAAATCACGCTCGGGGGTAGGGATCCAAGTGTCGACGGCCTTCATGAGCTTGTCAATCTGCTCGGTACCAATATCGGGGCGGCGGTCCTCGAGAGCGCAGAGAGCGGAGCCGAAGACGATAGGAGTCTCCTCACCCTCAAATCCGTAAGAGGAGAGCAGTTCACGCATCTCGAGCTCGACGAGCTCAAGCATCTCAGGGTCCTCGACAGCGTCGACCTTGTTAACGAACACAACAATCTTCTGGACACCAACCTGACGGGCAAGCAGCAAGTGCTCACGGGTCTGGGGCCTGTTGGGTAATTTGGGTCAGCACATTCTTCCGACTAGCTTTATAGACTGGGGGCCGTACATCTGACCGTCGGAGGCAGCAACGACGACAATGGCACCATCCATGTTGGCGGCACCAGTAATCATGTTCTTAATGTAATCGGCGTGACCGGGGCAGTCGACGTGGGCGTAGTGACGATCCTCAGTTGCGAACTCAATGTGGGCAGTGGAAATAGTAATACCACGCTTGCGCTCCTCAGGGGCCTTGTCAATGGAGGCATAGTCGAGGAAGTTGGCAAGGCCCTTAGAGGCCTGGTGCTTTGTGATGGCGGCAGTCAGGGTAGTCTATGAGCGTACGAGTTAAATTCGATCTTTGCGTGGCGGAGACATCGGAACAAGTCGCGAATGGCTTACCTTGCCGTGATCAACGTGACCGATGGTGCCTGAACAATAAGCTTCAGCATGGAGACGTAGAATGCGACAGCGATAGGATCTTACCAATGTTCACGTGGGGCTTGTTACGCTCGAAAGCAGTAGCCAATCCACGGCCGGCCACCTTGTTGCTGAAGACATGGTGGACGGGGTTGACGGTAGTCGGACGCAGCAGGGAGGACCGGCTGGTGCGCGCCAGGAGGTTCAATGAACGGGAGATGGTCGACATCTTGGTTCAATCGAAACAAAAACGATGGAACAAGAACAAAAAGGAAAGATTAAACAGGTGGAGTAAGGATGGAAGAGAAGAAACCCAGATCAACACCAAATTTTTAAGTAAGATGGCTTCCGGGATGAATGGATCCTCAGGGCAGGCTTAGTCATCAACCAATCACGGGCCTCGAATTGCGGACAGGATAGATGTTGAACATGGATATGAATGTATGTATCTAAGGATGTTTCTTGATGCTGAGTGGCATTCTATCAATCTGGAAGGTCTCAACGGTCTAAGGTCTCTAGGGCTACTTCCAAGGTATATAGGGAAGATATCAAATATCATGGTGTGGGATCCAACAAGTTCATATCCTTTTATATCCCTACAAGTGGGTAACAAATAAGCGCTATACAACTGATGCCATGTCGCAAGGTTCAATGCTATATAATATACATTGGACTAGTCCTCTGTGCTAGTTCATTTTCTGTGCAGTGATCTTGAGTTGCTTTCCCGGCTCTCCCTCCATTGCTTTGGTCTGGGTTCCACCAGCCTCTCGGATTGTGTCCAACACACTCTGCATGACCTGCTTGATCTCATCAACTGTGGGGCTGCGCTTGCGTTTCTTGGTGGTCAATAGAATTTCTACCCTGCGACCTTTCTCCAAAAAGGTCGAGAGTTGCTTTAGACGGTGCGACAGGTCATGGGCATCGATTGCCCAGTTCAGCTCGATTTGTTTGAATGTAACCTTGGTCTCACGAGCTGACTTGGCTTTGGCCTTTTCACGTGCTCGCACTTCTTTCTTACTGTAGATCTTGCAAACTGGCGGGTTGTTATAATCTCCTTCTTGCACCTGGAGAAGAAAGAAGTCGGCATGGTCAAAGCTTTCAAGAACATCCTCTAATCTGGTCGGAGGGTCGAGGTCCCCTTCGTCGTTCACAACTTGAACAAATGGTGCACGGATAGCATCGTTTATCGGGGGCTTTTCAACCGGTGGCCGATGTTCTCGAAGCTTCAGACAACGGGATTGTTGAAAAGCTCGAGTCTGAGGGGTATTTGGAAGAAGCCTGAGAGGATGAATGCCAACTCTGGAGCTGCGAACGGATGTGGTGAATATCTGACGTAGGGCCTGGGCGGATGATAGGAGACCGCGTGCGTGGTTCATGTCGTTGGTAGAGGGAAATGCAGCAGGAGTGATAGAAAGGCTGTAAGTGCACCAGGGAGGGAAATATAATAACGGTTTTCCGTGACAAAGCACAGAGAGGATTATTGACTTGAACAGTCGACAAGCCACTAATACGGGGAAGTCAAATACGACTAAATGCAAACATGACAAACATTAGTGAGCCACCATTTGCCGGTACCGGCTATCTACATACCAACTGGGCAAAGTTAGATGCTTCCGGCCAATTTATGATATCTATGTACCTATCAAGTGGTCCGATCTTACTACACAGCAAGGGCGTCTGGCGCGTATTCTAAGTCGTTTGTTTTAATACATAGGGAAATAGAGGTATCTCCCTCATTTTGAGACTCGGGATATAGGTATGCCCAAGTGGCAATAAATCCATCAATCATGTAATTTGCGCTAAAATTGCAGGCAGTACTCCCTTTGATATGCTGGAGGATGAGTCTTAATATCAGAGAAATATGATTTAATCCTATGATATACATTCCTAGTATGTAGATCTTGGAAGTTCTCCCAAGGTTTGTATTTTTATGTACATCCATGCATGCATTCAACGCCACCTCTGCGCCACAACCATGAAACGCTGATCTCCTTTCTCTCCTGACAAATTTCCCTTTTACATCCATCCACTTCTTACAAGACAGGCTTGGTGTTTTTGGAGGACATTGGGATCAATGGTTGCTTATTTTTCGCTTTCTTCCTCTACTACAATCGTTCAACCATTCTTGCGCTAGCGACAAACGCCACCTGTCACTGCACCTTTATAATTCGACAACTGCTCGAATGTCGACTGGAGTCGACAATCAAACCCATAACAGCAAATTTGATCACGTTGATTCCGCCAGCCGTCACCGCTCCATCTCCCGCAGCGACGGATCTGCTATACCACAGTCCATTGAATCCAATCGAATCTCCGGAAATCAACCCGTCAACATGGGACAGACTCAGAGATCGCGTTACCTGAAGACGGGCGCAATCATTGCCTTCATTTTCATGGTATTAGTGTGGCTCTCCCCGTCCCAGCCTAGTACTTCGAGTCTTACCAACGGTCGGTGCCCCCCTTGCGCGCTACCGTTCGCAGAACTGACCATTTAGCAGAGCAACCACCTTCAACCGGTGGCGCATCCACCTCGAGAGTATGCACCAAACCGTTTGACTCATCCAAGCCTCTTATCCAGTATGCTCTTATGATCGATGCTGGCAGCACTGGGTCCCGGATTCATGTTTACCGATTCAACAACTGCGGCCCTACCCCCGAACTTGAGAACGAGGTGTTCGAACAAACGAAGAAGAAGGAAGGAGGCTCCGGTCTTAGCTCCTTTAGAGAGGATGCGGAGGGTGCAGCCCTCAGTCTGGACCCTCTTATGGATGTCGCTGTGAAGTCGGTTCCGGAGGAGTACAGGTCGTGCTCTCCGGTTGCCGTCAAGGCTACGGCCGGACTTCGTCTTCTAGGTCCTGAAATGAGTGATAAGATTCTGGAAGCCGTTAGACACCGCCTGGAGACCGTCTATCCCTTCCCCGTTGTCTCCAAGGAGAAGGGTGGTGTTCAGATCATGGATGGTTCAGACGAAGGTGTCTACGCTTGGATTACGACAAACTACTTGTTAGGCAAGATCGGTGGCCCTGACGAGACTCCCACGGCCGCTATCTTTGATCTGGGTGGTGGTTCTACTCAGATTGTCTTCCAGCCTACCTTCGAGCAGAGCAAGGCTGGTGGTATGCCGGAGCATCTCGCCGCCGGTGACCACAAGTATGACCTTAAGTTCGGTGGCCGCCAATTCGAACTGTACCAGCACTCTCATTTGGGATACGGTCTCATGGCTGCCCGCGAGGCTATGAACACCATTGTTGTAGAGGCGATGCTAGCTCAGAGCCCCAAGGACCTGGCCTGGGTGGAGCAGCCCATCTCTAACCCCTGCATTGGCCCTGGAATGAAGAAGACAGTTACACTCAAGTTTCCCGCTGACCACCCTCTGGGGCCCAAAGTCGAAGTGACCATGGTCGGCCCCAAGGACAAGTCTATGGGCGCCCAGTGCCGTGGTATCGCCGAGAAAATTTTGAAGAAGAGCGGCGAGTGCAAGCTTGCACCCTGCTCTTTCAACGGCGTGCACCAGCCCTCTCTCGCGAAGACTTTTGCCCGAGAAGACGTGTACATCTTCTCTTATTTCTTCGACCGCACGGCTCCTCTTGGCATGCCGGAATCTTTCACTCTGGATGAACTCAACCAGCTGACCTCCACCGTCTGTGCTGGTGAGAGTGAATGGAAGGGCTTCGAGGCCATTAAGTTTGAGGGTGAGGATAATGCGCTTGTGCAACTTCGGGATCGTCCAGATTGGTGTATGGACCTGAGCTTCATGATGGGCCTATTGCACACCGGCTACGAAATGCCCTTGTCCCGCGAGGTCAAGATTGCCAAAAAAATCAAGAACAACGAGCTGGGCTGGTGTCTTGGTGCGAGGTTAGTGCAGTCCTTCCCGTCTCTTTCTAATCAGTATACTGACCTACTACAGCCTGCCTCTCCTTAGCCAGGAATCTGGTTGGACTTGCCGCATCAAGGAAGTGGTTTAAACGAGACAGCGAACGCGATGCAAAATTATCACTTTTTAATAATGTCATTCGGTCATAGTGCATGATGGGTTCATGCATGTATAGAGATTCGCGATCTTCGTGTTTCTGTTTTACTACTTTCTACTTTTTCCATGTCTGTTACCTAGACTTGATTTCTGACCAGTGACATACATATATAGGGAATGAATGTATGGGTGTGTGTTTCTGCATGCAATTGGTTTAGAGCCACTTCTACAGAGGAAAAAAAAGCAAAACATTAGACGCTAAACGACAATACAGAGCTTAGGTACGACATGCAAATACATAGATGCTAAACCAGTAAATCGCCATGATTGCACCAAGACCACACATCACAACCAAATGTCAGAAATAATACAACCCCACCAAACCAAACAAGTGTCTACTGAGCCATCTCCTCGATGGACGGCTTATCCGTATTCGACTTCTTATTTTTACCGCCCATAAGCTTCCCAATGATGTCCGAGTCATTCATCTCCTGGGGGCTCTTTCCATCCCTAGTGGCACCCTTAAGCCCTTCGTCATCACTCTCCTCATCACTTGAAGGATCACCATCGCGCTTCTCTTCCAAAACTCCGAGACCAAGGTCCTGATATCAGTCAGCAAAGCCTATCACTACCATCAGGGACAATCCAGAACCCCTACCATCTCAATATACTGCTCTCCATTCTCATCTGCATTATCGAGAATCAAATCCCCGGCCTTCCCAGCTTCAATCTGCTTCTGCAAATCTTCATTTGCATCCTTCATCTTTGGCAAGAAAGCGTTAAGCCGTGACAAAATATCCGAATCGCCTTTCATGCGATGTATGCGCGGTTTCGGGCGGCCGGCGATGTGAGGTAATGATGGGGAAGGATCAGGAACATGTGCGTGGGTGTTCGATGACTCTCCTATGCAATTCATTTCTCGGTCAGAGTGTTGTTCATCCTCTCTTTCGCTTTCGCTGTCGTCTTCCGAAGATGAGCCTGAGGAGGAGGTTGGGTCGGAGTCGGATGATTGAACAGAGTTGGCGCGCTGTCGGCGGGGTGCAGTGCGGTCTGTTAAGTTGATGGGCGTCGGAGAGGGATTGCTTGCAGCATTCTCAGATCTTGTGGTCGCTTTAGTCATGTTTTGGGTATTTGGGATGTATGCGACTTGATGGGGCTCGCAGAGATTTCTGGGAGATTGTGATGCGCTGATGTGGGGGTCAAGGGTTGGAATGGGTTTTAACAAGATATTTCGAGCTTTTTTATATATTTCAATGTAGTGTCCAATAGCCCGCCGATTTTTTCTGAGTTTTGGAAGAGTGGATGTTGTCGAGTCTGGTTGGAAGTCGGACATTTTCAACTTTTTTGGGCGGAGAACTGATAACGGATAAGCTTATCGGCTATCGATTAGGTACACCCTAGATCCATCCATCCCTAGATGTGATCTCGGTAGGTATCTACCTAAGTACAACAGCATCGAAGTGAACTAGGTTAAATGGAACACTTAGGGTACAAATCGTAGTATGCAAGGAAATTCAGACGCTTATAACGCCTTGGGCCATACATTTTATTATTACAGGGTTGTTCGAAAAGAATAACAGCAAGCCAGTAGTAAAACCTCACTGGTCCCTTTTGTACACGACAAAATATCAGCGTGAAAATCATCGGCTCCGGTGCCTTCTACGACTTCGACTTCGGCGTCGACTTGGGCTCCTTCGGCGACGACTTGGACTTCTTCGTCGACTTGGACTTCTTCGTCGACTTGGACTTCTTCGTCGACTTGGACTTCTTCGTCGACTTGGACTTCTTCGTCGACTTGGGCTCCTTTGGCGACTTGGGCTCCTTCGACGACTAGGTGTTTGTCGACGAGGTCGGCGATCATCTGCATCCTTCTCTTTGTCTTTTTCCTTTTCCTGTTCCCTCTCCTTTTCTTTTTCTATGCCAACCTCAAGAGCTCCCTCTTTTGCGTGAGTCGGGTCCTTATCCCGTTCAGATATAGGTTTGTAACGGTCAATGTCGTTTAGCCGGGGTCGGGATTCTCGCTCTCGCTCTGGTGATCGGACCCGGCGGCGGGGTGATTTGCTCCGGTTGCTGGTGGGGGGAACGTAGCGGTCAATATCTAAAGTGGGAGAAGGCGAGCGACGCCGAGACCGAGATCTCCGTCGAGTAGATCGAGAGCGTGACCGAGGGCGATCGCGAGGGCGAGCGCGCGAGCGTGAGCGGCTGCGAGAACGCCGACGTACAGGTGAGCGAGAGGGCCGACTGCGCCGAGGGCGATAGTTGTCATGATCTCGGTCTCGGTTGCGGCTGCGCTCTTTGGACCGGGATCGATCTCGTATTCTATCTCTATTCCGGCTGCGGTCTCGCTCACGCCGGCCGGCGGATCGACTGCGGCTGCGATGGCTTGGTCTGTAGCATCCACCACCTCGGTCATCCCGAAAGTCGCGGTAGCCACGGCGTGCATCCATATCACGATCTCGAGACCTCACAGAAGTATCCCGGGACCGTTCACGTCGACGGTCTGTATCATAACGGGATGTTCGCCGTCGTCGCGAGCGACTACGGCTTCGATCCCGCGTCAAATGTCGGGTCCGATCACCCCGGTCTGCAAGTGAACCACGCCTTGGGTCAGTATCTCGGGATATGCTGACTGCTCTCGTAGATGTATTGGAAAATCTGGAATCATTCGCACTCTTGGCAGGCCCTAAGGTTGACCCTGGTGGTTTCAGTCCATTTTCAATAGCCTCAGCCTCTTCAAAGTCAAACTCGGGCTTCTGCCGAGCCTTGGCTGCAAGTTCTTCGCCTTCTTTCAGAAGCATTTGCAAAGCAGCCTCCTCGAGTGACTTCTCATCCACAAGCGGCGCTAACAAAGGAGTTGGAGCATTCGATGTAGATGATTTATCGTGTTTCGAATCTCGTGGCCAAGGGGATAAGCCACGGTCGGAGCGATAGGCCGGAGAGCGATCACGGAAACGGTCTCTCTCTCGAGTTCGACTGCGGTCGCGGTCCCAGCCTCGATATCGCTCCCTATCTTCTCGTCTTCGTCGCTCATATCTTTCATCTCGCTCTCGTTCTCGCTGTTCGTCGAGAATTCGTTGCTCTTCACGTTGGCGCTCACGATCAGCTCGCCTCTGTTCATCGATCTCCTTTCTTCGGGCCCGGTCTTCCTCATCTTTCTGACGTTCAAGTTCGCGCTTCTTCTTGCGTTCTTCCTCCCTGATCCGTCTTTCCTCCTCCTCAATCTCCCTCTGTTTGCGCTCCTCTTCACGCCACACTTTTTCCCGCTTCTCTCGCTGTGCGCTGACATATGATTCGTAATCTGCATCCGTTTTGTTCCCTAGTTCGAGTTCACGGGCGGCAACCTCCTCTCCAACGTCCTGGCATCGGATCTCACGAACAGATTCGAGGATAAAATCCAGGTGTTTGGATGCTAATTGGTCGATGGAGTCCTCCACGCTCTTGTAAACATCACCACGATCCACCGCGCCCTCAATGAGTGTCGCTGCTTTTCCTCTTTCGCGGGACAGAAGTGCTGGTTCGCGATCGATCTCCGACTCTGCAAGTGCAACTAACTTGTTGGTGAAATCGGTTCGAAGTTCCTGTTCCGATAGGATTAGCAGCCGCAGAAAAATATAGACAATCCCTCGCAAGCACTGTCTCGGCAAAGTTTCATACCCCATCATTGAATTCAGCCCATATTTGTTTGCGAACACTATCGAAGCCACCCTTCTTCTTGAATGAATGTAGGAGTTTGTCAATGACCGCATGTTGCGCAGCAGACAAGGGAAGGTCATCGGTTTTGAATTTCTTGCGCTTCACGCTCTCAATATCAATAGGTTGTTTAGCCGTAGAATGGACATCCTCTTTTTCCTGAGAATTGTGCATTGCCTCATCAGAACCCATAGTAACACGACTGGTCTGGACAAGAGAGAGATTCAAGTCGCGCGAGCGATAAGCGATAACAACTGTGATCGGAAGAATGGTTATTCCGTGATTGGGAACTGCGGCCCGCTGATTTGCTTCAACCTCGTCTCTCCTGTACTATTGCGACGGCAACATCCAATTCTGCCTCCATTTACCCCGGCTGCAGTGGTGTTGAATTAACATATCCACCCATTTGCATTTCTGATTCTTTTCCTCGGATCCCCTTCCGCACTCAAATCACAAACACATCCCCGCGCCCGACCGCGATCATGGTTCACAAAGTACTCTTCTGGAGTGGCTTCGGTACGTACATATCGTCCCCGGGTTCCAGTCCTTCAAAAGACCAAGCTTCTTGGTAGAAAAATTATTCAATTTATTTAATATGGCCATTGGAACTCACGCGTTGATCCCCACAGGCATTGCCGTCCGCCTCTGGCAACTCGGTATCGAGATGCGTCCAATTCTCGCCAAGGAATCCCTCTGGGTCTACCCTCTTTTCGCCGGTGTTGGTGGAAGCTTTGGCTACTGGCTTCAGGGTGTTGAGAGCAGACAATTGAAGATGCTTGCACAGCGCCGCGAGGCTATTCTCGAGAAGCGTCGGCGACGGGATGAGAAGCCCGAGGGTGGTGTCCTGGCTGCTGCATCATAAAGCAAAGAGCTATTATGATTGAGATGGTCATTGTGTGTATGCGTTTTTCTATTTGTACCAAAATTCAACCGGTTTGATATCAGCATTCAAATCTTCGCGCATTTAGTGGACAATTCTCTCCACAGGTGCATTGACATCTCTTATATTTCTGATTTGTTCCTCAAAAATTCTGGATAAGAATAGTCTTCAATTTGCTTGCCTCTTTTTTAATTCCACGGGGTATAAATCCCGAAGTAGAACATTTCCAAGGTTGATATCGGCCCATCCACCATGTCTGAGGCGTCATGAGTCAGCAAGGAGTGGGTGCCCGGCGGGCAGGCTCCCCGGGGTCGAGTACATCATCAACTCCGCTCCGTAGACACCCACTTATACTGCGCTCGTCATTCATTATTTCTTTCCTGTTTGTTCCTTTTGTAACTTAATTGAGCTCCCCCGGCTTGTCTCGGGTCTTTTGTTTCTCTTCATCGCGATGCTTATTGTCTGTCTTTGAGGAAGAGTCCGATGACGAGACTCCGTGGCATAGATGGATAACCGCGGCTCCTTTTTCTTCTTCCTGCTGGTGTTCTACATTATCCTCAGCTCTCAGTCTCGGCCGCCTTTGATCGATGAAGATCGGGCCCGGCAACGTGAGCTTGATCATGAGCGACAGGTCCTTCGTCTGTTGAATGGTTCGAAATATGGCGACTTCGATCCGCCCGCCAATCGATGGCTTCCTATTTCGGGCTTGAGGGGAAACGACAGCTATGCTTGGGACCTATTACCGCAGGTTAAAGGCCTAGCTCGCCATCAGTTACAATCCGCCGTCTCAAATGCCGGATTAAAACCCCCGGATGGCCTAGAAGACCCCACCCTGTCGCCTACGTTGAACTTGACCAAGCTCATGCTTCCAGTATATCGTAATTCAACCGGAAAGCTCCGGGGAGACTGGGTTCGGAGAACTCAAGGCGTTGAACGCCGTGAACCTCTGAACATCACTGCCATCGCCGAAGAACATGAATATTTTACTCGTGAATTCAGCCATAATATCACTGGCAACGGGGGCACATTTTACTTCGATCTAGAAGAGGGAGGTGGGGAAGAGCTTCAGATGGCCGATGGAGTTTTGCGAGAGATGCGCGCCAGCCTGACGGTCGAAAGTGAGGACTTCTGGGGAAGTACCTGGTACATCTCGTTGTATGGTGTACACTTTCCAGACACCGGAAGCATCATTTTGACTACCTCTAGCGAGAAATTTGGCGGTATCTTCTCTTTGCCGCACTTCATGCTATCTTCTGACACTCACAAACTATCCCACGAGCTTCTTCTCAAGTCGCTGTCGGACACCATCGCAGAGAAGCAAAATCGACCCCCGACACTGTTTCCCTGGTCCTCTCTGGCAGGAACAGAACAGACCGAGTTCCCTGCGCCTAAATGTGAACATATCATCTACTTGCAGCAGCATCCAGTGATGCTCGGAGATGCCGCTGCTGACCGATTGTTATTGGAGCGTATGGAACAAGAGCTCAGGCATCCTATGGGAGCGCCAATCCCCGATCCTCCTCTTATGGTCATGTCTGCCGTTGTCTTCTCCCCAGACTGCGGGTACATACTCCAAACGAAAGGGACCCCTGAGTTCCCTCCTTCTGAATCGCTATATGTGACTGGGCCCAAGCATGAAGAGTACAGTAAATACGCAGCTCGTCTCATTTTCGTGGTTTCTGGTGTTTTTGTTGCCCAGATCACTCTACTTCTCCGACAGATCAAAGAGGCTTCGACTCCTTCTACCCGGAGTCGGATCAGCTTCTATACCATCGCATTGATGGCGCTCGGCGATGCATTTGTTTTAACATTTATTGTTTTGGAACTATTCGAGGCAGTGTCTTTCTTGGTTCTGGCTACTGCATCTTTTTTGGCGTTCCTGTCGGTGAGCTATATTGGAATGAAGTTCATGATGGAAATATGGGCAGTGCAAGAGCCAGAAAGAAGAGAGCAGGATCGTCCGCCCAATCCTTCAACTTCAACTACTCGCCCTGAGAGTTTGCCTTTGCCTGCTACTGCTCCGGCAGTGCAAGACTCGGGGGCCACCCCGGTCATCTTGTCGCCCGACCAAGATGCCCCTGATGATGAGATGGATTCCCCGCCGCCACCCACCCGAACCACTCCCCCAACTCCAAGGCAAATTCGCAGCGACGTAGGAACAATGTACGCACGGTTCTACCTTGCGCTGTTTGGTATGCTCATCCTGTCAATCTGGGCTTTTCTCCTGCCGAGACGCCTCGGCTCGATCTACACCAGATTTCTGGCAGGAGTTTACCTCTCCTTCTGGGTTCCACAGATCTACCGAAACGTGATGCGAAATTGCCGCAAGGCCCTTCGATGGGACTTTGTTGCAGGCCAGAGTGTTCTTCGGCTTTTCCCTTTCCTGTACTTTCTCACGGCGCGGGGAAACGTGTTGTTCATCCGTCCCGACTACACAAGCGCGTTCATCATGACTGGATGGGTATGGATCCAAGCTTGGATCCTAGTCAGCCAGGACGTTCTCGGGCCACGCTTCTTTGTACCTCGTGGCTGGGCGCCGCATGCATATGATTACCACCCTATGCTGCGCGATGTATCCGGAGCGGACGAGGATCTTGAAGCTGGTGGTGGCGTTCTGTCGATTGCATCCTTGCGGGGCGATGAATTAGATCTAGTCAGTGACTCCAGGGATGACGATAAGCAGCAGAAAGATCGCAAGAAAGCGGTGTTCGACTGTGCTATTTGCATGCAGGATATCGAGGTGCCTGTTCTCCCCGCACTTTCTGCCTCAGGTGGAAGCAGCGTCGCCGATGGAGCTTCAAGCATATTAAGTCGCCGGCTGTACATGGTCACTCCTTGTCGTCATATCTTTCACACTGCCTGTTTGGAAAGCTGGATGAGACTTCGCCTACAGTGTCCGATCTGCCGTGATACCATACCTCCTGTATAACTTCTGTTGTAATGCTCCTCATACATGACTTCATCCTCCTGTACACAGACATTCTGCATTACACTGTTGAGACTTGCATGATCCAGCTCTGTATACCTCGAACTGGATATATGGACCACGGTTTCTCTACAAGGAGATAAAAACACAAGCCATTCACATATACGGAAATCTTGTTGAACAGTATATTGATCCCTTTACAGATCGACAAATCTAAACGCTCTGATTGAAGGAAATCGGTCACCATTGGGCATACATGATAATGACATCATACTTGAAGAAAAAAAGAGAAATTCACCATATCCAGCATAGGCTGGAATTTATAAACCACGAATCACGATCAATCTTTACACTCCACAAAGCTAAGCATCAATGGTCTCTTTGTAAGCAGCCTCATCAAGCAAGGCATCGAGATCAGCAACATCAGCGACCTCAATCTCAGCGATCCAGCCCTCACCCTCGGGGCTCTCGTTGATTGTCTTGGCCTTGTCCTCGAGAATGGTGTTACCCTGGATGACCTTTCCGGCGACAGGGGAAAGGACATCGGAGGCAGACTTGACAGACTCGACAGCGCCGACGGGCTCGCCGGCGACAATCTCGAGGTCTACCTCAGGAAGTTCGACGTAGACGACATCACCCAACGAGTGAGCAGCATATTCGGTGATACCAATCTTGGCTGTAAAGAGTGTTTGTTAGTTATCTCGCTATTCCAGATTCTGTGAAATATGGATGGCCATATACACCCGGCATGTCGGTTCAATTGGTCAAAGGCAGGTGTATGAGACCAATTGATCAGGATGGTGGTGTACTAACCAGTCTTGCCGCCGTCGGCCAGCTCAATCCATTCGTGTGACTCTGTGTACTTCTTCAACTGGGCTATAATTGCGAATTGATGCGTCGTCAGTAAAGTGTGACATCATAGAGCTTCAGGAACCATGTTTGACGGATTGTGATGCTTAGCACCGGTCCAAGGGTATTTCGAATCATCCTGGGCAGCATTTGACAGTACTGGAGGGTTCATGGTACTCACAGAGAGGGCTCTGGGTGAAGCTTCTTGTTCCCCGCGGGAAACGGAAAGCAGGCGAAACCTGGCAGGCGGAGGCAAGAGGCTTCTGGGTAAGAACCCTGGAAGCAAAGGGGCGGATGGCACGGGCAAAGGAGGACATTTTGAGGTATAAAGGCAAGGAATTGGAAGCGTGGAAGGTGGAATGGGAAGAGGGGAGAGTTTAAGTAGAAGGGAAAGAAGGTGATGCCCTTCTCCGGCGGAGTTTCCCCGATAAGAAAATGCCAAGACCTCTGATAAGCAACGCGCTAACCTCGTCGGATTTTGCTGGCTTTAGATGGTCATCGCTTCATTACAGTATCTAGTACGCGCCACCCCTCGATGCCATGTTGTACGAACTGATTGCCATTGTATGTGCTTGAGTCGATTGAAACTATCACATTGACTGAAGGATATGTCTGGATTCGCTAACCGCTCTGCCAACAGGTCCGCCCGGGCAGCCTTAACGAAGTGCGAGAGTACGTCCAAATCAATACTTTCGCCCGCGGTCCCCATCATCCGAGTCTGTCAAATACTGATAAAGTTTCTTTGCTGCAGAATTGCCCGTAACGCCGGTACCCAAGTCATCCGCTCTGGCGGCGTCGTTCGCGGCTACACCAACTGGGGCGCCTTCCGCCTGCCCAGGGTCACCACGAAGCATCAGGCCCGATACACTGAAGGTCACCACTTCATCATGCGCTTCGACTCCTCCGGCTCTGTTCAGTCATCTATTCGCCGTACTCTCGGTCTAGACCCGCGCATGATCAACTTCTCCGTGGTCAAGCTCGGCGACAAACTTGAGGAGATCAAGGATATCAATGGCAAGGTCGAGTGGAACAACGTTTCCACCATCACTGACCAGATCTAATCGATGCAACTTTTTTGACGACACTCTGATTGATTGTTGAGATCAGATTTAGAAGCGTGGATTTGGATTTCAGCACTTTTCTTTTTGTTCTTTGTATTATTATGGCACAGGCATTGGAAACTGCCACTTGAGCCTATCAGCACAATCGGCGCATATTGTACAAAATACCAGTTTGATCTACAAGTCTATTTTGTGGCCGTTACCACAATTCGCTTTCCCTCCATTCCCCGGTCCTCCATAAAAGATGGCAAGGGACAGCATGGCAAGCAAACCATATAGCCGATGGAAACACTCGGTGTACCTTTCCACATTTCAATTTCCAGGGATTGACATTGGACACTCTTTGAGCGCCGTCATTGTTTGATTTGTGTAGACCCGAAGAGCGAAATGCTCCAGCCGAAATGCATTTCACATCCGATCAAGTCCCAAAGCAAAATTAGGATTAAGCATCTTATTCATACATATATAGACAACCGACTCATACCAAACTTATACAAATACTTTGTTCCAAACTTCTACATTTGAAACATTCCCCTATATCGTACCGTGACTCAGATTGACAAGCCGAGGCATCGGCTAGCCCCATCTCTTAGTCCGGGGTACCAATCCCATACATCCCATTATCAACCCCATCAGTCCTACTCTCCATGATACCACCCTACAGGTTCTCTTCATATAAAAGCACTCCGTACAAAATCTGGCTTATTAGCCCCACCTACCACAATCGCGGGGAGGATTCTCATCGGATCCAGGGGCCGATATTGTTGATCGGACAACCATCGGCCTGCGAAGCAATTCACCTTTCGAGACAAGTAACTACTTCGCGCAGCTTGTAACCTTTGGGAGAAGAAAAAGCCAAGATCAGAGCGCCTGTCACCTCTTTTGCGCAATGTCTCCGCAACGCGGGGCCCCGGACAATGACGGCGAACTCATGTCCCCGCATTCTTTCGTTGAGTTGATGGCGCTACAGCGACTCGAAGATACCTCGATTTCGCATCCCGACACCACCGAGCCAGAAAAGATTGAGCGGTTCCGTTCGCTAGCAACACCTTACAATCCTGGACAGGGAACGCGTTCGTTTGGCGGACATGTCTACGCCCAATCAGCCTATGCCGCGTCCAAGACCGTCGGTCAGGGTTTTGTGATTCACGTAAGATTTTATACATTTATTGTTCCTAAAGAGGCTTAGACTAAAATACCGGCAGGATATGACGGGCACATTTATTCTAGGGGGGCGGCTGGACACGCCATATGTGTACACGGTGCGACATATCCGCGATGGATTCATGTACAGCACACGAGCCGTCGACGCACGTCAAGCAGGCAGAATCTGCTTCTCGTGCATATGCTCCTTCAAGCGTGATGAGAAGGAACGTGCCTTCGAGCATCAGCCAACATCAGCACAAATGCGTTTCGACTCAATCCTCTCGGCAAAACTGCCAGAAGACCAGTCTCCTAGCCCCAGTGTGGACGCAGACTGGTGGATTGATGCTGTGCAGCAGGGAAACATCTCCGAGCACGAGTTTCCTGGTCTAGACGTGCGCAAGACCGACATGAAGGATTATAACCTCACTGAGGATATCAAGCAACATCCCGAGCGGTATCGCCAGTTAACGCAGTACCGGCTTAAAGGATCACCGGACGAGGACCCCGCTGCGACTTTGTCGCAGATCCGGGAGAGGGAAGAGAACGGAGAATATGATAATCTGTATGCGTGTGCGCATATGTATTCCAGCGATAAGAATTCCCTTCTTCTGATCCCGCGCGCGCTGGGGATCAAGCATTGGGCTGAAATGGCGAGTCTTACCCTTACGGTTATTGTGCATCAGCATGGCGAGGCTCTGCGAATGGTGGATTGGGGGAGTGTTGGCGATGGCGATGTTGGCGAAATGAGTGAGTTGCCTATGAAGTGGTTTGTGCAGGAGGGGTGGACACCTCGGGCTGCGGAGAACCGGGCTACGCATGAGAGTCATCTTTGGAGTCCTGATGGGACGTTGGTGGCGACTTCATTGCAGGATAGTATGTTGCGCTTGAGGAAGTTGAAGGTTGCAAATTTGTGATTTATAAAGGCTCCTCATATGTATATACATGAAGCTTATAGACTAAGACAGTCGTACAGGTGGGGCTATGATGACAATCTTATTTGGCAGGAATCGCTCTTGCGATGCTTATACCCTTTTCTTGCTCATGATCGGAAACTGACATCGCAGTGGTGACAATATAGTTCTAACATTTGTGAAGCCTATTGACCATTGAATCGTATCAAGACACATTTAGTCTACCGCAAAAGACAAATGTCGGTCCAAAATATGTCATGTAATTCTCACAAGAAGGGTATTATAATATAGTATACGCTAGAACAAAGAAAAAGAAAATCAAATATCCTCCCCAGATATATTAGCGTGCTTGAAGTACTTCATACCGACCCATGCGACAACAACCCAAACCCAAGACATGACAGCCGTGAGAATGATAAGTGCAGGATAATAGCCGACAATCGGTAACGTGGGATCATCTTCCAACTCAGGCGGCGCATAGGGCGTCTCCCCGACATCCCAAGCCCAGCTCCAAACCTCAAAGCAGCTTCCAATGCCCACAACGAACACCAACCACGTCACAATCAGTATAATCCAGCCCCACCACTCAGTCTCGGAGTAGTCCACGTCCACATCGGGACTGCTTTTCATCTCAACCGGGTGTGTGACCAGGGGCGAGGACTTGTGTCGATGGACGGGCAGGTAGGCCGGTTCGGGCTGGGGTTGAAGCGAGTAGAAAGATCCTGAGCTGGAGGATGGCGGGGAAATGTGTAGCCCAGTTGCAGAGCCGATCTTGGGGCTGGTGTCCGTGCCGGCCGCCGTGGGATTTGAATTCGAGTGGAGGCGAGGGAAGGAGATGAGGTCCTCCTCATCAGTGGCTGGCTCTGGGAGATTGTGTTGTACAAGGCCCTGGCGTCGGCGACTTATTGAGGGTCGGATGGGTTTCTGGGTATTTGCAGCTTGGAACCAGGTCGGCTGTTGGGGATCGTCGCGGTCGTTGTCGAAGACCTCGCTCTCGCGCGGCGAGTATCGTGTAGGTCCATTATTGGCGAGGATCTGATCTGTTTGTTCTACAGCCGCTTGTATGTCGGTGGCGGGGAGTCGGCTAGGTTCTGCGCGGAGGGCTTCAAGGGCCTCTGCGGCTTTAGCGGTAGCTCTTTTGTCGCGTGATTCGAGCCTGGTGCCTAGCAATGCGGTTTTGCGGAGGGAGCCACGGCGGCGACGCGTTCGATGTTGTGCGAGGGCAGCAGACATTGCCCGGCTGCTGGTTGTTCCTCCTTTGCTTGTGCTCTGCCGCATAACGGAGTGGAGGTCTTCGTCGCCATCGTGGTCCATGCCTGGGTGGTGTCGGTTTAGGGAGGTGTGTGCTGCCTGGTTCATGCGCAAGAAGGAAAGTCTCGAGAGGAGGGAACCCGAAATGCTTCGTTTGTGGCTACTTGCGCTGTCCGATCGCGTGCGAGGAGATGGTTCGTGGACCGCCAAGTCCACGGTTCTCTTGTCATCGTCCATTGCGAGTGGAACCGGGAGCTGGGACGTCAGCTCGGTCAATTGTCTTTCATTGGTGAAACTTGAGAAATGTCTATTTTGTGAATTTAAAATTCTGGTTCACATTGCAAAGAGATGTGTGACCTGCATAGGAAATTAGTTAACTAGTTATTGGAAGGAGTGGCGTTGTGGCCTGCAATATCGGGCAGCGATGAAATTGCCCATAACTATGTATTTAGTCATGTATCAATATCATTTGATTTGGGCAGCAATGACATAACACCCTGAAATAGCCTTGAGTTATGTCTTCGATGGTCTCTAAGGAATGATGCAATAATAACATCTCAACCTCCTTGACGCCAAACTTCCTTTTAGGATGTACTTGCCCGCGATCCAGGAGTGAAAAGTACGACCTTGGTCCGTACCTTCAGCTTTCTCACTTATTGAATTTGCCGCCGTTAGCTAATGTTGCAAAAGTCTGGAAATCAGAAGAATTGAATATGTCCCCCAGGCGATAAGTATGGGCTGAATCAATATTATCAAAAAAGCCCCCCGGGAAATGGCAAGACTGGCCATAGAAAGGTCCTTTGATATGGAACAGTCGCTCAACCTCCGGGTCTTTGACCTCCAAGCTTGGTAAGACCCTGTAGCAAACCTGATACCATAGCTTAATGCAAATGTCGTGCAAAGTAATGAGACGTCTAGCATGCTTAGAATGGGGTCCGGCCACACATGAGAATAAGAAACATACGTAAGTGCAAGGACAATTTGGAATGCTCTCTCTTCCTTGGCGAGAGTATATGCCCTGTTACCTGGTAGTGTTTGAGGCTAGACAGGATATGCATGGCGGTAGTAATTTTCATGGACTGCCCATAGTTTTTATACTTCGCGATGAGACAACCCAATCGGAACGGGCCAGTCTAGTTGAAGGTCTTTTCTCTTTGCAGTAAATCTCACACCCTAGCTTTTATCGAGTTGTTAGGGTAAAGGTAGAAGAACGAAGAGAAAGTTAGTCTAAGATTCTTGTATAAAGCATACAACTCGTGGCTCCTCTTATCAATACCTTGACCAGGAAACCAGCATTCTCTGTCCATAAAGGCAGATTCGATCAGAATCACAAACCACCGAGGCATAGAGAATCAATCATCTAATTCAGTTGGCTTGAGTCTTTACCAGCGAGTTCGTCTTCTATGGTGTCTTTTATCCACTCCCTGTTGTAACCAGAAGGGTAAACGGCAAATACCACAGAGGGGCCTTTTATGAGTATGTACCAGTCCATGTATGGTTGTGGAGTCTGTAAAACACTTAAACCCTGGTTTTTAGCCTAGGTGTAGAGAAATATAGAAATAGAACAGATGGACCATGTGCATCGTCCACCAAAAACATGCTGTGCATCTCATCATTGTCTTACTGCATACCTAGGCAGCAGAGAAAGGGCTGGAGTTTACCAATCAACCGACGCTACAATGAATGATAACTACCAAGAAATTGGGTTAATGCCCCACAGTCCATAACACAGCATGTTTAGTTTCGCCTGCGAGCCTATGGGCAGAGGAGATCATGCAGCCCGCCGTCTGCTCTGAGCATCATACATGATATTTATATAAATAAACAAAGAACATGCCACCCGCAATGAGTTTAAAGGGAAAGGCAGAATGCGGGTAAAAAAAAAAAAAAAAGGCAAATTGGTATATGGGCTAGAACGCCGGCAAGGCAGAGAGATACTTAAAAAAAATCAATGATGTTCGAGTCCTCCAAAGAAATTCATCACAGCATATACGGATACTCGTGGGGGAGTGCCCAGACCAATGTGTCAACCGAGAAATCCATGGCCCATAACAAGCATCTTTTGAGTGGAAATGAGTATCAAACAAAGCCTAAGAAAAGACAGGAAAGCAAATTTGATACAACACATACTCGAATGATAAAACAGCTAGAGAAATGAAATGAAACAAGATGGCAACAGTCCAAATACGCGGGTGAAGATTAGGGAGGTCGCTTTTATTTGGGGGAGTGACAGAGCCAAAAGTCCATGGGACCTTTGATCCAAGGCACAGTAAATGAAGAGAGGGAAGAGAAAAGTAACAAGCCAAAGAAAAAAAAAACCGAATCAACGTGGACTTGGGGTATGGGTGCGCAACACACAAATTCCGCTTCAGACAAAAGCAACTTGCTCGCTTGAAAATCCACTCAATTTAAGTAAAAGAAAGAAAATATCATGGGTGAGGGGGAATTGATGAAGGGTGCTATGGAAAGAAACACAGAAGGAATGTTAAATAAACCTCGTTCTGTGAGCAAATGCGCGAAGTGTCGTATGTGAGCAGTCCGACTGGAGGCTGTCACAAACCGAGCTACGCCTGGTAGCCTCCGTTGAAGTTGTTGGACTGGTCCCAGTTGCCGGACGGGGACATGGGCTGACCACGGCCGTAGCCACCGGCATTACCTGCCTGGGCATAGCCCTGACCAGCCATAGTAGGCCCATTGAAGTTGTTGGATTGTTGATCCCAGCCTCGACCAGCAGGGGCAGGACCTATTCCACTAGTAAGCAAGTGTCGAGAGATAGTATGAACACTCGACTCACCTTGGTTCATGGGGTTTGCGGGACCACCGTATTGGGGGAAGAAACCGACAGGGCTGTTGTTGAAGGGGGCCGCGTTACCCTGCTGGGGAGAGAAGTTGTCGAATTGGCCAGTAGGAGGGCGATCCTTGCCCCACTGCGGTGGTCAGTAAATATAAGCCCGGAATCACGGAATGAGCAATAACTTACACTGCATTTCAAAGGACGGCCGTTCACGTTATAGCCGTTCAGTTGACAGATCGCAGAGGCCGCATTTTCATGCGAATCCATCTTCACGAATGCAAAGCCACGATCGGCTTGGAGGCGAGTTTCAAGGACATAGCCGAAATTCTGGAATAGGGGGACCAAGTCGTTTTGGGTGGTATACGGGGTTAGGTTGCCCACGTAGCAAGTAGTCTGCCACTGGGGAGTCTGCTGAGCAACCATATCGTAGCTCTGAATGCCGTGGGTTGGGAAGTGGTGGTGTCCAAAAGGAGTGGTAGGTGTCATACCCATCGCAACCAGGGCCTGCTGCTGGGAGATCGAGGGCTGACCCTTCTGGTTGGCCCAGTTGCAGCGGATAGCACGAGAACCGAGCCATTCACCATCCATCGAGTTGAGGGCCTTGTCTGCCTCTGTACGATCGCGGAAAGCAACGAAGCCGTATCCACGGGAGCGACCAGTCTTCATGTCCCACATCACACGTGCCTCAGATACTGAACCGAAAGCAGAGAATGCCTGAGTCAGCACTTCGTCGTTTACTTCATTGCTCAAGTCGCCGACAAAGATATGGAAGTGGTTAGAAGTATCCTCCTTGCTGGTGCTGTTGGACTGGTACGCCCAGTTGACACGGATTTCCTGCGGCAATTAGACACGGCCACGAAGTACCACGAACAAGAGGAAACCTACCGATTGGTGGATTCGGCGACCATTCAGAGTTTGCATAGCCCTCTCGGCCGCACCTGGATCGTCAAACTCGACGAAACCATAGTTGTGGCCCTTGGTGGTGAATTGCCCCTGAAGTTGATAAAATAGTTAGCTACCGATACTTTCTCAAGGCCAAGAGAGGAGGCAGTGAAATCACAGATCACAGCTCCAGAGATCATTACTGTGACTCAGGGGAGCCGATATGCAGGGGGTCGACTGTCAGGAGAACTCACATTCTTGTCGGGAATGATCTTCACGCTGACCACGTGGCCCGTGGTCTCAAATATCTGCTTGAGGATGTCCTCAGTGACCCTCGGATCTAGCCCACCCACATACAGTGCTCTCTTGTTTGGTTCAGGGGCCGCTCGGCGAACATATCCGCCAGCACTGGTTGGGGACATCATAGCACCTCCGGACATAGGAGAGGTCATGGCGGTGGGAATCGGATTGGTATTCTGGGGAATGATCACAGGAGGGCGCGGGGGCGGGGGCATGTGGGACTGGTTGCCCTGGCCGTTGCCCTGAGGAGCATCATACTGTTGATTTTGACCGACGGCGGGTTGGGGCGCAGCCGGAAGAGAAGATGGAGCCGGAGCTTGAGCGCTTTCAGCCATTATGATTGCTTTTTGAAAGGATACGAATATATTCCAAAGGCGATCAGAGGAAGTGAGTGATGCGGAAGTCGGAGTTAAATGTCAGACTGGGAAGATCTCGGGTTAGGTGATCTGTCAAATTCGGAATTTGAGACAATGCAGAGCGTCGCTGAAAGCCACAATCGCGAATAAGACTGGGACAGTATATGTAGTATAGGAGGTCGGGACCAGGGTGGAAGAAATCCAATAAGAAAGACCCTAAGACGGGGAAACAAAGAGCACCGGGTATAAACAGTGCTAGCAAAAGAGACACCGAAATGGAACCTAGTTGGCTTGGGGATTTTTTTTCTTCTTTTTCGATCAAGCTCCGGTAGGATAACTAGGAAGGTATTTCTGTGGCCTGATAAAGCTGCGGTCGGGGATTGTTTGAAACGATACAAAGCGGCGTTGGGGGAGGTAGAAAGCCCAACAAAAAGAGGAGAAAGCTCAAAGAAAACTCAAGCATGCAAGTCCCTTGAGGAAAAGGGAAATTCAAACAGGAAAGAAAAGAGAACAGGAAAAGGGTAAAGGAAAAAAAAAAAGAAAGATGAGGATAGAAAGAAAAAAGAAGTGAACAGCAAAAGTAAAGGGAGGGAAGTTAACCGCTAGGGGTGGGGGGAGACACTTTACCCCAAAGGGTTTAGCCACACTTTTTTGGTACATCTCAAATTCTTTACCTTCTCATTCTTCTACTTTCTTTCTATTCGTATATCTTCAATCTCCATCTTCATCTTCATCTGTATCTGTATTTTCATCTTCATCTTCCAAATGGCCTATTCAAGTTATTCAAATCCAGACTCACTCACAGAGCTTTCGAGCATAATAGAGCGGACTGTAAGCGCTGGCTCTGGAACATCGCTCTTGGCACCTCTAACAGCTTCTTAGCTGATTGATACTGGTCGTTTGTTCCGCAAATCTGGCTCTATGCCATCGAGAACCCACCTGCAACGATCCATCCCCTTGTATCATGATAGTTTCCAAAATGCACTGGATAACCTATCAGAGCAAATTGTGAGTACAAATCTCAAATACATGAATATTTGCTTTTTTTCACAATTCTTTTGTTTTTCCCTCCATTTTCTTCTTTTCTGACATTTGGCAGTTCATTGCGAAAGCCTTTTTGGAAAAGGATTATGAGGCTCTCAAGGCCACTAGCGCCGCTCCCCAACACATTGAAGATATGGCGATGAGCGATGTGAAACATGATGAACCTGACAGCCAACCTCCCCTGACTGAGAAAGTCGAAATGGACACAGATGTTGAACCTACTATGCCTAAATTAGAAGCGGCTATTTCTAGCCAATCAGCTCCGGCAGAGATCAAACCCGACACCCAATCGGGCGATGATGTAGTTGTCAAAAAAGAGGGTGACAACAATGCTGCCGCCGATCAATCATTCCCTGGACCTAATGAAGATATTACCTTTGAGTCAGCCCTCAACGACAATGGGGGCACAAACGATTTTGGTCTTAGCTTAGACTTCAATGATGATGACATGGGAAATCAAGCTTTTCTATCCGGCTCAAATTTTACAGCCCCTGGGGCTACTGGCGCGGACAAGCTAAGCACAACCCAACCTGGGAATACTGCAGATGTCCCTGCTAGTGGTGGGGCATTTGACATGGAGTTACAAAAGACCGAGGGGGACGGCAATTTCTTACAGGGCAACTCTGGGGAGGATTTCATGGGGCCCGCTGAATCGAATTTCGACGATTTGTTCATGGACACTGATAATTTCGGGGAGAATGGTGGGGACTTCAATCAGCTGGAGGGGGACAGTCTGATGAATGTCAATGAGCTGGATGATAATTGGTTCAACTGAAAATATTTGAAAAGGGGGGGCAGTAGTGGAATCTCTACAATCTCCAGATAAGTTTAGATAAGAGCAATAGCCAGAGGGGGAGGATGGGAGGGGATTGGGGAAATTGAAGGAACAAGTATCCTGTGATCTGCATGCACTCGCATCTAGCACTAGTGATACTACTCCGTACACATAGATCTAATGGCAGATTCCGTGATTCTGTGGCTGGAAGCATAGATTATTGTGAACTGTATGAATCTTTCGTTACTTCGTTACTCAGGTTGTCTGCATTTAGGTAGATCCTGTGGAACCTCAATGATACATACATCGTTTACTGGCCACTAGGTTTAAATCTGCCAATATGGTTCAAATAGAGAACCAATATCTTCGGCATTTGAGAAACGGTATAAGTTCTGACATCCCAAGTACGGATTGCTTTCCCCGACAACAATGAGACCATAATTCCCTCCTAGACAGCTACCGAAAGCATGAACCCAGTGGTGATACAGAGCCCATTGTACAGGGCCCTAGCGTCAAAGAATGTAAATCGAACCACGTTTTTCTGTACCTGGAAAGATCTTCTTTCTAGTATATAAGGAGCTAGGATGGTCTTTTTTTTCTAAGTGGTGACGTAGGTTAAGATGTGGAGAAGAAAATCACATTCACCAGGATGATCACCCCAGAGATGATCACCCCATAGAACACGGGAACAGAATTTCCCGAATAGATCTACTCTATATATATACATCTGTCTATATACTCCGAGTACGTACTAAGAGGGTCTAGGCAAAATGTGGCTGATGATGTCATGTATGAAACGGGTAATGTCGTCACGTTAGCATTTACTCCGTATGTATAGTGCCTTTGCACGATGGTGACGAACTAGAACTGAATCTTTATCGGGGTCTATCTTCCGACCATTCACAAGCATAGCCGTGTCGTTGAACACCCCTACAATGGGCTATAGCCCTGTAATAGAGATATAAGAGCTTTAGTCACCCGGTTTCACATTCCATCAATCTCAAGATCATGTGAAGGATTCCCCCACATGTAAGCCCAAACTTCCAGATTGGGAAGGCCAAGATACCCGCTAACACGTTCATACCGTGAAGTGAAGTATAGGCCGTGTGATCCGAGTATTAACTCTAGATAACTCTAGACCCTAACATGTTTCTCCACAAGAAAAATGCCGAACCAAACCCGTCTCTCTTTTCATTCAAGGCGTATGGCTCGGATCGCCGGATATGAGCCCCAGCCTTGGCTCTCGTTTTTTTCCCCCCGGCTTTCTCAATGGTGTTGTCATCGAGTTCGGATTATCGTTGCCGACTATTTTTTTCTTTCCTTTGGCTTTTTATGTTCTTTTTTTTTCCGTGGATCGGGATTGCTTTTTAGTTTCAAGGCCTTTTCTTATACTTTATATATCTTCTACGCCACATTACACCTTGTCAGAGATCATCAAACAGAGATCAAGGAAAAAGAACGGAAAAGGAACCACTCTTACATTGCTTGGCAGCCAATCCTACACGTCGAAATAGGGATCTGCATAATGATCGGAGTGGACTTATGAACGTCAGCACCCCCGAGAATTCCACCCTCCTACAGTCTCCTTGCGTAAAGGGATTCAAGGGAGAAAACCCCATCGCACAAGATTAAAGATCGAAGGTATGTTGAGTCTGTCCTACACATTCCCTGCACTTTGTATTACCTTCTTCGGGCCCACTTTGAGCCCTTGTCTTTCCACGATTGCCCAATTTGGCGCATTATTCGAGGGATATATACAACACAATACCTTTTTCGGGGGAGAACCTTCGGGATGCTCAACAGACTTCACAATGATGGGTGCTAATATCATCCCTCTGCCAGCGCAGTTGTCTTCGCGGTCGGCCTTCAGCAACCCCACCCCGCACTCGGAGTTCACAGGACCTCCGTCATTGGAAGTCTCAATCTCCAATCTCATCACACGGTCGGCTCGTAACGGGTGTATCGAATCCCAAAGGCAACTCTCTAGGAGTTATCGGGACTCAATCTTCAAAAAGCTGGCGGGCTCACGTGAAAACGCGAAGCGATTCCTTCGCTTGCGCTCATCTGGAATTCAGACACCTTCGCAACGTTCTAGTGTACCAATCTCGAAAATTATATTGTCGCCGACATCGGTCGATTTGGAGGACGAGATGCGATCAGATTCATCATCTACCGAGGTACTACCTCGCCCAGTAGCTGAACACACTTTGACTACCGATACTACCACACCATTCACTCCCTTGCGAAATGAGAAAATCGTGGCCACTGGGAGTGGCATTTCTGTCGGTATTGCCCTTACCGAGCCTGTTCTTTACTTGCAGGGCTATGATCAGCAAGATCCAAGCAGTAAAAAATCCGCAATTTTGAGGGGGCAAATGCATTTGAAGATCACCAAATGTGTTAAGATCAAGAAGATCTCGATCTGCTTCCGCGGCCATGCTCAGACCGATTGGCCGGATGGTATGAATCTACATAAAAATTAGACTTCAACACGAGCTGACACTGTTCAGGTATCCCCCCTAAGAAAATCCACTTCCATGACAAAAAGGATCTCTTCACGCATGGGGTGGTCTATTTCAACCACGGTGACACTGCGCTGATGCAGAATGACTATGGCGCACATTACTATCAACATGCCAAACCGATATCATCTGCACCAGGAAAGGAGGGAGTGACAATGACAACTCGAGAATTATTTTCCCATCGCAATTCTGCCGCCACACTCGCCCTACCAACCTCTCGAGATGCCAAACGCCTTTCCCTGCAAGCCAACCGTGGCCATTCGCGCAGCTTCAGCAAGAACGAACCTCCGACTTCCCAACCCCAACCCCAGCGAAATTACCGCATGTTCCCTGTAGGAGATTATTTATACAGCTTCGAGTTCCCAATCGATGGATCATTACCAGAGACGATCAAAACAGACCTGGGGTCTGTGAAGTACGACCTGGAAGCAATGGTGGAACGATCAGGCGCTTTCCGACCCAACCTCCTCGGCGCCATGGAAGTCCCCGTGATCCGGACCCCTGCCGAGGGTTCATTGGAGCAAGTCGAGCCGATTGCGATTTCGCGGAACTGGGAAGATCAGCTTCACTATGACATCGTCATCTCGGGGAAGTCCTTCCCGCTGGGCTCGCAGATTCCAATTGCGTTCAAATTGACCCCACTCGCAAAAGTAGAGTGCCACCGAATCAAGGTGTTTGTGACGGAGAATATCCAGCATTGGACGGCAGATAAGAGCGTGCACCGATTGCAACCGGCCAAGAAGGTGCTACTTTTCGAAAAACGAGCAGATTCGTCGAGTGTGAGCACGTATCCTGGCAGCTCCATGCGTGTCACCGCAGGCGGCGGCATCGACTGGGACCAGCGTGCTGCTGCCGCAAGAGGACAGGAGATTGTGGATCGCAATCGGACGAATTTACTAGGTAATCTAGCTAATGATTCTGGTGTCGGACCAACTGAGATGGAATTCAACGTGCAACTGCCAAGTTGTCACGAAATGAAGGGGCGGGATGAGGGTCAGCGGCTACATTTCGATACCACTTACGAGAACATTCAGATCAATCACTGGATCAAAGTATGTCATACATCCCCCCTCTTTTTCTTAGTGTGGTGATGATACTAACCGATCAACGCAGATTGTCCTCCGTCTATCCAAGGTCGACGAAAGAGACCCCACAAAACGAAGACACTTTGAAATCTCCATAGACTCGCCATTCCACATCCTCTCCTGCAAGGCCACCCAGGCCAACATCTATCTACCAGCCTACACAACCCCAGCCGAAGAGCCCGCCCCACCAGCCCAAGAGTTTGAATGCGGATGCCCCGGTGCATCTCTCGCCCCCCGGGAGCAAGTCATCGCTCCGGCGATATCCGATCGTGAAGACGGCAACCCTGCCCTAGCAACCATCGCCCGCCGCAGCTCGACAGGACACAATTTCTCCCGCAGCTTCACAAATGACTCTGGTGGCCTCGCCCGACCACCACAAGCACATCTTGCATCACCACCGAACGACCACAACATACCCATTCCCCCTCGCCCAATGCATCTGCTCCGCGCACCATCCTATGCACCCCCCGCTTTCGACGAGGTCCCTCCGGCGCCGCCGCTTGTCACCCCACCCCCAGAATATAACACCATCGTAGGGGACGACCGAGAAGCTGTTCTTGAAGATTATTTCTCTCGTTTGTCGTTCTACGAAGAAAACGAGGACGATGACCGTGGTCGCGGTCGGGTCGATGTTCCGCTCACACCAGGTGGACGCGTCAACCGCAGCATGGACGTTCCCCGTGAATGGGTGCGACTTGAGGATTATTTCCAGTAATACCGCTTCCTTTTGAGGCATTTCTTTTTCCAAAAAAAAAAACGAGCTGTCACGAGGTCTGAATCATGAATTTACGCTTTTTGTTCATATTGGGATTGGTGTCCGGCACATGTTTTCCAGCGATGCTATCTATCCTTTAGATCTGGGTCTGAACCTGAGTCCGGCCCATCATCATCATCATCTTCTTCTTCTTCTTCTTCTTCTTCTTCTTCTTCTTCTTCTTCTTCTTCTTCTTTTCTTTTTGGGCGGGGCAGGTGGAGGGGGAGGTTATATTTGGGTTGCTTTCTTTCTGTTTAACAGCACTTCATGATTTATGCAGGACCGGTTTTACTTTTTCGGTTGTTAATACCGCTGGGCTTTTTTTCTGATTCGGCAAAAAGGCGATATGTGTCATTTAGTCAGATACCTTACAAGGGATACATGTAGTAGGAACTACAATCAAGCATCAGAACTGCGCTCAAATACCGAACCATCGTAAAAAATCCTCGGGGCTCAAACCCTCAGGCACAAAGGTCGATAAGAACTGATGTGTCAGCGATAAGGCTGCGGGCAATCTTGGAACGCATGGAACTGCCATCCCCGGTTTAGCTCTCCCCACATTTGTCTGCTTCTCCAACTGTCACGGCTTTTTCTTCTTTCATTCTGTCTTCTGTTCAAACTACTTGTGCCTTGCTGGAATCGCTGAGAAACACTACAGAGCTAGGTTCTACAGGGCGTCGTAGCGCACTTCAAAACCTTTGAGACGGATTGCGCTGATTGGCTCACGCTTAGTGGCATAGGCAAGTTAGCATATGCGATATAGATGAGCTGCAAAAGGCAAAGGACAATTCTGACTAATTTCAGTGCGCAAAAATTGGCTTTGGTTCATCCTCGACAACTGCATTCTTCAATTCTCCGGACGTCTGATCCTTGCATCCGGAGATTTATCCGTCATACAGACTCCTAGCTGTCATCATGGCTGTCGAAGTCGTACCTCTCACTGAGGCAGATATTCCCGGTGCTATTGAAGTAATTCAGCAGGCATTTGCAGATGATCCTTATTTCAAGTGGGTCTTCGATTCATCCAAGGTACGTCGCATGTTGAAAGACAGCTACCAAAAAAAGAAAAAAAATAAACAAGGCACCCATCTACTCCCAATCACCAGACTAACATACATTTCTCTCGTGACGCGGTCGACTTGACCTGCAGTTGCGTCTCCTGAGAGATGAGTATACTTATAGTTCAACAAACAAAGAAACTACGATTCCCTGGCAGCACGCTGCCATTGGGGAATCAAGAATGCACTATTCCACGTCGCCAAAGAAACCCAATACGACGACTCCAAATCCCACAACACCCAAACCCCAACCCCAATCCTCGGTGTCTCCTGCTGGCTAGCACCTCACCCGCCCACGCAACCAGAGAGCTGGTACTCCTGGTTTCAATCTTGGACCCTATCCTTCAGCCAGATGCTCAACAACATCTGGTACTTTGGCCGCGGCGGGCTGCGCACGAACAGGTACTGGATCTGGAAACAGCGCCAGGCTGAGGCACAGGCTGCTATTTGGGATGATCCGCGCGGGTACTACTTCTGTAACATCGTTGCCGTTAGCCCCGAGGCGCAGGGGATGGGTGTTGGGAAATTGTTGTTTGAGGCTGTTACGAAAATAGCTGATGCCGAGGGAGTCAAGTGTTATCTTGAGAGCTCGAAGAGTGTGCCCAATGTGGCAATTTATGAGCGTATGGGCTTTCACATGAGTAAGGAGATGGAGTGTCGAGATGGGTCGGATGCTTGCATGGTATGTACTTTGTACTTATTTTCTGGTGTTTGGTCCCGGGGGTGGGATTCGTTTGGGTTGCTGCTGACTTTGATTGTTCATAGCTGTACTGCATGGTCCGGGATCCGAGAAAGGAGTGATTTTGCTGCGGTTGCTTTTGCTTTTAAGATTTAGCTCTAATGTTCGGGCCAAATTGTGCGTATTTCATGGACTTTTCCGCAGCGAGATCTGAAAAAGTGTGCACAGATGCCCTTTAATTACATGGTTTCACATATCTAGCAACGAACTACGAGTAATCTTCCCTAGTAATCTTAGATACGGCCCAGTTGTAAATCAGCCGCAAGGATCCGATTTACCCATTTACTAATCTGCAAACAGGGAAAGATACCTCAAATTTGATCACGTCAAATTTGATATGATGTTGCGACAATGAAGTATCATACGGAATAACGATCTATGAGCTTACCATCCACACTAGTCCATCCGTTTACAACGCTCCAACCCAGGAAATGATCCATCAACCCTTCGATCGGATCTCTCCCCACGTTAGGATGCTTGCATGTTGATCTGTTTATCTTGCTGCACCCATACAAGAGGGGCAATAGTCTCTGAATCCACATTTTAAGCTTACCCAGTCATGTTCAAGCGAATATGCCGGGGGTTCTAACGGCCTGGTTTTCCGGGAAATATCCGATCATCCTAGCTTCTGGATGATGTTTCAGATCCAGTTTAGTTGAACATTGCACTGACTGGTCGGATGTCTGCTCGTTGGAAATCCCTCGTTGTATCAAGGCTCATGTGTTGATCGAGCATATATATATATCTGAGGTATGGAAGAAACCCGTAGGTATCAGCAACATGAGAACTCCAGCCAAAGATTTTGAAAACGACGCTTTTGGATAACTCGGAGAAAGTATTTCTGAGCTTGTGCGTACTGCCCCTAGGCCATACTTGGACAATGTAAACGCTGACTTTCCTTCTTAAAGTATACATTATTTCAATCACCATGTTTTTTCTTCTGCTACGAAAGCTATGGATCCGACGAAGAAGATCAGACACATATCAATCGTCCACCTCCTTAACTACGTCGAAAGAGCTTGAATCCCAAGAGATGAAATCATATCTTTCTGAAACAGTGACCACCACACCACAACACGACGAAACAGACCAAATCGTCAATCAATTAGCTGCCCTTGCAGCTACCATGAGCAATACATCATACAACAGCACCTTATCATCGACTGCTGCACCCATATTGGAACCTCAACCAGCAGCGCTGGGATCTAAGCCAGAGCAGTTGGAGCAACCAGAGCAACCAGAAGAAGAAGAAGAAGAAGAAGAAGAAGAAGAAGAAGAAGAAGAAGAAGAAGAAGAATCTTTCTACCATCTTTGTAGTTTGATAACAGTCTCTTGCTTGCCGCAGCATATGTCAGGCCACACATCAACACCTTCGGCCTCAACACTAGACTCCAAGTCAGGTAAACGCAAAAGTCAAATCTTTGACCGGAAGAGAGCGTCGTCGATTCTGAGTTTACATCTTGGTGATCTACCGAGCCTGCCATTTCCTTCAAAAGGGAAAGTCTCATGTAGACCTCGCCCGAGGTATAGTCCTCTTCCTCCACCATTCGTGCAGAAAAGGACTGCTATCCGGCCCGAGGTGCGTTTTTAGCCGCTCGGGGCTAGGCGGAGGGTAGACTGTTTGGATTTTATATAGCAAGTTGTGCTTTGTTCTATTTTTGCTTTTGTCCTATGATATCCACGGAGAAATATTGTCTCATGTCTATCAATTGATATTCATGTACTGCTGCTGGCCTGTATTTCTTATTGTTGTTATCCATCTCGGGTTATAGGTGGAAGACTCACCCGTACATATTGTGCTCCTACCGTCTTCGGACCTATATTGTATATTGTGGAGTGGTAAACCCGGCATATCTAATACGTATTATCCCTCCCATTCCTAGCTGCACTTTTATGCCTCATCATTGTTCTTCTGAGTAACACATCTCATAGGGACACTCAAAGACATCCGGGTGATCTCTTGGATACAAGATCCTCAATGTCGTTTAGGCTAAATATATCAATACATAGACTACAACTACGTACGCCAAGACATATCATACCCAATATCTATTTTCACCATGCCCCTCGGTATCGAGAATGACCTATAATGTTGGACTACGTATGTACTTGTTTACGCAACTGCGACGTAGTCCTATCGCCTGACGATTCGTACCTCACCTACACATACCCTCCACAGCACAGCTCCAGTGTCTGTCCCTCTGCCGCTCTACCAAAGAAGAGGTACTATAACGTCCAAGCGCGTGATCTGCAGGGCGGCAGCCGCTAGCCTTGGAAACTTGTTTGCCCACGCTAACACGAAACGCATGTCCACGCGCACCTTAGAGTACCTGCATGAAACAAAAGCCGGACTCCACTCTCGTGGAGTCAACTAGCAAAAATGGAGCAGATCATCGGGTCTCCAAGGCTAATGACTCGGTGTTCATTTCCAAGCAATAAAGTCCAGGCATTTGTCTTAGGTCATGGGATCTGTTATATTGTACTTAACTCGATGGATGAATGTCGATAAAATCCCGTGACTGGTACTGATTGGATTTGTACGGAGTCAGCATAGATAGTTGTATCGATAAATTCGTGGTTGGTTGTCTATGTTGTAGAAGGCTGATCAAATGGGAACCGAGCTGTAGCATGTTTTGAATCCTCTTGGAGATACTACATATCTACTGGACTCAAGCAGGATGTCCGGTTTTTGCCAGACGGCATAGATGCGAACGCCAATTGTGGGGGGAAGGGGCGAGAGTGACCTCGAGATTCACACCGTCCACACATAACACGTACGTAATGTCGTTCGATTTTCCCACGGTATAGTGATCTGCAGACTTCGCATCACCTGTTGGGTTAGTTTATATGATGTACACGGTAGTGTTTAACGTTGTGGGCGGGCTAATCTCCGTGCTGGAGAAGACAATTGATGGTCAGTGATATTCGGACCCAACAGCGGCAAAACCTGAAACCAAACGTTTCAGCTAGCTCAGATTGGTAGAAGTACCGGGACTCGCCCCCACTGCCGATCTATTCCTTTGTTCATTAATATTCTCGATCTTGATGTGATACGTATCTTGAGCACGACCCGCCTAGAAAGGGTGGGTATGTAACCGGTTGTGGCTTCGGGACTCCACCCCCGAATATCGCTTGGTACGCACAAACTGTTGTCAAAGCCGCTGGTGGTATCGGCTTTTACTTTTTTCTTGGCTATATTGTATATGTTGTCGGACTCGATCATATTTCTTACGGTGTACGGAGTACCCGAGTTGATATTCCTAACAAGATCCATAGCGGCAGATATCTCACCCATCGCACAAAACGTGGAGTCGCAGATGAGTGAAAGCGCGTGGTGTGTGGATTAGGACCGGGTGATTGGGCTGCAGATGTTGGTCTTTCGGAATCCAATCACCAAGTATGACCCCCTTGACCCTTCGAGGGCATCCTCTCGTTGATATGGATTTATTTGCCAAGACACTATCCCTACGGAGTATGTATATGCATGGGAACTAGTCTAATTGGAGAGAACAATCCAATCACAGGAGAGAATGCTACAAATAAGGATCAAGAAAAGATTAACAGTCCGCACTGTGGAGATATATTTATGTTTCGCTGCAAGGAAACTATCCAATTAAAACTATTCAGCGATAACGTATGACTTGTAATATCAACGAATCGCATAGTTTCCGGCCCAACTGAGCTTGTCGCCCTAAAATCCGGCAAACCAAGAACAAATGAAGTAAGAACAAGTGTGCGCAACCCGTTCTGATATTCTATTTAAATATTGAGATCCAAGCATGCCGAGTCGACAGGTTTTCCCAGGGCCACTCAAACCAAGGCCATACAGGCCTAGATGCGCAGTTTTCTTTCCTCGAAGGATGAGACCCCTGTCGGTGGTTCAATTGAGCACCAGCCTCGTCCGTGGCTATCCGCGCCGCGGATGTTGGACTTGTAAGCTATAGCAATTATGAGCATGTGAAATAAAGACACGTTCAATAGAAAAGCTTTTGGCATGGCAGTCTAGGTATGAGCGTATACAGGGACCCTGTATAGCATACCTTCACTATATATTTACGGAGCCAAAATACAAATTGTAGACCCGGCACTCGGCAACTAAAACACCCGACAAGAGAAATATATCCGATACAAAACAACCTTGACCTTGTCTGCTATAGATCACGATCCGTGCCACTTACCCGATTCGGCTGTCGGCATGGTTTCCATAATCTTCAGGGGTGGCATAACAAGACTTGGCTTTCGGTAAGTGTACAACGTACGTGGTACTTGTCCCGATCTGTACGAGATTAGTAACTGTCTGTTATTGGGCTCTTCGATACCGCTTCCAATAAGCGCCCGACACGGCACACAAGCTCATTCATAATTTGTGATAATTGCCGGAAGCCAAGCAGACAATTAATGCAGAAACAACGCAGCCTAGCATTATATTAAACACGGTCTCCTCCGTATGGAGGAACGCACAGACTAGGTGCGGAAGGGGGCAAAAAAAGGAAACTCTAATACACAGTCGTTTCATTTCCGGAAAAGCCTCGAACTAGCGTGACTTGGGAGAAATTGGGAAATACGCAGGTGTGAAACGGTTTAGGCACATTTCCAGATTCCCGGGATTTGAATCCAATTGTCCGTACGGAACACTCCGGTACGTAATTACCACGGAGTATTCGATATGTTCTCGATAGGCGACTGGTATCAATCTGATTCAACTACGGACCCGTGGACCGCCGGTCCTTGGAAGGCTAATTCGGGAGGCCATCTATCAGCCGTGGATCCACCACCTCGGGTTCCTCGACAAAGCCCTAAAATTATGTTGTATTTCTCAGGTTAGGTTTTGTATGGCATACGTTCTACGGAGTTATTTTGAACCCTAGATCCCCTGCAACAAGTTATGGTATCGCATGGGGCATGGACTAAAATATAACAAGAAATGGAATGGAGTTACAGGATGGAAGGTGAAATTGACGGCGTTAGATGAAAAAGGAAGCTAACTTGAGAAAGGGATACAAGGAGCCAGTATAGAATCCCTGCAGGAGATACACTGTATTCAATCTCGACTTCTTCAACCGGCGACCCCGGAGTGGAGATTGCGTGTTCTTGGCCTTGTGTCGGGAATTCATAGTCCCATGGATTATGCCCGGTAATATCACTCAACAGATGACGAAAAATGAAATCCAATCTTTCATAGCTTCCGTGCCTCCTATCAGGAAAAAAGCACGGACTCGATCGGGGAGAACGTCCAACCGTTGTAAGCGGTCCAGCCGAAGCTGCACGAGGGAATGTTCCGTAGATAGTCTGCTGCGGGAACTAGGTACATGAGTTCTGCATTCAATGCACGGGACATAGGTACCCCGTCACTTGGTTGTCGTCATAGGTTGCTTTAATTTTTTATTTTGGGGCGGTTTCCTTTCCGCACGGTATTGGGCAAGCCCCCCTTTTCCCCCTGGCCTAGACATGGCGGAATGTGATGGAAGACAGAACAACCACGTCGCGCATGCAGCCCCTGAAGACCTAAATTGAATGAATTGGATTTCATATCGGTAAGATTTTGGGTCCGAACGTTGTTGAAGACCAGTTAGAGCAATCGAAAAAATATAATAATCTCTTGACAAGCATGTGATTTAGGAACGACATTGAAGATCGGGTGTGCTTGTACAATGTATTTCTCTCGTTCCTCTTTCCCTTGGAAGTAAGCAACTCTCAGGTTGTTAAATTGTAGCAAAATGAACTAAAACAAATAGATCCACGACTTTGATGTGAAGTATAGGACGAAATTTCTAAATCGGGGAGTCCAAGCCCCAGAACCAGAACGGTTCACTCGTCTAAATCTCATATATGAACCCACCAGACACCCAAACAAGCTACCAGACGCTAGAAAAGAACAGCATGGTAAAAAGAATACAATGAGACCGGAAAACGTCAACGCTTGCAAAGCCAATAAACATCAGGATATAGCCAATCATTCGAAGTATCGGAAAGGAGAAAACGTAGTCGACCGCGAAGCAAAGTTTAAACCAGCACTCTGCCGCACAAATTCAGGTGAATCAGAATTTTAGAAAATTGTCGATCATGGTCACGTAAAAAGGATTTGAAATGTTTCTCAGAGAGCCGCGTTTGTCGGTGGAGGGTCGGCTGTACCCGAATAGTTCCTGATGACGGAGTCTTCCATGCCAAGAACGGACAGGAGAAAGCGGGATGGGAAACTTTAGAAAATGTTCTTGACCGAGTTTCAGATGAGGAAATTTGATTTCGAATCCAAGTCGTCAAAAAGGGCAGTCACCGAGAGCAAAGGACACATTTTCCGACTACCACAATGAAGCGGTCGTGTGGACTGTCGTTGCAAGTGCTATTGTCTTTGGTTCCCTCCATTTCGGTTCGGAGGAAGTGAGCGGCGGGATTGGAACAGGTGGAGTATATATAAAAGTTTTTGAAGAAGTTGCACATTTCGATCCCACGGGGAGAGGTATGAAAGGGAATGTGGGATTTTAATATAGAGATATATAGATATTTATAGAGGAAAAAAAAAGATATTCGATGAGATATGTAAAATAAAAAAACCCGAAAAAGATAAAACAGAAAAAAAAAAAAAAAGAAATT